ATAGGGTCATCGCAGGTTTGTCCTGTGAAAAAATATAGATATATAGAATGACAAGCAATTTTCAAACTTTTATTAGCTGCCATTGCTTGTTATTCTACTTACATCTTTCTCAAAGGGCAAAATATGCGATGACCCTATAGGCTTAGGCTACTTGGACTACCTAGCTTTCCTAACGCTCGATACCGAATCCGAACGACATTCGGTACCAATTCCTAACGCATTCCTAACAGCGTGTTAGGAATTGGTTAGGAATTGGTTAGGAATTGGTTAGGAATTGGTTAGGAATTGGTTAGGAATTGGTTAGGAATTGGTTAGGAATTGGTTAGGAATTGGTTAGGAATTGGTAAGGAATTGGTTAGGAATTGGTTAGGAATTACAAGTGGGTGTTAGGAAAGTGATATCGGATTTCAGCAAATGTGACTTTTAACTCGAGTAAAAGATGGCGGCCTCCATGAGTCCGGCATAGCTCCATGATTCAGGTGAGAACGTATTTTTCTATCGTCAATTTTAACTAAATGTTCACACTTCCAAAATACATTAGGATTCATTTTTATCCGGTGGGTTATTGTTGGATGTAATTTTGGGTTACTAATATGCAGAGATGTTGAGACTGGATAGGAAAGAGCGATGTTTTGGTAGGGAAATGAAAGTAATGCTGCGGTGTATATATAGTTCGTCCTTCGAAATTCGAAGATGACAGCCAACATTTCCATATTGGTGTTGTGTGTTCGCAGATGGCTAATAAGTCCAATTCTAGCCAGGAAGCTACGGTCCTACACTGGACACATAGGTTGGGGGTGGGGGTGGACACGTAGTGAAGCATCTAGCTGACGAGATTTTCGTTGCTGTCGTTTCAGCTCAGCCTCCCTGATGCGACGGGCTTCGAAGCTTGATGCACCTTCGCGTGATAATCTTCTCCATGCCGTTCGATCATGGGCATGTTCTTCCCAGCTACTCACATTGAAGTTGCATTGCTTCATGGTTGCTTTAAGGCAATCCTTGTATTTTTTTAATTGACCAACAGCCGATCTTTTGCCTGTTGTTAGTTCACCGTAGAAGATCTTTTTGGGGAGGCGATGCATCCGTACTACATGACCTGACCAGCGAAGTTGAGCTCTCATGATCAAAGCACCTACACTGGGCAATTCCGCTCGCTTGAGGACTTCAGTGTCTGGGACCTTGTCTTGCCATCTGATGCGCAAGATCTTACGCATGCAGGAAAGGTGGAAGTGGTTCAGCTTTCTGATGTGGCGGCTGTAGGTTGTCCAAATTTCACAGGCATACAGCACGGAAGTCAGGACTTGGCTGGCCTGGCTACAAATGGGCTTTTAAAAGGAACGATTGAGGGCGCGGCGCGGCCGCAGCTGCGTCCGAATGATCTGGGGCACGTTTTAGCGCTAGTATGACCGTAAAAAATGTTTCAGGTCACGGCTGTAACGTCAGAAACAAGTCATGTTCCAGTTCAAGGGCCGCCAAAACGTGCTCCTGTTGGCTGCGTCCGTTTAGCCGCGTCGCACAGCCGCAGACGCAGCCAGCGGCCACAGCCGAAACATTCGGACGCAGCCTCACTTTCCTAACACCCACTTGTATATCCCTATATATAACCAATTCCTAACCAATTCCTAACCAATTCCTAACCAATTCCTAACCAATTCCTAACCAATTCCTAACACGCTGTTAGGAATGCGTTAGGAATTGGTACCGAATGTCGTTCGGAATCGGTACCGAGCGTTAGGAAAGCTAGGTAGTCCAAGTAGCCTAAGCCTGGGTGTATATCTTTCGTAAGACATACTCCGACTGTGGCATGGCACAACCCATCACCTATCTGCCGTACGGTGAAACTCCTGCAATCACCCCTGCTGAATCATAACATGTTAAACTTTCTCTGCCCGTGCTCCTCAGCCATTTAAATGTTTTATTTAAACGAAAAGGTACTTTTTTTTCTCTATTTTTGACGTTTTTCAATTACTGGAAATATTTAGGGGTTGCTTTTTTGCCCATAGCGCACAAGCAATAACGTGTCGGGCCGCAACTAATTCTGTGTGTGTAAAGTACTTACTCGTGTTGCTAGACAAATAGCAATTTAAAAACATGCACAATCTACTTTCTGGTTCGAAACTCCACAATATAACGTATGATTTTTTTTTTTTTCAAGACTGCGAGTTGCCTTTTCAATTTGGATTCCGGAAGCCCAGTTTTACGCCCCCAAAACGTGTATTCTGGGTAAAGAAATGGAGAAAAAAAATAGTGTCACTTATTTACTTGAAACTGAATGACTTGTGATTTACTTGTGATTGATTTGTGTTGTAAAGGGACGACAGAGGTACGTATACATTTAATAAATAATAATATAAATCCTTTTAACGCCAAGTCCAAATCTCATCCAAAGTGCTCATGTTTGAAAGGATCGATTGTAAAAAAAAAAACCGTGTTGAGCGTTAAATAATGACTTGTATTATTCATGCCGACTTTCTATTTATCTGTTGTGTCACATTTGAAAGCATTTGAACTTAAAACATATGACAAAAATACTGTAACTGACAGTCTATGCAGCCAGGGTGACTTAGCACATAGACAAGGCAACCTGTCCTATTTTGCAAGGGTTTGTTTGAAAAGTTTGAAAAGGTTGAAGCTTGTTTTTAAAACAATTCTTTCTTTTTTTCAAATTTGCTGTTTTTCTGTCAAATAATAATTTTTACAGAATTTTGCCAGAAATCTGCAAAAAAATCCTCTCTGTCAAACTCGTTTTTTACAAAAAATCTGTCAAAGTTAGCCGAAAATCGGCTAAAACGGTCACTGTGTATGTGCAGCACTTTTGTTGTCATTGCTTTCTTGCGCTAGTGCTCCGCGGCGGAGGGGCTCCGGCGGCGCGCACCTGACCTGGTTTTGGGTCTGGCTAGCGCGCGCGCTCCGGAAATATAGGCTCTATAATATTATGTCTTTTGTTCAATTACGCGCCAGGGCTTGGCCAGATTCCAGGGTTGGGTAAACTTGCCACATTTGTATACATTTGTATACATTTGTATACATTTGTTCAGACTGTGTGTTTTTCTATGCTGGGAATCAGCAGTTGTGGCACTGGTAGCAGTGTGGCAGGTTGACCAGAGTGTTCGTGCAGCTGAATAAAAAAGAGTTTCTTCAGAAGTTGGAAATCCTGTGTGGTTGTCCCCTTTTCTTGCATTTTAGCCGGATTCGGAGGACAAGAGCCCAATAAGTTCCCGTTACAATACTATTATTGACAAAAAATGGGCAAAATAATGAGGACAACATGTTGTCATAACTTTAATGTGCAATTTGGGCCAATGTGAACAGCCAGATTCAATTTCAGCACTATCGAATTAGTACAGTTGACCTTATTGCAAGCTGACACCAAAAAGTTAAAACGAACCTCAACTTCTAGACCTGATACAGATTTTGGCCCATGGCCTAACTGTGCCATTCAGATTTATTCAAAATATCCGAAAGTAACTGTTGACATTTTTCTCTTTCTTGATAAATAAAACACAGAAGTGATGTGCAAATTGGACTTTCAAAGAAATGTTGGCGGTGACTTTTATAAACCAATACACGTCTATACAAAATGGCACGTTATCAACGCAAAACTGCTCAAGTAAAAGGCAAATAGATTGCATACTTCTATCTCAACTAACAAATCAAACTTCAGTACTGTCATTAATGTCAAGTAATAAACAATTTCCACAAATCAGTGTGTAAAACAATATTTATGATGCACTCCTAAACAAAATACAAAATATGATACCATAAATTAAAACTGTCATTCATTCCCTTATGGATCTTTCAGTAGTATAGCCTATTTATTTTGAGCAGATCTACATTCAGGACGAGTTAAAAAAAGGAAATCCAAATGTTACGACCATTTTTTTATTTAATGAAGTTCTGCATGCAGCACTTTCAAAATCTAGGATATGAAAGCCCAATTAATACGCTTTCTTTTAGTACACGAATCATTCAAATCACTCATTCTTTTCAAGTTAAGGGATTTTAAACACAAACACCGTTCATGGGCGTCCCCAGGATTTTTTTCTAGAGGGGGGCAAAACATATTCCCCCCCAAAAAAACCCCTGTATTTCTCAACATATTCTCGATTTATCAGTTTAAGAGGGGGCAGGAACATTCCCCCCCCCCCAACCCATTAAATTTACACCAATATGATTTCGCGCCCCTTTTTTTTCTCTCTCTTTTTTTCCCTTCTTTTTTTCTTTTTTTTTTTGCTTTTCTGGAGGGGGGGGGGGCCTTGCGACGCCCACAACACTAAAGAAAAAAAAAACAAGTGTTCTTTCAGCAAAACGAAAAACAATTCACAAACATCCCTATGTGAATTGATTTCATTTTGCTGAAAGAACACTTACCTTTTTTTTGTGATCCGTGGACAGAACTTTAAAACCTGTGTTTGTTTTTGAAATCCGTAACTTGAAAAGTGCATGAGTGATTTGAATGATTCTTGTACTAAAAGAAAGTTTTTTAATTGGGCCTTCATATCCTAGATTTTGAAAGTGCTACATTCAGAACTGGCCCTTTAAGTAATTGGTCCTGTCATTTTGGGTTTCCCTTTTTTGACTTGCCCTGTATTTAATTAACCTATTTTAAGGGTTCATTGTTACTTTTTGGGGGGCATGCATTTTACAACATTGACGTTTTTGTTCAAACTCAGATGTTTGACAGACTAAAACCCTATGGGGATATGGGGGCAACAAGCATTGTTTAGAGAAAACTACAACAGAAGCAGGTTATTAAGTTGACTTGGTAAAGTTACTTGCAAGTTGGTTTCATGATTATTCAAAATGGTCAAACTGCCAAGCAAACCAAAAAGTTCGATACATGCGCTCACACAATCAAGAGATATCCCAAGACGTTTATGGTCCGCCTTTAGTCAGGATTTTCTTCCCTCTCCGACACGCAACACAATATGTTTAAAACTGATTTAAAGGTAATATTCAACATTTGCAAACATCAATAAACAAAACTATTAAATCCCAAAATATTTACTGTCAAAAGTACTTTTTTATCATACATAAAACAGTCACTACAAATTTAATCATACATAAAATAGTCACTACAAATCCAAAATCTGTTTCACTGAAATAACACGGCTGCCAAATGATTGAAGTTACTCTTCAAAGTAAAACTTCAATCAGATTTTTTTTGGACAACTGTACATAAAGTGCAGCACCACAATGAAGCAGTACGAACCAAAGAGGTACATGTACATGTATGTACTCTTACTGAAATACTTGCCGCTGGGATTATTTTCGGCCAAAAAAAAATTCCTTTTTTAAAAAAAGACAAGACATATCGGCCAAATTTTAAAGTAAGTCAAACAGGGTTGAAACACCGCAAATACAGACTCTAGAGGGTCATTTGTACAATATTTGTACGGTACTTCTTATCGTAACTTCATGTTTTGCAACACTCCGAGACCCCGCCATGGAGCAATATTTGCTACGACGACAGGCCATGTACAGTGGCCAAGCTCAAGTTCAAAACACAGTGCGTACAATGGGAACCACTGACGTGTATACACGTCCGCTGCCAGAGACTCGGGAAAAGCTTGAAGATATATCCTGTCGCCCAGATTGTGTTTGCACGTCCTCAGTGTAACTGGTTAAGGGATTTTGTAGGTATTTTCATGGACACATGACACTGTTGATTTCAAACTAAAGCAGTCTGTACTTGGGTCTGTTACATAAACTGATATACATATAAGTGATCATAGCTTTTACAATAAGTGCAAATTTGTCCTAAATCTGGAAACTTTGAAACTTCCAAAACAGTATTTTAAAGGGATTCTCTTGAAATAATTCTTGTTTTAAAATCATGGTATATACTCTTCAAAGTTGAGATTGACTAATTCTTTGTGACAAATAATAATGTATTTAATGCCTAGAAAAAAAAGCTTATCACTTAATACTACATGTATGGTTTGTTGCTGACGGGAGCATCTGGCCATCTGGTTGTTCTAGGATAGTCTTCAGAGTGGTGCTCCACACTGGTTGGCAAGGAGTTTGTTGATATAACTGCAAGAAATATCAAACAAGGACATGAATTATAAATATTAATTAACCAAACATGCTTGATTCCTCTTTAGAACAGATGTGCAAAGAATCCTTAAGTCAGGATTTGAAACTGCAAATTGTGATTTTTTTTTAAAATTATTTATTCGTTAATTTAACTGGGTAGCCCATTCAGTGGAATCCACTGGTCTCCCATGAGGCCCAGTAAAGAGAAGACAATGTGAAGAAATTACAGTTTTAGATGTGGGAGGAAAAGCCCAGAAGAATATTCTGGGGAAAATCCACGGAATCAGGCAGGGACTGAAAACCCAATCCACATATTGGCCCAGGTAGGAATCGAACCCGGGTCACAGCGGTGGAAGGCGAGGAAAGTACCGCTACGCCAACCTGACCCCCAAGTACCTTCACAAGGTGTAGTCCACTCACCCCAATATGCCATTATCCAATGGGAAACTTTTTACAAACATTGACAGAATGTTTGCTTTATACATAGAACGCACCCCAGTGCTCCACTAACTGAGCTATCCAGTCCTATGTGGGTATTTTCCCCAACATAGGACTAGATAGTTCAGTTTTATCCCGAAAGGTTATCTACAACTTGCAGGTTCAGACCGTCATGAGGTTTTTTCCCTTCATTTTTTTTATCATCAAGATTATGGATATTTTGTTTGCGAATCAAGGCTTGTACGCATGTATTTTCATAAGCACACAAGGTTAGTCTGGTTACTTACTTTGGGTTATACTGCTCAACTCTTCCTTTGAGTATATTGGGGCCTAGGTACTTGCCAAGCTCAATCAGGCAAAGGCTTGCCGCACTGCTGGTAAGGGCGTTGTCACATGACTGTTGAGACACAAGAAAAATTACATTTACATTTATATACTGTAATTTTGGTGGTGGTGTTGCTTTTCACTATTGAAGAAATTATGCCAGGAAGAGACGTAAAAACAAGTTCATTATCTGCAATGCAAATGTTTTTAGCTTTGAACTGCACATTTGGTACAATGAATAAATAAAAAAATCTTATATAAGTTTTTTTTCTTTATGTATCAAAGCAATATGTTGTATTCAGTGAAACTTGAATATTGGTTGCCTTTATAAAAAAAAAAGTACAGCTTTGAAAAAACATCAGCTGCTATGGAAAGATCAATCAGGATTAGAGACAATCTGCCTAAGAGCTCATACATTCATTACACATGTTTGCAGTAACCAATTTATAAGAACATACAGATGAAACAGTCTCGTCCAAATGCACCTCTAGGCGACAACTAACATATCAATTCTAATGGCAATAGATACTCGCCGGCAGTTGACCAAGCCATTTAAGTGCTCAAGTATCTGAGGAGGTCCTTAAGCTTTCCGGCACCTGTAAAAAGCTTTTTCCCAAGGCAATGGGTGAAGATGAGCACTAGTACTCAGGAAAAGAAAATGTTTAAGCTGGAGACAAATTGACTGTAGACTTCTTGTCTGCTAGCTTTATGCATTTTTATTGATGCTGGGCTTCCAGGTTTAGTGACCTTCCAGATTGCACACATCTCAATATGTAAACCAAATTTGTCTGAATGAATGATGTGAAGGTTTTTACAGACCATTTTAATACATTTGGTGTAGGGAAAAAAAACCTGTGTAAACTACAGAGGTACAAGGAAAAGCATGGGCAAAAAAGTATCAGATACTTGCCAAGGCATAGAAGATACTGTCCAGAAATCTCTCCAAGTTTGGCTTAAAATATCGCTTGCCGATGTTCTTGGCTATGACTGGGAGCTGCAAAGGAAATTGAGAAAGGAAGCATGAATATTACGTTGAATCTAGAAGGAAAGTCTACATAGATCAGATAAAAACAAATATGATTCATAATTTGAAACTTCAAATTTCAAAATGTGGATAACAACATGGTTATGTTTTTCTGGGACTACATAATTCATTAACAGAACAGTTACTGTACCTGTGGCAAGCTTTAAGATGTGGTTTTATTATTATAGAAAGCCTGAGAAAGCAGTGGAGAAAATCAAAAGATTGCTCAATTCTATGACTTGTTTAAATCAAGTGGTTCAGGGTTAAAAAGAGAATAAATCAGGTTTTTTTATGAAAAAAATCAATTCCACAAATTCACTATGTTTATAAATATTACGTATGAATTTTGTGTTCCCGGAACGTCCACATTTTTTTTTATTACTGTGTGGTCCGAGTTAAGGCGGCAATGATGAAAGTATTTCACGCAACATAAACTCAGTTCTATAAACCACAATGTTATTAATCCTGCACTTTGAAAGTACAGTCAGTGCACAACAAAGTCTCTCCCCAACTTTCATACAAACTCATCATACTGTGCTGCGACAACAACGAAAAAAAAGGTGTAAACACAGGAAAGGATATATGTACACCAGAACGCGAGGGAACATATTAATTTGTGCCAGCCAGCCAGCCAGCCCCCCCCCCCCCCTCATGTACCCGACGGATATTTCATCTAGGAGGGGAAATCACCAAATTCCCAAGGGTGCAAGGCTAACAAGCCAGCTGACTCCAGCTAATTGGCAGTTGAACCACAACAAATTCAACAACAACAGTTGGGCCTGCGAAGGTGCAGGATATGGCCAATTTGGCGCTGTCTTGATGTGGTCGGAGATTTGGACAGCATGTGTTTGTCTGACTGATTTTCTGAGGGGGGATACCCGTTCTTCCCTCACTGAGGCAAGTTTCAATAACTTAACATTCCATTTTTGTTCAAAAGTATTCACATATTTTTTTTTTAAGGGAGAAAAAAAGCTGGCAACTTAAGGAGCAAAAAATTTTTTTATCAAGAGATTAAGCCATATTTTTTCAACCTGTATTCTCTGGGGTTTTTTCAAACTCTGAAAAAAATGTGAATATCATAAAAAAACAGGTATTACATCTGCGAAAGATTTATATGCAAATTACACCCAAAAAAATTGTTTTCCACTGAACGTGTACAGAGAAACCCACTCAGTCACAGACAGAAAAATGGAATACCAATGATTGTCATTACAAATTTTTATTGAACTTAAACTTGCATATAAATTGAACAAGAAAGCTTTAATTTGGAATTTCATTAAGATCAGTAATTGCATTACAGAGAACAGATGGGAGGACCCCCATTCCCAGATGTTAATTGACTATCCCCCAGCTGTTTTTAGAGTTAAGAATCAAGTTCATGGCTCAACCAAAGGATTGTGTTTATTTTTGTTTCCAGTAAATTATATTGTACTTATTTACAATTTTCAACATCATTTACAATTTTCAACATCGATGTTGTTTTACTACCTATTTTGTTAGTCTTTTGTTATTTGTGTTGTTTATCTCTAAGTGAAATTTAGGTGCTTACTGCTCCTGTGTGAGTGGCAAGTAGACATGTTACCCCCTTCTACTGATAAGGTCTACAAGAACAAAATTAGGGGCTTTCAGCAATGAACATGAAGCTTAATTGGCACTTCCCTCAGACAGAGCTTGCTCGTGATTAACTTCTTATCATTCAGAACTTGTCACTTTAAATTTAATCAGGAAAAGCGCCAAGTCTAATCGTATTAAACATTCACTGCTAGCTCTTGATCAAAGACCTTGAAATGCTTGTATTTTTGTACTTCGCTTTTCCCTACAATATTCAATCACCATGCACAAAATGAGAGAGTTTACCCATTCCTATTGGTCGAGAGTCCGTCATGTACATGGTCTTAATAAGTAAAGTAAAGTCTGTCAAGAACCAATGTGGCCCACAAGGATGGTGTTCATCTCTGGTTTCATGAAACAACTAAGAATATTTCTATTCCCCCTGGATGGGATGCTAGTCCATCGCAGGTTACTCCCCAGCTAATGCCGGTACCCATTTATACTCCTGGGTGGAGAGAGGCAAGTGGGGGTGAAGTGGCTTGCCCATGGGCACAACCCCCCAACAGGATGCCAGTCCATCGCAGGTTACTCCCCAGCTAATGCCGGTACCCATTTATACTCCTGGGTGGAGAGAGGCAAGTGGGGGTGAAGTGGCTTGCCCAAGGACACAACCCCCGAACGGGATGCCTGTCCATCACAGGTTACTCCCCAGCTAATGCCGGTACCCATTTATACTCCTGGGTGGAGAGAGGCAAGTGGGGGTGAAGTGGCTTGCCCAAGGACACAACCCCCGAACGGGATGCCTGTCCATCACAGGTTACTCCCCAGCTAATGCCTGTACCCATTTATACTCCTGGGTGGAGAGAAGCAAGTGGGGGTGAAGTGGCTTGCCCAAGGACACAACCCCCGAACGGGATGCCTGTCCATCACAGGTTACTCCCCAGCTAATGCCTGTACCCATTATACTCCTGGGTGGAGAGAGGCAAGTGGGGGTGAAGTGGCTTGCCCAAGGGCACAACCCCCGAACAGGATGCCAGTCCATCGCAGGTTACTCCCCAGCTAATGCCGGTACCCATTTATACTCCTGGGTGGAGAGGCAAGTGGGGGTGAAGTGGCTTGCCCAAGGGCACAACCCCCCAACAGGATGCCAGTCCATCGCAGGTACGCACCGCAGTACGCACCGCACACGCCAGCTACTGCGGTAGCCGCTTCAGAACCACATATTACGATCTCCATATACGGTGCAAAGTTGACCACATCGCGTGCACGTCACACACAGTAGAAGCGGCCTGATCTGAACATGGTATTAATAACATTTATATCTGCATCATCACACATTATTTATATCCCATTATTCAACATCCTCTCAGGAAGTGTTTTCTTCAAAATTTAATCAAGCTAATTTTTGAAATGCCTTGGTAAGTGTGAATAAACATCAAAAGCAATCCCGACTGACACTGCGGGAGATTTTCAACATCTTGAAATTATTTCGATAATTATCAACTCACGAGATTCATCACTTACTAAAAATGGCCATGAAAACAGTTTGACTTGTTTAATAAAAAAAAATATGAAAAACAAAGTTCATTCATTATGAGCTCCATGTGTGACCAAGAGAGGGCGCATTTTGCCTAGCCACGGTGCCTTCTATGGTGGGACATGCACTTCGCTGGTTCACACACCCTTCCTGATTTCTTTAATGTACGTAATACCAGGGGATGTGTGTAGACTGTTCCCCATCCCTTTCATGTGGCTCTGATTATGAATAGTTATGGAGGCGGAAACCAGTCTTTAGGGGCGGGATATATGTTGAATGTTAAGCAAGATGGTGACTGATTGAAACCGATTTAACGGCTCCCCACCAGCCTCTCTCTTTTCAACCACTGAGGGGGTACTTCTACACAAGACGGATGTTGCTCTTCTTAAATGTTTTTCAGAGCTGGGAAGTATAGGAGGATTTTGCAGAATTGAAAAAGGTACAACCACACCACTTTTACTTCACAAGGACATGATGTCCTTTGACAGTTTAAATACAAAGAATAAGCCATCAGGGTACACATGTCTATGGCTAAATCCACACATCCGCCTACAGATAGATCTATGCAGGGATGTAGCCATAGTCACAGCCAAACTGTCCTTCAGAGGAAAATTCGCTGGTTCCCTTGGATCAACCACTGACTTAGGTGTCACAGGATACCAGCTTTAACCTTGGTGCTGTGCCCAATAATGCTCTTTCAGAAATACAATGTGACAAATACAGAACTAACAGCATTATGGAATTTTTGTGTTGATATTGGTTGATTGATGAACCAGTCCACGTCGGATAATGTGTATGCACGTAAAGGTTTGCAGTATTCAGAACGGATGACAGATAGACGCCCAACGAGCGCGGCCGGAATATCTGTCAGTGACCCGCTCACAGCGAGCGAGGCCGGAAATATCAGGGCGTGCTACCTGCAGATGACGGCCTGAACCTGTCTGGCATCGAGGTCTGTGAATAACTGGGTCCGGTCAAAGTCAAAATAATCCCGGCGCGAACTGGTTAATTGATTGACTTCAGTCGATTCTCTTGCATGTGGCCTGCTGGTTACAACCTGGAAATGCACGTACCAATTTAATGAGAAAAACCTTGCTCACAGTGAAGATAGCACTGGTCCCAAATGCCCAGCGGGGACACTTTTTTTATTGACATGTATTAGCAACAGAATCCAGTTATGCGACCTCACAAATTGTCCATACATTTTCTCTGTTTCCTCAAAATGTAGAGTAGCCACTGAGCTCAAACTTCAACAGCTTAGTATTTCATACCTGCCAACATTGAAAAGTCAGAAAGAGGAACAGGGTGCCTACGCATCATACACGGTGAGCGGCAAAGGCGCGCACGCGCTAATGGGTTGGGTCCAGGGGCAATCATACAAAATACATGTACATGTGCCTAAAATGTTACATGATATCCAGAAGCAGACCCAACAGACACTAATCTTATTTAGTGGATAATTTTCTGAATTTTCCAGCCGGTTTTGCTGATCAAAAAATTTACAATTTAAGAATAAATGACTGCTGACTTACATGCTTCACAGTTAATCACATGTAGATATTCAGTCACAGTAATGCATTTTACATGTACACTGTACAAGCAGTGACAAGTACAATTTTATTTGGAAAAGTTCGTAGGCCTACATCATTGTACGGTCACTGACGGTGTACATGTACATGTACATAGGCCTGTTACAATACACATTTCTAAATTTTTCACGATATTCCTCTCGGAATTTTTGACTCCATCGCTGCTTTTTCTCCTTCAGTGTATCATCCTCCTGGTCCATGTTGCAGTTGAGATGCTCATACAAAAACGTTGACAAAAAAAGTGCGACTCAGCACGGTCAAAATATCAACGAAAAACCACCGAAGACTATGAAGAAACAACGACGTAGCGGGTCTCAGTATTGGCTGCGGCTAGGCTGTGGCTGATCGCACAAGCCTGTGCGCGTCAACAGCTGCAGCCGCAGCCTTTCGGACATGGCCTGTTCGATGACGTTTGAGTCTGGTTTACGTCCCTTTCGTCGTACATAAGAGCGAGGCGGATTTTATACCATTATGGTAGCGGCAATAGCGCCCTCAATACAATAAAACATTTTTCTCGGACAAGTGTGCGATGGGGCCGGGGCATTTTTTAATTTTTAATTTTTTGTATTATTTCTTCTCTTGCAACTCGGAAAATCGGGACGTTTCGATTTTCGGGCACTTTTTATCTCCGAAATCGGAACAGTTCCGCCTAAATCGGAACAGTTGGCAGGTATGATAGTATTTATGCATCCTACTTAAAAATTTTGGCAACTGTGTTGCTTTAAATAATTATAAAAATTGACGGAGAGCAAATGATTCTATTTTAAAAATGGCACCGACCTGTTTGCAAACTGTTTCTCAGAGATGAACATGCTGGGCATAGGTCTGGCTCCTTGTAGCCTCTGCTACTGAAAAGTGCGACTCAGCACGGTCAAAATATCAACGAGAAACCACCGAAGACTATGAAGAAACAACGTGCGTGGAAAACAAACATGGCATCAATACGTCCACCGCGCCGTGCCTGGCCCGCGCTTAATTCAGTAAGCACGCAAGAGAGGCAGTACACCAGACGGAAGACGTAGCGGGTCTCAGTATTGGCTGCGGCTAGGTTGTGGTTGCTTTAAAATTTTGGCAACTGTGTTGCTTTAAATAATTATAAAAATTGACGGAGAGCAAATGATTCTATTTTAAAAATGGCACCAACCTGTTTGCAAACTGTTTCTAAGAGATGAACATGCTGAGCATAGGTCTGGTTCCTCGTAGCCTCTGCTACTGATGGTAAGAGAGTCCCAACAGAGGCAGATAAGGACTGTATTGATGACAGCTCTGATAATAACTGTATGCACCTGTAAGCAAGAGTGAAAAACTTGCGGCTTGAAAAGAGGCTAATCCACTCTTGAACCAAGACTAAGGCTACATAGATGTCTTGGATTGAATTTTGGTTCTTAGTTCTTTGATCCTCAAATCTCTCAGCTAATCTTTAAACGTTAAAGTCAGGGATTATTATTTTTTTTTTACAATGCTGCCCTAATTGTAATTAACACCCCCACCACCCCACAAAAAAAATACATAGAAAATATGAAAATAAAAAAGCAAATGTTACTGGCTGAAAAAACTCAATTTTTAAAATACAAACACCAGATTTATTTTTTGTTTCTTCAAAACCCACTATGTGAAGTTTTTTTCATGGAAAGCATAACATTTCTGGATTCAAGTGAAAGCCAAAAAAAAAAAAAATGGTAAAAACTGCCCAAAGCATCAACTTTTCCTTACCCTTCACAAACTTCCCATGGTTCGGACGGCCTGCGGAATTTATGATCCATGCAGCCTCCCTCTCTCTTGGAGCCCCGCCCCATCTTAGGTGCCAGGGAGCCACATGAATACATCTGGGGAAAAAAACGCCATGTGTCAAGATTATAATACCACCAATCTCCATGAACATGTACTGACTGGATAGTGCATAAACCGAGGTAATTTGGAGGCCATTTTGAGAGGCCTAAAATTTACCTCAACAAATAGTTGTCAACTCATGATGAATATGAACATATAATATAAAATATCTACCAATAGTTTCTACCACCAAGCACAAATGTCTGAGTAATGCCAACTGGATGTAACCAGTGGTGATTAAAATTACATTTCTAGACCAACACCAGGTATGTAGTCAGGTTGGCGTAGCGGTACTTTCCTCGCCTTCCACTGCTGTGACCCGGGTTCGAATCCCGCCCGTGGCCAATATGTGGATTGGGTTTTCAGTCCCTATCTGATTCCGTGGGTTTTCCTCAGAATATTTCTCTGGGCTTTTCCTCCCACCTTTAAACTGTAATTTCTTCTCATTGTCTTCTCTCCACAGGTTTCTTTAGGCTTGCGAGCTACAGTGCCTAGGGCACTTTTGAGGGATCCTTGGTTTCATTAACCAGAAAGAAATAAAATTAAAAAATAAATAAATAATAAAATATGTACAAACTTATTCAATTCTGGAAAACTTGAAGTTAATTTTGTTTTTATTTTTCTTTACTTATATAAAACGACTTGGGAATTCTTCATATCCAATTTAAAATTGGATATGAAAAAAAAAAAATATGTACCTGTTTGTCTGAATGTAACTCGATGTCGTTATCTCGTAACCTCTTGGCGACACTAAACGTGGCCGGACCTTTCTCCAGGTCACCGTATTTCTCAGAAGTGGCTGTTTGCGTTTCGAGACCAGAGACTCCTTCCTTGATTTTGTCCATAAGGAGGTTGCTAGCCTCCTCACCTGAAAGAAAAACATAGAATTTATCTAATTAATTTAAAACCAAAAATAGAAAAAAAGGAATGTATTTTCGGGATTAAATGGAATGTGCAACATTTGCCTCAATTTTCAGAAAAAAATGAATTTGGAGGATCAGTATGTTATTGTTAAAATAACTTGTTTCACGTTTTGGGCTTGTAGATGCTGGAAAAACCAAGAAAACCAATCATGTTCTTGTAGTCTGGTTCCCTGACCCCACTTAAGATGAATCAGAGCAATTTATGGACTTTGGGGAATTGTAAGGTCAGAGAATCAGTCTAGAAGGCTTGCACCCCCCTCACAGGTGTGTTATCAATTGCGAAGAAAATGCAGAATAACTAATTAGGAAACATTAGGAGCAGTTTTTGAAAAAAAAGCCACTTTTCTCCAATGCTGGTTGGCTGACCAGCGTTGGAAAAATACAATTTTTCTTGAAAATGTCAGCACACCAGGAGCCACGATTTTACAGGATACTTCGCTAACAATCCAGTAAGGTATTTCGTGATAATTTGATCATTTCATTTTGTGATATTTGCCTTTAAACTCGACAATAATATGGGGAATGCAACTTTAACTGACAGTGATTGACCTGATCACAAGTCTGATTGCAAGTAAAGCAGAAATAAACATAAAAATCTTTTTGAAGAAGTCAACTCACCATATGCCTTGGCCACATTGAGCAGTGCAACGGCAGCGCCTTGCCTGACTGACGGGATGTTATCAGCTAGGTTGGCAAAGAACAACGGGTACAACTTCTCCATACTTGGCCTGAAGATAAGGAAAACATGTTCGTTTTTGTTATCAGCAACAATGCATGCTGGTTTGATTCAAGGTGCAATACGTGCATGTTTGTTATAGCGAGGGATAAGATTGTGAAATTTCATTGGTAGAGAACTGTTCACATGAAGCCACCTTACCAGAAACATATTTGCAGTCACTTTTTGTGTCTGTTGTGTACTTTGTCACCGACCTGACTATGTACAGGGATGAGATTGTCAATTTAAAAAATAAAAGTCTGGAAATTGGATGAAAGGTCTGAAAGATGCATTTCTTTCTATCCTGATATTGTCTTTGCTCTCAGATTCAAAAGTTTGATTTCAGACAAAAGTCTGAAAAATCTTAATGACTTATGCATGTAAGAAACAAAAACAGACTGTTCATAATAGCGCTAGTTCATAAGATGGAATTTTGCGTCGGGGTGATGTAACTCAAATTAGGTATTGCCTTTCACCAACGTACGTGTATAAACACTGCACACTCAGTGTTTTACCTCCTGAGTGAAAGTTTGAAAAAAAACACAAGGGTGGGACTCAAACCCACGACTTCCTGCTTTCTAGAGGGCAAAACCTAATTTGATTTACATCACCCTGATTCTTATGAATAGTTAATGCGGTACCCGCTGCTATGTACATCAGATTCTACATGTAACCAGCCAACCAATCCCGTTAGCTCAGTGGTTGAGTGGCAAGAAACATCTGCACTAGAAAGCAGGAGGTTGTGGGTTCTAGTCCCACCCGAGTGATTTTTTCCAACTTTCACTCCGGAGGTAAACACACTGACTATACAGTGTTTATATGTCGGTGAACAGCAAAACCTAATTTGATTTACATTAAATTAAAGCATTAATGGAAAGGAGGCTTAAATTCAGACTATAAAATATCCGCTCCACACTCCTAAGGTATCTCCTAAGGGCACTAGCTGACCTTCTAGTGGATAGTTACATTTGGCTGAACAAATGTGGGCTCAATAATTGGGCCGATTGGGTTTTTTTTTTTGAGGACTTACCTTGATTCTTCTGGGAAACAATTGACAAAGTTGCCGCAAGCTACACATGCAGCATCTCTGACTGGCCAGCTGTCATCACTGAAACACTCCAATAACGCAGCCAGAAGTCTGCCTACGAAGGGACGCACCACTTCCTTATTCAGCTGTGAGATCACGGAAAATTAAGAAGACTTTATTTTTAAGTGCGTTACAGTGATGTAGTGATTAGAAATTGTTTTAAGTAGTTTCATGTAATTTTATTTTTAGAAATGCCAGTGGAAGCTGAATTTCTATGCTTTTTAGCGTGGATAATAAACTTGAATTTGAATTTGAATTTGAAGACTTGACAGCATTTAAACAACAAAAATTCGACATTTGCTGAACATTGGGCTTAAGCAAGGGTAGCATTTTCCATGCTTTGAATATGTCTGATTGGTTCTGTGGGCAACGTACTAGCGCAGATAGTACAAGTGAACAGATTTCATGTAAGGGGTGAGGGGGAATGTATAATATTCCAAAATGATGGCATAAAATTGTTAGTTATGGTATCTTTGTAATATTGACAACAGCAGAGGTAGTGTAGTGAGTTAACATATTCCAACATCAAAGAGCCAGCATATCCGCTCCGTTCACAAACACCCCCTCACCGGCAAAGAAAGTACAGTTGGGGGTGACCGACCGACGCCATCTTGCCTGACTGCAAAAATTTGCCACGACGCGCGGCCGTACCACTACTGCGTGTACATGGTACAAATCCCCTGGTGTGCATGCGTCACACACAAGGAACGGTGAGCGACAACTAGCTAAGGCTGCATCCGAATCAGTTGTCTAGAGCTAGGTCTAGGTCCGCGCCCATTGAAAACACGCGGGGACGTGCTGACAATAGACGTAGCCGTAGCTCTGGAAGCCCGTTTCGGACACGGCCTTAGTGTCCCGCCCATGGGACGTCGTTTCTAGGTAAAAGGGCGCCCTCTTTCGTTGGCGCACGGAGCCCATAAACTATCAACTCTTCTTTATTACTTAAAATGTATTGTGATTTTGCCATACCATATGGAATGTCTGTACACATTTGTATATGCAATATATGAACCTAAATACACATGTGTGCCATGAAATTAAACAAACTGGTAGGTGGATGGATGCACATTTTGAAGTTTGAGCACCAATTTTAACCTGGCAAACTTCTACCCAAGACCAGGATGTTGGAGTGGAAGTAGGGGGAGGGGCATAAGTGTGTCTGAGTAGGTTCAATGAGAGGGGTTGTATCTTGGACCCTAACTCTGCTATGCAGGCACAGGAAGCCTCCCTCGGTGGAAGGAGGGGGAGGGGCATAGGTGTGTCTGAGAGGGGTCAATGAGAAGGGTGTACCTTGAACCCTAACTCTGCTATGCAGGCACAGGCAGCCTCCCTCGGTGGAAGGAGGGGGTGGGGCATAGGTGTGTCTGAGAGGGGTCAATGAGAGGGATGTACCTTGAACCCTAACTCTGCTATGCAGGCACAGGAAGCCTCCCTCGGTGGAAGGAGGGGGAGGGGCATAGGTGTGTCTGAATTGGGTCAATGAGAGGGGTTGTATCTTGGACCCTAACTCTGCTATGCAGGCACAGGAAGCCTCCCTCGGTGGAAGGAGGGGGAGGGGCATAGGTGTGTCTGAGTAGGGTCAATGAGAGGGATTGTACCTTGAACCCTAACTCTGCTATGCAGGCACAGGCAGCCTCCCTCAGTGGAAGGAGGGGGAGGGGCATAGGTGTGTCTGAGTAGGGTCAATGAGAGGGGTTGTATCTTGGACCCTAACTCTGCTATGCAGGCACAGGAAGCCTCCCTCGGGTGGAAGGAGGGGGAGGGGCATAGGTGTGTCTGAGTAGGGTCATTGAGAAGGGTGTACCTTGAACCCTAACGTGTGTCTGAGTAGGGTCAATGAGAGGGATTGTACCTTGAACCCTAACTCTGCTATGCAGGCACAGCCAGCCTCCCTCGGTGGAAGGAGGGGGGAGGGGCATAGGTGTGTCTGAGTAGGGTCAATGAGAGGGATTGTACCTTGAACCCTAACTCTGCTATGCAGGCACAGGCAGCCTCCCTCAGTGGAAGGAGGGGGAGGGGCATAGGTGTGTCTGAGTAGGGTCAATGAGAGGGATTGTACCTTGAACCCTAACTCTGCTATGCAGGCACAGGCAGCCTCCCTCGGTGGAAGGAGGGGGAGGGGCATAGGTGTGTCTGAGTAGGGTCAATGAGAAGGGTGTACCTTGAACCCTAACTCTGCTATGCAGGCACAGGCAGCCTCCCTCAGTGGAAGGAGGGGGAGGGGCATAAGTGTGTCTGAGTAGGGTCAATGAGAGGGGTTGTATCTTGGACCCTAACTCTGCTATGCAGGCACAGGAAGCCTCCCTCGGGTGGAAGGAGGGGGAGGGGCATAGGTGTGTCTGAGTAGGGTCATTGAGAAGGGTGTACCTTGAACCCTAACGTGTGTCTGAGTAGGGTCAATGAGAGGGATTGTACCTTGAACCCTAACTCTGCTATGCAGGCACAGCCAGCCTCCCTCGGTGGAAGGAGGGGGGAGGGGCATAGGTGTGTCTGAGTAGGGTCAATGAGAGGGATTGTACCTTGAACCCTAACTCTGCTATGCAGGCACAGGCAGCCTCCCTCAGTGGAAGGAGGGGGAGGGGCATAGGTGTGTCTGAGTAGGGTCAATGAGAGGGATTGTACCTTGAACCCTAACTCTGCTATGCAGGCACAGGCAGCCTCCCTCGGTGGAAGGAGGGGGAGGGGCATAGGTGTGTCTGAGTAGGGTCAATGAGAGGGATTGTACCTTGAACCCTAACTCTGCTATGCAGGCACAAGCAGCCTCCCTCGGTGGAAGGAGGGGGAGGGGCATAGGTGTGTCTGAGTAGGGTCAATGAGAGGGGTTGTACCTTGAACCCTAACTCTGCTATGCAGGCACAGGCAGCCTCCCTCGGTGGAAGGAGGGGGGAGGGGCATAGGTGTGTCTGAGTAGGGTCAATGAGAGGGATTGTACCTTGAACCCTAACTCTGCTATGCAGGCACAGGCAGCCTCCCTCAGTGGAAGGAGGGGGAGGGGCATAGGTGTGTCTGAGTAGGGTCAATGAGAGGGATTGTACCTTGAACCCTAACTCTGCTATGCAGGCACAGGCAGCCTCCCTCGGTGGAAGGAGGGGGAGGGGCATAGGTGTGTCTGAGTAGGGTCAATGAGAGGGATTGTACCTTGAACCCTAACTCTGCTATGCAGGCACAGGCAGCCTCCCTCGGTGGAAGGAGGGGGAGGGGCATAGGTGTGTCTGAGTAGGGTCAATGAGAGGGATTGTACCTTGAACCCTAACTCTGCTATGCAGGCACAGGCAGCCTCCCTCGGTGGAAGGAGGGGGAGGGGCATAGGTGTGTCTGAGAGGGGTCAATGAGAAGGGTGTACCTTGAACCCTAACTCTGCTATGCAGGCACAGGCAGCCTCCCTCGGTGGAAGGAGGGGGAGGGGCATAGGTGTGTCTGAGTAGGGTCAATGAGAGGGATTGTACCTTGAACCCTAACTCTGCTATGCAGGCACAGGCAGCCTCCCTCGGTGGAAGGAGGGGGAGGGGCATAGGTGTGTCTGAGAGGGGTCAATGAGAAGGGTGTACCTTGAACCCTAACTCTGCTATGCAGGCACAGGCAGCCTCCCTCGGTGGAAGGAGGGGGAGGGGCATAGGTGTGTCTGAGAGGGGTCAATGAGAGGGATGTACCTTGGACCCTAACTCTGCTATGCAGGCACAGGAAGCCTCCCTCACTGCATGGTTGTTTGCATCGGTCTGTTCGATGTAGTAATCTACCTGTTAAACAAATTTAAATAAATAAAACCCAACTTTATTCAACCAACTTTATATGTTCTGTGCATGTCACAGCCTTCTTAACCCAAAAGGGGCTGGGGGGGGGGGGAAATCCCCCCTCAACTTTTTCTGTGATAGCTTTGAAATTTTTTTTCGCGACCCAAGCTGTTCTGATTTTTTAGTCTTTTAGTCTCGAGCCTTGTGCATCTTTTGATACCAAAAACATAAAAATCGACCCCCTCCCCCCCCCCCCTCGGCTGAGAGATGGTAAAAATAACACGGCCCTTTTTAAGGTTAAGGCCAATTCATATTCAGCTTGAACATGTTGAATGCGAATGCATATTTTTGACATCACGAGTAGTTTTTTCGTGCTGCGAATTTACAAAAGTTGAACATATTTCTACTCCAGCAAATTTTGCAGCAAATGTTTCGTGATGTCAGAATTGTAAATTAAATGAGACTTCAATTTTTCCTAAGCTACCCATTCTGATGATAATTAATGGCAACTGTTCATGGCTCCGTGCGAACAAGAGAGGGGGCTTTTTCAGCCCTTTCGAGAGCCGTGAATGCATGCATGAAGTAGGCACAACTGTTTATTCTGAATGTGCACAAAGCCATAGCGTCCTCGCTTGAGAGTCAGGCTTTCTTATCGTTGAGGGGGATTCTTGTGCACAGAGCCCATAGCCTTTGATTGAACTTGGTGAGGGAAGCATTATCAATGTGATGTCAAGAAGGAAGAACTCACCATATTTGGCATGTTTGCCTCCACAAACAGTTTGCCCTGCTCCCCAGTCACTTGCCTCCATGTATGCTGTGAGTATGTCCTCACACCCTCAGCAACATAATACCTGCATTCATTTCAAAATAAGAGGATAGCTGTTAGAATAATTCTTAAAACAGTGAAGAATGTTTGTGCCAATGTTTAAGCATGTCAGTTTGCAGAGCCATAAGCCTGGGTCGTGATATCATTTTGGCAGAGTATGGAGTCCTGCTCAGGGTGTCCCTTTTCATTTTTATGGTCTCTTACTGACTGCCTCTGAAGTAGGATTGGTTGGTCTGTGAAATATTAAACAATCTGAACACAAAGAAATGCAGTTGCACCCATTTAATTAGCTAAATTAAATGATGCCAAATGCGTATTGTCTCATGTTTTGTTTAATGCATGATCCAGAGATGAAACTGGCATGTGGCAAAAAAATCGGAAAAAAGGCCGAACAAAAATACGTGTCCGAAATCTGGGCCGCGCTGCCATTACACACATATACATGCATGTACAATACACTTCATGCCCAATTTCCGGACACCAACTCCTGCTTTATTTTTTATTCAAACAAAATTTTACGATGAAAAAAAAAATGGTCAGCGTTTTCATTGCATAAAATGCCTGAATTACGGTTAGAGTAATGGAGTCATCAATAAAGAAGTTCACTTCTTACTTGAGAAAGTCGAGGGAAAAGTCCGAAAGACAAGGGCACCGTTCATGGTGCTTCAATCATGTCCATGATTCAACCACTTGCATTCATGCATGGGAAAAAAATCAGGCATTACCGTCTTTCTCTTCCAACAAATGCCAGTGAAATGTTTCGCTAATGCTCTCTTCGCTATCCTCGAGATATTCATCATGATTTTTAAAGCATTGCATTTTGTACAACTGAATCTGAAACCTCCGAAAATCGCACAACATAATGATTTTATCCGCAGGATCCTTCACAAGGCTACCCGTCCCGGCCGGCCATGTGCTAGCGGACGGTACGGTGGTGTGGTACGTACGCACGCTGGTACCATTGCATATTCGCACGCACGTGCGACACAGTGATTTTTCCATGTCGCCTGTCAATGTTTAACCTTTTGTCCAGCCGGAGAAGGCTCCGATCAGTGTTATGCCCTGTGTTTCTACCGTTGAAACTCTCCAATAACGACTGGTGAAAGAGATTAAAACTACGTTCGCGATGATTTTAGCACGCCATTTCCATCGACTTTCTTCGAAATTATGATTGAAATAAAATGACATTTTGTGAAAAAATCATCAGAAAATCAAATTTTGTGGGACACACTGTAAAAAAATCGGAAATTTCGTTGGAAAATTCAAAAAGTCGGTTTTCCGATTAAAATCGGAAAAGTTTCATCTCTGATGATCATAAGTTGATATCACTGAACAAAATAATAAAGGCATTTTGGCAAGATGAAATGACGTACAATATCAAAACATGCAGCTCACCAACTGCTTGGCTGCAGTGGCTATCTAACTAAACAGAAAGCTCATCATAAGCCAGCCGAGCAAATATCTAGGATGCCAAATAACAAGCCGTTCCAGTAGCACAGCTACCGTGGCTTTCCTCCAATTCCAGAAAAAAATATTACAAAAGCCAGGTCTTGATAGGGTCAAATAAATTATGGTTTCATAGATTCCGTAAACATGCCTTAACAACGACTTGCTTACTGTCACTTCATAAATTTATTGATGTTTTTTTGTAATCAATGAAAGAAACCGACTCAACGTCAGGATTGTAATCAAGGCCATCACTAGTCTGTCATAAAGTAATTATGAAAAAGGTCACGAGTAAAAATGACAAAGACATATCTCCATCACAGTTCATTGGAGTAGATTGTGACTTGACTTGACTTGACTTGAGATTGAATAACTTGCGGTTGAGTTGTGCTCGTGTGGTCTAGCGGTGGAGCACAGGATTCATGATCGTGAGGTTGTGGGTTCGAGCCTTGCCGTGGCCATGTGGCTGTGCCCTTGAGTAAGGCGCTTTACCTCAATTACTCCTCTCAACCCAGGTGTTAAATGGGTACCGCATTAGTCAATGCTGGGAAGGTAACAGACTCGCTGTGGAGGAGGTGTGGCGATCCCCCCACAGCAGCAGCATTATATCGATTCTGGCCCAATCGCTTTGAAAGAGAGATGGGCACTCCATTCCTGTGAACACAGGTTCGTCCCCCGGAGTTGTGATTAACTTTTGTGATTAACTTCAACTCAGCCTAGTGTGGCCAAATGGCTAGGGTTCGTGATTCAAGATCAGAGGGTCAGGGGTTCGAATCCAACTGCTGGCCATATGTTGTGTCCTTGGGCAAGCCACTTCACTCTCACTTGCCTCTCTCCACCCAGGAGTGTAAATGGGTACCGGCATTAGCTGGGGAGTAGCCTCCGATGGACTGGCATCCCATCCAGGGGGAATACAAATATCCTGAGTCGTTTCTAGCCATTGAAACCAGCTCAAAATGCCGGCCTGATGGGCCATACTGGCTCGTGACTTTATTTACTAACAAGAATCACACTACACATTTGAGGATTTTCAAAGATTCACTGAAAATGTTCTTTGAATGAGCACTCACCTATTCAAACACATCCTTGGTAAGAGGAGAGGAAAGAACTTCTCTCTGCTCTCACAGTTTGGCAGGTTCAGAAGGAACTTTCTTGTCGCTACCGAACTGGCCATCCTCACCTAAAGAAAACGAAAAGACGTAAACTTCTCAAACAACCAAAGGTTACACAGAGGACACAAAACTTACAGGGTCCATGACATGAATTCCACACTGGAATGTATTATGCAAACATCCATTCTTCTGAAATGTGTGAAAACTATAATACACCCTTTTTGGGTTACAAGTTTTTTAAGTGCACTTTTTAATATTTAAAATATTGCGAATGGCCAACTGCGAGTAGTGTGGCCACTCCTTGTGATTTTTCCCAAGATTTTGGGAATTTGGTCTAGACCTTGGGAATATTTCACCGAACTTGGGAGTTTGCGCATTTCAAGTTTATAGTTTGAATTTTGCAGCACTTTCTGGGCCCAACATACACAGTACACATATAAAAAAGTGTAATCTTGCATTGCGCATTTCTGAAACATAATCCTGACTATCTTGGGAAATCTTGGGAATTTTATTGCCATTATCTTGGGATTTTTCAAATTTGTTGAACACTAACCTGACTCCAGTTGTCTGCTAAACCCTCAGCAAGGTGTTGGGCCACCTGGTCACCATAATGCAAGACCGGGCTCTCATCAGTTAACTCGCTACACGACTCCATCGCATCGTCTCCGTTATCTGATCAATGACATCAAGATAGCAAGTCTTTCACAAAATGTCATGAAGCTGAATAGACATAATTCATATTTTGATAGTGTTCCCTGAATTTTAGTTACACAAACATGATTTTGTCCTACGATAATGTCGCACGTTTTTATATATACACACAAATCAATAAGTGCGTTTATATTTACGCGACAAATTCGTGCGACTAATCATCCTAATTTCAAAACTAGCGCAACATGTCGCGTATTTGTTCGTTCACACGTGCACGTGTTCCACATTGCCGCTTGACATAGTCGTTGCGACAAACTCACGTATGTGTAAATACCGGTAGGCCTTGTAAACTGTTGAATGGGATGGTGCAAGACTATTTATGCGTTTCACGCCTCACTTTCATTTTGTTTTAAAATGTGGCTTAAAACATTAGCGTTTTAGTAATATCGTGAGGACCTTCAGAAACAATCTGGACAGCAACTTCTGACATTTGAATTTTTGGTTGGGTTTCTTTAATGGTTACCCAGGTGACCGTGTTTTTTTTTCAATCGGGTACCCGGTTCCCAGACTTCTCGTAAAAGCACACCCCTACTATACCATCCTCCCCTTTTACATGGAAGTTTATCACAATATTACATTATATAATATTGAGTGGCTCAGAGTGGAATGGGAGGAATATCATCGCAGGGTAAAATGCTCTGAACCAGTTCCATTTACACTACGAAAGTTATAAAAAGGGCCAAAAAAGTTATACCAAATCATTCACAGTTCATTTTGTAAGGGGTGATTTTTAGCTCCTGTTTTGAGTTTTACATCGTTTCTTGAATACATTTCAAGAAAAAATTATATTGTGACATTGAACAACTGATTATTGAATAAAGAAATGGTTGGAACTCCATAAAAAGTATTAGTTGTCTTTTATTCTGTTTTTAAACAGCGGAAATATTGGTAATTATTGTTCCCAAGAAAGTACACCCCTTTATTACCACAAATGGTGTGGTCCATGGGGAATGCATGCAGCATGCATGCAGCACTAGAATCACGTACGGCCGGTTGTCGATGTCGAAGAGACACCTAGCTTTCGCTAGCCGTACTTTTTACCGCTCGGTACCTTTTTGTGGGACGTGCTTTCGGTTTGTTAGTGACTTTCTTAATTGATGATTCATTTCAGCAACAGATATTTTCTTATACCAGTACATCAAGTTAAATATACATTTGAATATCATTTATTTTATTCTTCAAGTCTCGGCATATAAGCCGCCCTGTGTATAAGCTGCAGTAAACATTTTCATGGGCAAATTCAACGTATAAGCCGCAGCTTATATTCCGAAAATTACGGTAGTATTTCCCATTCCCATGGGCGAATTTTTTTTTTTAGCCCCAGCATGAGTGGGAGCAATATCAAACGTCACATGATGTGAGTTCAACCAATCAAATGACAAGGATCTGTATGTCAGTTATATAAAGTGGCAAAGTTTGTTGTAAACAGACGCACCTTGTGGTGATGTGCAGCTGACTAGAGATGACATGACGTAGTACCCCGTCTCCCTGACGAACCGGTTGGTATGGGTCAGGGTCTGAAAGATGAGGTCTAGAAGATCCTGTGTGATGAACGGGACGAAATGAGGCCCACAGCCATTGATGACGGACTCCAAGCACCTGGGCGGAACAAAGACAGGCATATCATGTACATGTACCCTCCTACTGTTTGATCAGTCACAGACTGTCAAAATTTTCTTCCACTTCCCCTGCCATGTATTTGTATACAGACTAGTAAAAACAGTCAGATCACATTCGTGCAAGCACTATGACTAGTCAAATCCTGTTAACAGACAAAAGAGGTAACTGGTACAAATGTATGTATGTACAAATGTACATACATGTAGGTACATGTATAGCTGGCATAAAAAAAATCCACTTTTCTTGAAAATGATAGCACACCAGGTGCCATGATTTTACAGGATGCTTGAAACCATTATTCACTTACAGTCAAGTAAGGTATTTCATGATAATTAGGTAGTTTTGTTTTCTGACATTTGCAAATGTTGTATATGGTACCTTTAAGTAATTTGAAGGATTCAGGCCATTGATCAAACAAGAAGTACTTAACACAAAGCTTATTTTTGTCATTGGTTTACCGTGCCTTGGTGGATTTTTAGCAGAACTAGGACATCTTGGGGTAATAAAAATTGAGTAGAAATATGCAATACAAATAGACCATAATTTTGTCATAAAATGTGTTTTACGCGATCAACTCACTTCATCCAGGTTTCCAGGTTTTTCCAGCCTGCAGTATCATGGAAAATCTGCTCTGCTGTTGCACTCCCTCCCTTCAAAGAAAGAAAAAAAACAATAACAATTTTTTTTTATATTTTAAATGTTATTTATTCTACCTGATGAAACATTAAAAACAGAAATTCAGTAATTTCACAAAAAATATGAAAAATAAAGCCTATGGTATGAATTCTTTGGACAAGTACTCCCTCACTTGGTTGCACAGAGAGTTAAGAGGGACTCTGCACACTGCCACAGTGCCTCTGGCGCTAACATTAAGACTTTTCAGGTTTTTTTGGCACATTCAAAATCAAATTACTTGTGCATACTTTACGCCAGGAGTGCAAGAAACAGTGTGTGCATACAATATATCTTTTTCACGGAGCTCTAGTGTGTGGTGACAGAACCATGGAGTTCATAAAATGCCCCTGAAAAGAAAAAAAATGGTGTTTTTTTATTTATTTAATTCTTATTGTAACTGGTTAGCCAATTCAGGGGAACCCACTGGTCTCCCATGGGCCCTGGTTAAGAGAAGACAATGTGAAGAAATTACAGTTTTAGATGTGGGAGGAAAACCCCTGAAGAAAATTCTGGGGAAACCCACGGAATCAGGCAGGGACTGAAAACCCACATATTGGCCTGGGGCAGGTATCGAACATGGGTCACAGCGGTGGAAGGCGAGGAAAGTACCTCTATGACAACCTGTAAAAGTTTGGGAAGCAATAGTCGACTAATAATTCTTTGTTGAACTTCTATTTAACAAATGATTTGTGACTGTCGTTATCCGACTAAATAGCGCCCTCATTGTTCGTGCACAGTGGGTATACCTGCTCATGCTGAACGGCCAGTTTCTCCATCAAGATGTGGGTGTTCTCCCTCTCCCCCTCCGATCTCTCCGAGAGCGGGATGCGCTCCAGGTTGTTCCGCACTCCATCGTGGATCAGCTCGCAGGCCGACTGGTAGACCTCCGTGCCGCAACGTTTGCAGAGTGCACCCAGGACCTCGCCTACCGAAGGCACACATGAACAAAGCGTAGAAAAAACAAATGGGAACTGTTTACACGGCTTGTTGCAATTCAACTGGGATAGTGTCAAACTGCTGATATCACTATTAATTGTGGGATGGAATTTTGCATCGGGAAATGTAAAAGCTACATGTACAGTCCATCATTTGCAGCTTTCCAAAAAGTAACTGACGTAATTATTGTTGAAAAACATACTTGGTTGAAAGATAGTAAGGGGACTAAACTCCCTTTGAAATTATTCTGTCTGGCATGCCATCATTTATAGAAGTCAACAAAAAAAGGCCTTTTCAACGGTGCCGTACGGTTAGTAGTTCTGTTAGTTAGTAATTTCCGTTAGTAGTTTTTTTTTTTTTATTCGGCGAAGTGAACGCAAACGTTGACACGATGCACACGCGTGCGGTTGCTTTAATTTTTTGGATCAGTGCGCGACATCACGTAGCTGCATTCGGCTTAGAGAGAAACGCGTCTGGGACGCTGAATTCAGGCCCAATTCAAGGCATGATTCAGCAACTTTTGATTTGAAATCAATATCCTAGAAAGTTGTTTGTCTCGAAATATACAGCTGAAGCTGAGCTGAAACTTCATCAGGTTAGTTGTTCAGCACCCTTCTCTAGATTCTGAGCACATTTGTTGCTTCAAACGAACAAAATGCACAAATTACAAATACTGGAATGTTTATTTGTACCTTTAATTCAATATTAGGTTTTGCTGTTCCACTGATGTGATTTTGGTCAGATCGAGCCAGCCAACTGACCCTAGCAAGCTCAGTGGTCCAGTGGTAAGATGTCTGCACTAGTAAGCAGGAGGTCGTGGGTTCGAGTCCCACCCTAGTAAGCTTGTATATGTGTAAAGGAAAATTCTCACAAACCCTCAGACAACACTGAGTGTATTGTGTTTATCAAATCATGTCAGTGAAGGGCAAAACCCAACTTTGCATTTAAAGATACAGCAGATCAGTTAATGTCAATGGCATACTGTTAATTGGAGGCAATTTGGAAGGTATAACGACAACTCATACTTCTATGTCGAATCACAAAACAAGGGACTGGTCCAATGTTCAGTGACACAATAATGAGATTATGAGCTTCATGTAAACCATCAGTGTAATTAATGCTTATCAGGCGAAAAGTTTTTTTTCGATAAAGTTGACATACATGTTCGTGCAAGTAAATTCTGTATCAATAAATCTACTTTCAAATTAGCTGAATGAGAAATACATTCAGTCTTCGGCCCATGAGGTAGTATATGGTGAAAAAAATAATGTCAAATTGAAATTGTTGCAGGTTTTAAGCTATTCGTCTTAGAAATCATAACATACATTTGTAAATCTTGCACATTAACATCGTGACCAGTAGGCCCCTAATTTCAGGCAAAATCGATAATAATTTATAATTGAGACAGAACAGGAAGAAAGAAAGAAAGAAATTAGAAGAAAAATACTTTCAGAAGGAAAAAAATTAATTTTCAGCAGAAAAAATATGGCTTTCCTGCCATTGTCAATGGCGGGGAAAAAAAAAAATCTGCATCCCTTAGTTCGTTCTGTTCCAACACTGTGCCATATTGTCTGTCTTTATTCCCCATCAACTATTCCCCACATGACCAGCCTCACAGACAAGGGAGTACTTCATGTGTTTTCTTCAGGGCAATACAAATTCCGCTTTAGTGCGCTCTGTGTGGATGGTAATATGCAGACTGCCTTTTTTAAATGTCAAATTTATCAAACATCAATAAGGCAAGGGAGCTAAAAATAGCTCTGCCCACAGGCCAACAAACACTGGGCCCATTAGGGCCTTTGTTAGATCCAGGCTCCATTTTCTATTTATAGACCATTAATATTGAAGGCAGGTGTAAAGAGCTGCTTGGAAATGTCTATTTTTAGAAATTCAACCTGAAGTGGTATTTACTTTTCTGACGTTCAGTATGATATGCACCTAAAATGCAATCTGCTGTGCTGATACGTAATTAAAGCCCATGTACATGTCATGTACATGTACATGTACTGGTAATTACATGCATGCTTGATACAATGTAGTTTTGATACATTGTATGTTTGTGAGGAACAAACATACAATAATCCAGCCATATATTTCATATAAATCTCATGTTGGGAAACAGTTTCATTAAATGTACAATGCTTAGTTCCCTTATTGTTGTCCCCTTTTTTGGAGAACATTATAATGTTCAAAACACATACATTTATTAGATGCTACATGTACATGTATGTAGTTTGTAATGCACAATGCACAAGATATTTAGACTACTTTTGTCCACTTGAAAATAATATACATGTAGAGTACTTTGTACTATTTGCAACACTCTATCCTTAGTTTGTTTTTGTTTACAAGGCTGTGCTTTCTGGACAAAATATAAAAAATACATGTACATGTATGTAAACAAGACAATTACATGTATAATCGTTTGCCCTATTCAATAGCACTGGACTGTAAAAAAAATAAATTAAAAATTGATCAATTAGTTTTCTTTACCACCATTATTGTGTACATTGTACGCACATAATATATGTGAACTGGCACAAAACTTTAGTTTTTATACGCTGAACGCTGAACACTGTACACAATGCAAGCAATTATGGTGCTAAGTGATGTGTGATAATGTGCTACTCTGCCCCAAAATCCCAATTACACAGTTAATGGCTAGATTTTAATTGTCTATTACTATGGAAGTGGACAAATATAATTACATTAGTTACCGGTACATTACCATACAGCAAGAGCAGAACTATAGGCCTAATATGGCTCAAAATTTTTGCATAATTGAACAACCATTTAAAGTGTTCACCATACTTGGTTATGTACAAAACTAGTCTACATGTCAATGTTTGTACACATAAAGAAAATCCTGAAAAGTACACGTATGTCCATATTTGGCCACACATTTAAGAAAAAAATGCCATACAGCTTTAACTAATAGTAAACTGTACAAATGTATGTAGGCCTACATACATGTGTACAGGTGTACACGTGTACATGTACATCAATATAGAGTTTTAAATTAATAGAATATTCAAATAAACCACAAACAGAACCTCACTAGATGCATTACACATGTACATACGTGTGCATACATGTACATGTTTAATTTTTTCTACATTGATCACAGAAACTGACTGGAGCGGGGTTTGAACCTGTGACCTCCGGATTGCCATTCCAGTGCTCTACCAACTGAGCTATCCAGCCCTACCGGTATGTTGGCATGTTTAAACCCTACTCCAGTCGATATCTTTGTTCAACGTTGAAAAAAATTATTATAATGCACCCAGTCAGTTTCCCCTTTGTGGTTTATTTGAAAATACCGGATCTGATACACCGTGCCCTCTGGAGACATGCACAAAATAGGGAACAAAAGATTGTATACGTCTCCACAGGGCAATTTCTATAGATGAATACGTCTCCACAAGGTTTTCACGAAATACCGTAGATATATGGATTTTACTCAAAAACTAGGAATTTTCAAGGTATGTTGATCAGTTGCAAATGGTAGAGTTTTAGAAAAGGGATATTAAGTCCGAATTTCAGCCAAGGAAATTAATTCTGGTTTTAATAAGAGGATTTTGAAACTGTACTTTCAAACTCGAAAACTTTAGTGCACGAGAACAAACAAATGTCTCCACAAGGATACAAATTTCAGTATGTGTACATATGTAATTAAAAGCTGTACATGTATCCTCTTTGAGTGATCCCTGTTTGCTATTTTCCGGATTTGCAGCATTGTAATGTTGCTGGCAGCGTGACTTCAGGAGAGATCCCTGGCTACATGGCATGTATGCATACGGCATTCAGGTTTATGGCTTCTGACTAGCGCCCCTTGAACAAGGACATTGATACATTGGGGAACCACTAACAGGTTGGATAACTCTGTTGGCAGATCACTGGAACAGCAACCTGCAGGTTGTAAGTTCAAACCCCGCTCCAGTTGATTTCTTTATTCAACATAGACAAAACAAATGGAATAGAAAGCCAAACTTTCCAGAACAACGAATTTGTTCTGCATTTTTACTTTTACAAGCAAGTCATTTTTTTGGATGAATACTGCTTAAATGTATTGACAAAAAGAACATTCAGTTTAAATTCTGTGATTTAAAAAAAAAAAAACCTAATTATCAGAAAGAAACGACCATTGGCAACATAAATTTTGTATTGAACGACACTATCTAGGGCTATAAACATGTAATCATCAGTCCAGCTCTGTTTGTTAGGATTATGCAAAACTGAGGAACCGCCTTTAAATTCATACATGTAGATGTTTAAGCTGGCATTGGCAAAACTTGAATTCATATTTCGACCATTAGGCCGAAATATTCCTCTGGCCAGCAAATTCAGTCATGCCAATAAATCAAGTGACTGCTTTTAACAATTAATTAAGAATTCCCTTGTTAGTTTGATGCATGGCAAGGGGAAGAAATGGAAGACATTTTTTACCGTCTGTGAATGAGTGGTTTGCATTTTACGGGTAGTACATGTACGGGTGCCAACTACCCTTGACCAAAAAAAAAAAATTCTGCTTCCGATTACATGGCATTTGAAAATAGGGTAGGTAGCTAGGGGGGGGGGGGGGGCGCCTCGGGGGGCTTGAGCCCCCCCCCCCCCCCCCCCCCCCCCCCCCCCCCCCCCCCTAAAACCAAATCCTGGGTGTGCCACTGACTCGAGTGCCCGGTTCCGATGCACTCTGTATGGTGAATTATCAAACAATTGGAGGGTTTTTATAGCACTAGCGGGAAGTCGATGAAAGAAGTATTCAGCAAGACAAGTTCGCTTGTATCCCCCACCCTGCAAACAGTGCGGCGGGTGCTGGGAATGGCTGATGCCACTTTGCAGAATCTTGTGACGGAAGAATGGATGGCATTATGAGTAACTTATCATGACCTTCGCATGCAGCTAGCACGGGCTACATACATATACGTATGATAAACGGTTACACCTCTATGTTCCGACACCCCTATGTTTCGACTGCACATATTCCTATTCCTAACCCTAACCCTAACCGGGAGTAACACAATCTAGGTTGTCGGAACATAGGGGTGTTGGAACATAGAGCAGTCACCTGATAAACAGCTGTAGCCTATTTGTGCGCTGCATTTCCTCCATGATTCTACGTCACAGGTCAAAATCTATCCAATTAGAGCTCAAAGAGATCAGCCCTTCCCAGCATCCTGTTGGCTAAATACGAGGCGAACAAGACAAGCGTCTTTAGCCTGCACTCACTGCGCGCAAAAGGTTTATTTACTCTGTCAATAGAGGACGCTGTTTCTCTTTCTTTTTTTAAATTCAGACTTTGTATTTTTATCGTAGTTCTTCTCATTGCAAACCATTGTGGAAGCGGGAACAAGGTTTATTGGATAGAATACACAGAAATTTACATGTCTGGAAAGTTTTATAAAATTTGGCAGACCATATCACCTATGTCAAAAACTATATAACATCACAAGACTCACCAAAACAGCTGACTAAATTACACTCAAAAGTGACATTTAAAATTATACATTTCTTGACACATCTGAACAACTGGTAATGACATTGTCTGAATATCAGCAGGTTTAATCTTGTTGAAAGAGGGCAGGGCATTGAATTGAGGGAAATTTAAAAAAAAAAAAAAAAAAGCGTAGGCCTAAAATGTTTAAATGATGTAAAAGTACACTTCACTTGAAATTCACTTGGGAAAGAATGTTGCAACCTGACGCCACTTTGTTTCCTTATATATCATCCCAATGAAGGTCATTCATTGCGAAAATGATGATAAGACATGAATCTGGGACCGAGAAACATTTCCAATTTTGTTAGGCAACTTTCTTGACTACAAAAGTACAATGTACTTTGTACACAACCGCTGAAGTGGTGTCAGGTTGCAACATTCTTTCCTTCGCAGGTATTTTTTTTGTTCTGTCAAATTTTACCAGCTGCGATGCGAACTCTTGCTTCATCATCGTTGAGTGAATGGAGAGCATACAATCGGAGTTGTGTGGCAAAAGTCTCACTGCCCCACTCGTGCATTACGACCACCTTGGAGCCCAACAGAACCCCTTGCCTCGTCTCCCACGATGTCTGAGAATCCTGACCGTGCAGCAAGCTCGTCAACGCCGTCTCCAAGCGCTCCAGGCCCGGCGGGTCGCACTCGTCCATCAGCCGCTGAAGCTCGCCCAAACCTCGGTCTCGGTCAAGTTTCTTCTCTCCACAGAGCAGCTGGAGCGTAGCCTCCGTCGACATTTTGTGGGATGGTTCTACTGATTATTCCTTCATTAACTGATGAAGCCTTGTGAACTTTTACTGAAGCGGCGAAGAATCGGTGTGGGTTTTTAACGAAATATTCGCATCGTCATCATCCAAGCATGATCCAAGGAACCACTGCACTGGCACCGTAAACACACGTACTACTTATCGCGCGCAATCCGCGCTACTATCCACTGATTTGGTGAACGACGGTCAGGCGACACGACTTAAGCTCAATGGTACCCGACTATTGTATTTTTGAGGGCGCTCTTCAACATAGACGGGCGCAATCGAACCAGTAAAAATATATTCTTTTTGACAGCAAATACAAAATAATACAATGTGAAAGTGCCGCGTTTGGTGGATGCCTGGTCTGGCTAGGTTCAATTTTTCTTTTCAACTCCCTGATGGCAAAGACCTTCTCTTCCATTTCAAACGATATGTAATTAGTAAGAAAGAGTATGAAAAAAACAAATGACAATTTGTTGCTCCCCTATGCTTCTCATTATTTTTGTCATCAATTTTTCAAATTGTCAATTGTACAACTACAAGATTGTCAATTTGTATGTTTTATTTAACGACAGATTTTTTTTCAACTTTGGATGTCTGCAACAGTTTGGGTTGCTTTTTTTTACGACTGTGATGCACAAACAGATCCGCCTGAAATATTGTCGGACCCCAATTCATCACTAAAGTGTGCAGATTTTTTTTCGATGATGTCTCTTTAAGTTAATAACCTTTGTATTGCTTGAGAAATAGCAATTTACAAATAGCACATGCAGGAAGAACAAGGTTAACCTTAGGCGTGAATACAACTTTTGGGAAAAGCAAAAAGTAAAAGGAAAACGGGCCCTATTATTATGAAAGTTGGTGTACACGTGCTTTTGAGTGTGGCACCTTGAAAAATAGATTTTCAAATTGAATTGATAATTTTCTAGCTTTACATTAGTTATGAGCTTTCCAATGCGACATCGCACGAAAAAGATTGGCCCATGACAAGCAATTAATTAATTTACTTCAACTTTTGAATTAAGAGTGGGACGCTCCTAATTCGTTCTGAATAGTGTGCGCAAATTCTGAACTGGAGCACACCACTTAAAACCAATATTTAAAACGTTATGAAGGCCTGCAAAAACAAACAAGCAAAATTATTTGTTACAGGACATTATATTCCTTTATCTTTCGTTCGGAAAAGAAATTTTGAAAAAGCACGTTTATACCAACTTAAATCGAAAACTACTTAGCCGTTTTCATTGGTCGCGCACCGTCTGGAGATTGTCCGGCGGCTGACCAGGCCATGTCTTTGCGGACGAATGTCTTTGCGGACGAATCTCCAGACGGTGCAGAGACAGAATGGATTACCACCAAAGCACAAGACATTACCATCGTCAACATCTACAAACCACCACCCAGCAGACTGATCCCATCGTCCCTGCCAGATGTCCCAGCCCCTGCCGTGTATGCTGGTGATTTCAATAGCCATCATACAGACTGGGGTTACAGCAGCTCCAACGCTGATGGCGACTTCCTGGTAGACTGGGCCTCGACTGTAGATGCTACACTCCTATACGACCCAAAGGAGCCGCAGACATTCTACTCTGCACGATGGAACAGTACCACCAATCCAGACTTGGCATTTGCAAAATCACATAACAACCAGCCCCTCCCTGTAAGACGCATCCTGGACATGTTTCCCCGGTCACACCACCGACCGTCGCTCATCACCATCCCATCGTTGGTCCAGTCTGTGCAAGGGAGGGATGTCAAGAGGTGGAACTTCCGGAAAGCTAACTGGGCAGGCTTCACCAGACAAGTGAACAAGGCAGCTGCCGGTCTACCACACCCGTGCCCCAACAACCTGAATGATGCCTACGACTCATACTGCAAAATGCTGCTGGATGCCGCCAAGAACAACATCCCCCGTGGTGTGCGCAAAGCCTATGTCCCCTGTTGGGACGACGAATGTGAACATCTACTTCGCGCCCATTCAGTAGCACAAACAGCTGAAGATAGGGACAAAGCAGCAGACGACCTATTCTGCAGGTTAAATGAGAAGCGCAGGCAACGTTGGATTGAGACTGTGGAATCAATCGACTTCACACACTCAAGCCGACGGGGGTGGCAGACTCTAAACAAGCTGACAGGAAGGTCAACAACCCCGGCACAGTGCCCCATCACTGCAAACTCCATCGCATCGCTCCTGCTGAGTAATGGCCGCTTCCCTAATGCAGACAAGGACTTCACTAGAAAAACATCAGCAAGAGTCCATGAGCTGCTGAGGGCCCCAGGATGCAATCACAACCTATCGATCGACTTCACATCACAAGAAATCGATAAGGCCACACAACGCCTGAAGACTGGTAAGGCACCAGGCATAGACGGCATCCACCCTGAGTACATAAAACATCAAGGCAAGAAGGCAACTGACTGGCTCCGTTCCTTCCTCTCCACATGCCTCCAGTATTCAAAGCTGCCAAAGATCTGGCGCCGTGCCAAGGTAATTGCCCTGCCGAAGCCAAACAAGCCGAGCGACGACCCGAAGGGATACCGGCCCATCTCACTGCTGTGTGTATCCTTCAAGCTCCTGGAACGCCTCATCCTGGCGCGCCTCACCCCAGTGATTGACCCCAAGCTGCCCAAAGAACAGGCTGGCTTCCGAAGTGGTAGGTCGACAACAGACCAGGTGACCCTTCTGTGCCAGGACATAGAAGACAGCTTCCAGACCGGCGAGAAGGCTGGTGCTGTCTTCCTCGACCTTACAGCTGCCTACGACACTGTCTGGTTGCGTGGGCTACATATGAAGCTTCTGGAAACCATCCCAGACAAGCACATGGTGAGCTTCATTATGGAGATGCTGAGCAACCGCAGCTTTCAGCTCCACACCAGCAACGGCCAAAGCAGCAGGACGAGAAAGCTCAAGAATGGCGTCCCGCAGGGCTCAGTTCTGGCACCAATACTGTTTAACATCTACATCTATGACCTACCCGCAACAACATCAAGGAAGTACGGCTACGCAGACGACCTGGCCATTTTGCTCAGCAAGCCATCCTGGGAAGCAGTAGAGGAAGGCCTCTCTGAGGACATGAACATCCTGTCTTCATACCTGAAGGACTGGCGCCTCAAGCTCAGTGTGGAGAAGACTGTATAGCAACAATGTTCCACCTCTACAACAGGGAAGCAACCCGTGACATCAACATCATGGTCAACGATGCCCGGCTACGGTCCCAGTCCTCCCCAACATATCTTGGAGTGAAGCTTGACCGAACGCTGTCCTTTAAACAACACCTGGACAGTGTCAAGGGAAAGACCACCGCCCGTGCCGCGCTAATACGACGCCTAGCCGGTACCACGTGGGGAGCCACCACAAAGACACTGCGCATCTCCACAGAGGCTCTGGTGTTCCCTGCCGCTGAGTACTGTGCCCCAGTCTGGAGCCGTAGCCATCATGTTAAGAAGCTGGACGCTGCCCTCAACACTGCCCTACGGACTGTCTCCGGATGTCTAAGAGCCACTCCAACCAACCAACTGCCTGTCCTTGCTGGAATTGCTCCAGCAGAGATCAGACGAGAAGCAGCCACGCTGGCCCTTGCTCGGAAGGCACAGCTGAGTGAATCTCACCTCCTCCACAAGGTAGTCACGGAGACACCACAGCGCACACGCCTCAAGTCCCGGCGTCCCTTTGCCACACAAGCCCAGGAACTGCTCCACACAACACCAGCGGACACCTCCAAGGCTTCCTGGGTGAAGGCAAGATGGATGGACCAGTGGAACTAAGGCAGCAGAACCATCCAGGCTTCACCACTACATCGAGGATCCAGCAGAAGTTCCGGGCCAGCACCTCCCCCGTAAGGAGTGGACAACACTCAATCGCCTGAGGACAGGTGTGGGACGCTTCGGGGCTGCAATGCAGAAGTGGGGTCTCACAGACAGTGCCCAATGTGAATGTGGTGACCCATCACAGACTGTGGAACATGTGATGACCAGCTGTCCCATATACCGGCCACCGAATGGTGATCGTGGCTTAATTGACTTAGACAATGACACACTGGACTGGCTTGCTGCAACGGAGCTGAAGGTCTAAGGACATACGACAGAAGAAGAAGATTGGTCGCGCATTACTCAAATACAAAATGACAACTTGGAGATTGTAGTAACGTAGACACATGATACAAATATTTATTGGAAGGCATACCGAATGACAATATGCATATATATAATATTCACGCATGCCATAATAAGATCTGACAATTTGAAAAATATAACATTATATTTTGCTTATTGGTATATATATTTTGGCCACAAATCTAAAAAGTTGGGGAATTTCGCGTTGTGGTACGGTTCGGGAGAGTTAAACCAAAAGGCTTAGTCTGGCTATATATATTTACACATTTGTGCTGCTTTCAAGTTAATTGAGAAAACAGTTGTATATTTCTGCGGTATAACTGGCACGCCTAACCTTCTTTAAAGAATTTATTTGTATATTACAAAAAGTTTGTCAGTAATAAATACTGGCCACAGCCGATTCGACAACTCAATACGTAACCAACACATTACAACTATCAATGACAGCATTCTCGGCGGTCTGAGAAAATAAGGTTTGAAATGTATCACTCTTAAACTATCAAAAACTTAAATGAAATTAATTAAGATTTTAATAATACCTCTTAATCCTTTTTTTTTTTTTTTTTAAATTACATGCATGCCTCTTGAAGCTTGTGCAGTCCGCTTCTAATAATCGTAAATACACGTATGCTAAAAAAATGTTGTTTTACTCTGTTTAATCACCTATTTTAATTGAAAACAAAAGGCTATGATGCCGAAACATTCAGCAGGTTCCCCAAAAAGCTGGCAGAATGTCTTTTTAAAAATCTCTGTCACCTCAGCTTTAACTCAAATAATTTTGAGGTATGGAAGTTAAATATATCCAAAACAGAGGAAAATGACTGTACACATTAAGCTATCATTACTAAAAGGAATATCTATAACAGCACTTATGTATAAGCTGAAATGGATAGGTGAATAAATACTTTGTATTTTGTTTTTCATGTTTTTTTTTATCTTGCCGTTGGATCCTCAAAATTAATAATTTGATCCACCGAAATCACAGGTTTTTTTCCCATTAGATGGATGACGTTTCGGATGAAGCAGAATGGCGTCGTTTGTCGGTCTGTTCCTCGGTCTGTACCTAAGTTTAGGAGACAAAAAATAAAGATAACAGTGAATCTAAAATATCAGCTGATCCTATGCCAAAGACCAGGGATGCGTTCCACTTAATACACGAACAGTGCTAACGTTTACCAACGTTATTAATGCGTTCCACTTACACGAACAGTGCTAACGTTTACCAACGTTGGTAACGTTTGTGCAAAATGGAACCGATATGTATTGCCATTAACGTTGTATGGCGAACGTTAGCAATCAAGGCGAACGGTCTTTTGAGTCGTTTGCTTATGTTTTTCAAAATAATGACCAACATAAACAAGGAACGTCATACTTTTATCAGGGCTGACATTTTCCGTCTTCAACATCCCAATTAAGTTAATTTATTACTGGGGAAAATATTCACTTCCACTCACAATTTTTTTTTTCAAGGATTATAAAAAGCTGCTATCCAAACAGTAAAACTAACAGTTTTTCGTTGACATTATCGTTTCAATTTGGGTTGACGAACACAAGTCATTTTCGCGTGAGCTGGAATGCACCCCAGAACTAGACTATGTCTCAATGTTTTGTTCACTAGGCGGAGACCGTGATAGTGGACGGATGTGGGAAATAGTGTGCATGAGCGTCGGGAGGAGAAAAATTGAAGGGTCCTCTTGAAAACTTTGAAAATATGCACGTAATTAGTTATCTATCTGCTTCTTCTAATGTTTGAAATTTTCTGGGACACTCATATCAAACCCATAATGCTTGGGGCATTTGGCGCTCCTGTCGGACTGCTGGGCAAAGTCCACCGTTCCGTCCGCAGTCATAGTTGATTTACATGATTATGCCACCTTTCAGATAAACACTTCCTTGCGCTTTGTATATCCATATCTTTGTAAACGAGTTTTGAGATTTAACCTCGACTCAAGATCCCAGGATAGGAAGAAAATACGAATGGGTAGCCTATATAGACGTTTGATCACGTGGTGGTAATAATGATGAGGCTGTTCCATTACCTCTTCTTTTCTTTTCCTCCACAGTGATGCCATAGTGATCAGGAAGAAAATCAGCGTGCAGGACTTCAGTCCAATCAGCAAGCCGAAAAATCGCCGTCTGAACGCGAGCAGGTCGTAGTGCCAGCAGACAGAGTTTGCGGTTTCTTCATATAGTACAGCGCCCTCGCTCGACGCGTAGAGGAGACACGTGGATTTGATGACTGCACCGAAGTAAACGGGTGCCGGGAAAAATCCTACCGAAGTAAAAAGAGGTTTAAAAAAAATAATTAAACAAAAATTTATTAAACGTTTGTGAATATTGATGTTTTGTTCAACGTCCATCGGAATTTTAAGAACAAGGGGGCGGGGACTGGGCCCTTCAAAACAAACCAAATATTTGAATCCTTAACAATGCGTTCTCAATATTTTAAGCGGCATCACATTCGCCTCACACGCGAAAGGTCCCCGGTTCAAACCCGAGCGGAAGCATTGCCAAGCAACAATTTGTATCGCCAAGCAACAATTTGTATAACTTGTAAAAAAAAAAAGACTTTTTTTTTTAAACTAAAAAGCACAATAAAAGAACCTGTCTATCACCGCCAGATTCCGTAGTGTAGCGGTTATCACGTTCGCTTTACACGCGAAAGGTCCCCGGTTCGAACCCGGGCGGAATCAACATTTATATATATATATATATATATATATATATATAATATTTTTAAAGTAAAATGCACAATAAAAAAAAAAAGGTTAACCATCATCAGATTCCGTAGTGTAGCGCTTATCACGTTCGCCTAATACGCGAAAGGTCCCTGTTCGAAAAGGGGCGGAATCAAGTTTCATATTTATAAAAAAAAAAATTCAACTAAAAAGCACAATCAAAGAAACCGTTTACCAGTAAAAAGTGCAATCAATCCAATCGTATATCGACATCAGATTCCTAGCGGTTATCACGTTCGCCTAACACGCGAAAGGTCCTCGGTTCGAACCCGGGCGGAATCAACTTTTTTATTTGTAAATTAGATGTTTTTCAACTAAAAAGCACAATCAACGAAACCAGGAAACCTTCTACCGACATCAGATTCCGTAGTGTAGCGGTTATCACGTTCGCCTAACACAAGAAACGTCCCCGGTTCGAACCCGGGCGGAATCAACTTTTTTTATTTGTAGAAAAAATGTTTTTAAACTAAAAAGCACAATCAAAGAAACCGTTTACCATCATCAGATTCCGAAGTGTAGCGGTTATCACGTTCGCCTAACACGCGAAAGGTCCACGGTTCGAACCCGCAGGGCGGAATCAACTTTTATATTTATAAAAATTTTTTTAAAAACAATTAGTAAAAAGCACAATTAAAGGAACCGTTTACCACCATCAGATTCCGTAGTGTAGCGGTTATCACGTTCGCTTTACACGCGAAAGGTCCCCGGTTCGAACCCGGGCGGAATCAACGTTTTTTATTTGTTAAAAAAAAAATGTTTTTTTATACTCAAAAGCACAATCAAAGAAATCGTTTACCACCATCAGATTCCGTAGTGTAGCGGTTATCACGTTCGCTTTACACGCGAAAGGTCCCCGGTTCGAACTCAGGCGGAATCAACGTTTTTTATTTGTAAACTCAAAAACACAATCAAAGAAAACGTCTACCATATTCAGATTCCGTAGTGTAGCGGTTATCACATTCGCCTCACACGCGAAAGGTCCCCGGTTCGAACCCGCAGGGCGGAATCAACTTTTATATTAATAAAACAAGAAAGAAAACTAAAAAACACAATCAAAGAAACCGTTTACCATCATCAGATTCCGTAGTGTAGCGGTTATCACGTTCGCCTCACACGCGAAAGGTCCCCGGTTCGAACCCGGGCGGAATCAACGTTTTTTATTTGTAAACAAAAAAATGTTTTTTAAACTCAAAAGCACAATCAAAGAAAACGTCTACCATCATCAGATTCCGTAGTGTAGCGGTTATCACATTCGCCTCACACGCGAAAGGTCCCCGGTTCGAACCCGCAGGGCGGAATCAACTTTTATATTTATAAAAGAAGAAAGGAAAAAAAAGTAAAAAGCACAATCAAAGAAATCGTTTACCACCATCAGATTCCGTAGTGTAGCGGTTATCACGTTCGCTTTACACGCGAAAGGTCCCCGGTTCGAACCCGGGCGGAATCAACTTTTATATTTATTACAAAATATTAAACTAAAAAACACAATCAAAGAAATCGTTTACCATTATCAGATTTCGAAGTGTAGCGGTTATCACGTTCGCCTCACACGCGAAAGTTTTTTAAACTCAATAGCACAATCAAAGAAAACGTCTACCGTCATCAGATTCCGTAGTGTAGCGGTTATCACGTTCGCTTTACACGCGAAAGGTCCCCGGTTCGACCCGGGCGGAATTAACTTTTATATTTATGAAAAAAAAAACAATTAAAGTAAAAAGCACAATCAAAGAAACCGTTTACCACCATCAGATTCCGTAGTGTAGCGGTTATCACGATCGCCTCACACGCGAAAGGTCCCCGGTTCGAACCCGGGCGGAATCAACTTTTATATTTATAAAAAAGAAAAAAAGAAAAAAAAGCACAATCAATCTTATCGTATATCGACATCAGATTCCGTAGTGTAGTGGTTATCACGTTCGCCTAACACGCGAAAGGTCCCCGGTTCGAACCCGGGCGGAATCAACTTTTTTTATTGGTTAAAAAAAGTTTTTAAACTAAAAAGTTTAATCGATGCAATCGTCCATCGACCTCTGATTCCACAGAGTAGGTTATACTTTTCCCCAGGTTTGCAATATTGCTAGGCCTAATGTTGCTAGCATCGTCACCTTGGTCGTGATACCTGGCTACATGGCTTCTGCCGCCCAATAAGCAAGGACACTGACAAACTCAATAGCACAATCAAAGAAATCGTTTACCACCATCAGATTCCGTAGTGTAGCGGTTATCACGTTCGCTTTACACGCGAAAGGTCCCCGGTTCGAACTCAGGCGGAATCAACGTTTTTTATTTGTAAACTCAAAAACACAATCAAAGAAAACGTCTACCATATTCAGATTCCGTAGTGTAGCGGTTATCACATTCGCCTCACACGCGAAAGGTCCCCGGTTCGAACCCGCAGGGCGGAATCAACTTTTATATTAATAAAACAAGAAAGAAAACTAAAAAACACAATCAAAGAAACCGTTTACCATCATCAGATTCCGTAGTGTAGCGGTTATCACGTTCGCCTCACACGCGAAAGGTCCCCGGTTCGAACCCGGGCGGAATCAACGTTTTTTATTTGTAAACAAAAAAATGTTTTTTAAACTCAAAAGCACAATCAAAGAAAACGTCTACCATCATCAGATTCCGTAGTGTAGCGGTTATCACATTCGCCTCACACGCGAAAGGTCCCCGGTTCGAACCCGCAGGGCGGAATCAACTTTTATATTTATAAAAGAAGAAAGGAAAAAAAAGTAAAAAGCACAATCAAAGAAATCGTTTACCACCATCAGATTCCGAAGTGTAGCGGTTATCACGTTCGCTTTACACGCGAAAGGTCCCCGGTTCGAACCCGGGCGGAATCAACTTTTATATTTATTACAAAATATTAAACTAAAAAACACAATCAAAGAAATCGTTTACCATTATCAGATTTCGAAGTGTAGCGGTTATCACGTTCGCCTCACACGCGAAAGGTCCCCGGTTCGAACCCGGGCGGAATCAACGTTTATTATTTGTAAAAAAAAAAAAATGTTTTTTTATACTCAAAAGCACAATCAAAGAAATCGTTTACCACCATCAGATTCCGTAGTGTAGCGGTTATCACGTTCGCCTAACACGCGAAAGGTCCCCGGTTCGAACCCGGGCGGAATCAACTTTTATATTTATTACAAAATATTAAACTAAAAAACATAATCAAAGAAACCGTTTACCATCATCAGATTCCGTAGTGTAGCGGTTATCACGTTCGCTTCACACGCGAAAGGTCCCCGGTTCGAACCCGGGCGGAATCAACGTTTTTTTATTTGTAAATTTTTTCCAACTGAAAAGCGCAATCAATGTAATCGTCTATCGACATCAGATTCCGTAGTGTAGCGGTTATCACGTTCGCCTAACACGCGAAAGGTCCCCGGTTCGAACCCGGGTGGAATCAACGTTTTTTATTTGTAAACAAAAAGTTTTTTAAACTCAATAGCACAATCAAAGAAAACGTCTACCATCATCAGATTCCGTAGTGTAGCGGTTATCACGTTCGCTTTACACGCGAAAGGTCCCCGGTTCGACCCGGGCGGAATTAACTTTTATATTTATGAAAAAAAAAACAATTAAAGTAAAAAGCACAATCAAAGAAACCGTTTACCACCATCAGATTCCGTAGTGTAGCGGTTATCACGATCGCCTCACACGCGAAAGGTCCCCGGTTCGAACCCGGGCGGAATCAACTTTTATATTTATAAAAAAGAAAAAAAGAAAAAAAAGCACAATCAATCTTATCGTATATCGACATCAGATTCCGTAGTGTAGTGGTTATCACGTTCGCCTAACACGCGAAAGGTCCCCGGTTCGAACCCGGGCGGAATCAACTTTTTTTATTGGTTAAAAAAAGTTTTTAAACTAAAAAGTTTAATCGATGCAATCGTCCATCGACCTCTGATTCCACAGAGTAGGTTATACTTTTCCCCAGGTTTGCAATATTGCTAGGCCTAATGTTGCTAGCATCGTCACCTTGGTCGTGATACCTGGCTACATGGCTTCTGCCGCCCAATAAGCAAGGACACTGACAAACTGGGGACCCGCCAACATTGGGCTGGATATCTCAGTCAGTATAGAACCGGAACCGTAATCCGTAGCCCGGCCGTAGGTCGCAGGTTTAAAGCCCGCTCCAGGCAATTTCTTGGTTCCATTTTATAATTAAGAAGTCATTAACAATAGTGAATCGCCGAGCAAATTATGTAATATGGATTATATACACATGTAAACTCCATAATAGCCTTACCGATGACCTTGATAACACAAGTCAGCATTCCAATTTCCCGGGCGGAATCAACTTTTATATTTATTACAAAATATTAAACTAAAAAACACAATCAAAGAAACCGTTTACCATTATCAGATTTCGAAGTGTAGCGGTTATCACGTTCGCCTCACACGCGAAAGGTCCCCGGTTCGAACCCGGGCGGAATCAACGTTTATTATTTGTAAAAAAAAAAATGTTTTTTTATACTCAAAAGCACAATCAAAGAAATCGTTTACCACCATCAGATTCCGTAGTGTAGCGGTTATCACGTTCGCCTAACACGCGAAAGGTCCCCGGTTCGAACCCGGGCGGAATCAACGTTTATTAGTTGTAAAAAAAATGTTTTTTTAAACTCAAAAGCACAATCAAAGAAATCGTTTACCACCATCAGATTCCGTAGTGTAGCGGTTATCACGTTCGCTTTACACGCGAAAGGTCCCCGGTTCGAACCCGGGCGGAATCAACTTTTATATTTATTACAAAATATTAAACTAAAAAACATAATCAAAGAAACCGTTTACCATCATCAGATTCCGTAGTGTAGCGGTTATCACGTTCGCCTCACACGCGAAAGGTCCCCGGTTCGAACCCGGGCGGAATCAACGTTTTTTTATTTGTAAATTTTTTCCAACTGAAAAGCGCAATCAATGTAATCGTCTATCGACATCAGATTCCGTAGTGTAGCGGTTATCACGTTCGCCTAACACGCGAAAGGTCCCCGGTTCGAACCCGGGCGGAATCAACGTTTTTTATTTGTAAACAAAAAGTTTTTTAAACTCAATAGCACAATCAAAGAAAACGTCTACCATCATCAGATTCCGTAGTGTAGCGGTTATCACGTTCGCTATACACGCGAAAGGTCCCCGGTTCGACCCGGGCGGAATTAACTTTTATATTTATGAAAAAAAAAAACAATTCAAGTAAAAAGCACAATCAAAGAAACCGTTTACCACCATCAGATTCCGTAGTGTAGCGGTTATCACGATCGCCTCACACGCGAAAGGTCCCCGGTTCGAACCCGGGCGGAATCAACTTTTATATTTATAAAAAAGAAAAAAAGAAAAAAAAAGCACAATCAATCTAATCGTATATCGACATCAGACTCCGTAGTGTAGCGGTTATCACGTTCGCCTAACACGCGAAAGGTCCCCGGTTCGAACCCGGGTGGAATCAACGTTTTTTATTGGTTAAAAAAAATGTTTTAAACTAAACAGTTTAATCAATGCAATCGTCCATCGACCTCTGATTCCATAGAGTAGGTTATTCTTTTCCTCAGGTTTGCAGTATTGCTAGGCTTTATGTTGCTATCGGAACTGTGGTCGTGATACCTGGCTACATGGCATATATACATACGGATATATGGCTTCTGCCGCCCAATAAACATCGGAAAACCCGCCAACATCGGAATGGATATCTCAGATAGTATAGCACTGGAACGGTAATCCGTAGGTCGCAGGTTCAAAGCCCGCTTCAAGCATTTTTTTGTTTCCATTTTATAATTAAGAAGTCCTGAACAATAGTGAATCGCCGAGCAAATGATGTAATATGGATTATATACACATGTAAACTCTATACTAGCCTTACCGATGACCTTGATAACACAAGTCAGCATTCCAATGGCGAAAGATCTATCTTTCTCCTCCACGCACCTGCATACAGACAAGTCACACCATTGTTATACCCTTTTATATATCAATATTCACCTTAGACTTGAAATCACTTTAAAAGTATAGGCCTACGTTGGAACATTTTGCTTTTGGGGCTTTGGTTTTCGTTTGAAGCACCAAAATTGTAAATCAAAATCTTAAGTATGGTGTAAACAACTAAGCTGATGAAGTTTCAGCTCAAAAGGAAATTGAGAAAACAGAGAAAACGTATAATGAGAAAGAGATGGATTCCGTTGCTAAGGCACGTGGCAAAAAAGTGTTCCCGCGACAACGTATTTTGAAAGCACCTTCAATGTCAGTTTCCTTGCAGACAATACCATTTCAGGAAGAATAGGGCATTGAGGGAGTCTTATCTTCACTTAGAGAAAAGTTCCTGTCATTAAATTACTGGTTACTTTTCCGTGTAATTGCAAATGATCCTGCTGGGTATCGGATGTTTCTTTTGACACATTGATTGATGCAGTACTAAAAGGGTGTTGGAATGGTTGTTTCATGTGCCAGGATTTTTTTTGAAGTTTAGGGACTCTCGTAGTCAGAGATTCTAAATTTTCGGACCTTGTCGTATACCTGAGATTGATGATCATGGAGGGATTCTGGCCCATAAACATGACGAACAGTGCCATGGATGAGGTGGCGATGTAGGCCACCATCATGGTACAGAAGAGCGGGCACGCTGATACCCTGGCCTCCCAAGATGCCTCGGACTCGTCTTCGGTAGACGACGAATTGGCGCCGGGTCCCTGGATGCAGCTGCAATCTGAAAAGGTCTGGAATGTTTGGAGAATTTGTGACAGAAATGATGAATTGTTTTTTTAATGGTGGTAACAGTTTGTGTTTAGGTTAGCACTGCATGGAACAAAGATTACATTGTAAAATGTCGTGTCTTAAATACTGACTTTTCAATGCATTGATCGAGAAACTCACCTTGAAACTTAACAACCATTACATTATTAATTTTACATCATCGAAATACCGCTCACGATTGATTGACCTGCCGCAAGAACAACTCACGTGCATTTATCACAGGTCACACAACGATCATCTCATACGTTTCTTGCAGAGTAACTAATACATGGCTTTTATCTGGTTGACATATTGTGACGATGTCGGAACGCCTGGGCTGCGTTCCACACGTGCAAACGCTCCCAACGATCGCGTGATCTTTTTGTGAACATCTAACAGGAAAAAGTTTACCAACGTTGGGAAAACGTCTACTAACGTTGGCAAACGTTTGCATTTTTTGAGTGAGTTGAACGCATCCCTGTCACGGTACCCTGACTTTTCCTCGGGTGTTCTGCGTCCCTCGAATTCCAAAATATGCTATGTCCAGCATCACAGCAGTCGACCATGATTCGTTTTAAAAGTCATGAGATGAAGGTCTCACCTTGTTTTCTTCGTCCCTGCCCACACAGCCGGCGAGACACGGTGATAGGTATGTCAAGCCATCCACACCGCACACTGGATCAATGACGGTGTCATCGCAGACACACTGAGAGCTGGTGCACGATGTCGACTTGGGACTGGGGAGAGAGAAATCCCCAAAACGGTTGAACGGCAACTCGCGAGATTTCAGTCGATGCCTTTGTCAAACACAAGCAGTCCCAATTTCCTCTAAAATTATTTTGTCCCGGAGTTGATTATGACCGAAGAAGTTTTCTTGCTTTCACGTCCTGCAACTGGATTTGACTCAAGTCAGACCCTGTGCTTGGTTCTCGGATAATGATAATTTGGGAGGCTAATCAATACTCGCAGCTGAGAAGCTGAATTGCAAAGGACGCGGCTACAGCGTGGTCGAGCCGCAGGCATGTAAGGGCGCCTTTGGCAGCCAGCCACATCGACCCATAATTATGAACACGGAGCACAGACTGAGATCGGAAGTGTTTGCTTTTTATCCGGAGGGAGGGAACCAAAAGTCCGGAGAAAAAACCCTGTGGCAAAGGAGAGAACCAACGCACAACTCTACTCAAGTAATGGTCAGCAGCCGGGAATCGAACCAGGGCCACAGTGGTAAGAGGCAAGCGCCCAAGTTACGCACTAGCCACCCGTGCCAGCCATGGCATCACGCATTCAGCCTGTACATCTCTCTGTACACTAAAGATAATTCATTGAATCTGGGTGCTTTTGTCCATTTAGGGTCGAAATGACACTTTTTCATGTGTCATGTCGACCCCGCAAAGTGTCGCGTTTTGACCCTGAATCTGACCAGGAACCTTTCAGACTGTATAGGCATACTCAGAATCAGCTGTTACCTCCATATCGCAATTTCAGCAGAGCTATATCCTTAAAATCTAGGCGGCAGCTCAGAGCTTCACAAGGGGCGAATCTAACCCGAGTCAAGTCTGGTTAACACCCAAGACATGACAGACACTGGCCCAAACATATGTTACAGCTGCATTGTTAAAACTTCTAAAAGAAATATCCGTTAACTTGTGAAAACTTTCGCTTGCTTTGTGTTGTCTGCAATGGTCAGGTTCGGTTTGGATGTTATTTAGCGGGGCAATACTCCAACCAATTGTACAGCTATCCGCCTGCCTGCATCATCATCTGACACCAAAGTCTGAAGTCTTGATTCTGCTTTCAATTACTTCACCTTCACGTTGAACTCCAACACAAAATTAAAAAACGGAATTATTCAAATCAGACTTACCACCCATAAAGTGGCGTCCTCATACCGCATCACCAAAATCATATAGTTTCAATCCCACAAATTCCTTAAAAATTGCGAAGGCCTCAATTTACCTAACCACAGTAGGAGTGTCACATCCCAGAAACATCAGCACGGGGTAGATGCAGAGAGTCACAAGTACGGTGATGCAGAGGAAGACGGAGCACTGGAAAGCCGTCAGTCTGAAGCGTCGTAGAAACGCGCCTGCAAGGAGGTGTCCTGCGCAAGATGCCGGCAGGATGGCTGCACCTTTAATATCGAGAGTGGTTTTAGTATAGTATATTATGTCGTATTTTTGACCTTTGCATTTTGTTTTGCTAAAGAAGGAATTTTTGTCATTTTTGGATAGAATTTACCTTCCTCAGCCAGAAATCCATTGGTAACATTTTTTTCCATCTACCATGTGGCGGCCATCTTGGATTTCAAAATTCGGACCTAATTTGTATCATAACTTCGGACCTGACTGTCACATGAAGTCCATTTTGGTGGCAAACCCCATGTTTTTGATACCAAGGAACCCACGTAAATCATTGTTGATGGGGTACTCCCAATGGATGGCAGCCATCTTGGATATTTCAAAATGGCCGCCATTTAGTACCTAATTTGTATCATAACTTCGGACCTGATTGTCATATGAAGTCCATTTTGGTGGCAAACCCTATGTTTTTGATACCAAGGAATCCAAGTAAATCATTGTTGACGGGGTACTCCCAAAGGATGGCAGCCATCTTGGATATTTCAAAATGGCCACCATTTAGTACCTAATTTGTATCACAACTTCGGACCAGATTGTCATATGAAGTCCATTTTGGTGGCAAACCCTATGTTTTTGATACCAAGGAATCCAAGTAAATCATTGTTGACGGGGTACTCCCCAAGAATGGCAGCCATCTTGGATATTTCAAAATGGCCGCCATTTAGTACCTAATTTGTATCATAACTTCAGACCTGATTGTCATATGAAGTCCATTTTGGTGGCAAACCCTATGTTTTCGATAGCAAGGAACCCAAGTAAATCAAATTTGACGGGGTAGTCCCAATGGATGGCAGCCAGAATGAGCGCCATTTTGCAGTTTAGTTTTTAAAGGGTCTCTATTGCACAGTGACAAGTGTTGACCATTCCTGGACTGGATTGTTAATTATTGGCAATAGTAGAGAGGCATAGTGACAGAATTGTGCACTTTGTGGTTAAATTTGGCATATCACGTCTTCATGCCTTGACGAGAATTTTTGAGAAATTGAGGTATTTCATATCTGACCCCTGGTGCCCTTTGTGAAGGGTCAATGAATGGGAAGAATGTAGAATCCACATGCCACTTCAGCAGTTGTGTACAAAGTCTATGGAGAGTCAAGAAAGTTTTTAAAGTATTTTCTTAACAAAATTGGAAATGATATATTATGAAAAAAATTGATGTCAAGATGCAACATCTTTTCCCAATGAACTTTGTATACCCTAATTGCCGCTATTTATATAATCTTCCAAATGCCACTTTTCATTACCTAAGTCTAAATAGTGAAAAAGAAGTGTTTTTTAACAATTATTCTATAGTGTGTAATGATTCAGACCCAAAGACATGACTTCTGATCATGACTTCTGATCTCCATTTCCCTGCTTTAAGAATATAAGAGGTGCATTGGACAAGCATCACACTCTGTAAAAAGGTTAAAAATGTGGTTACTCAAGTCCATCTGGATATAACAGAGTGTAATAAGGACACAATAATGAATACTGCTTGACATTTGTATATATATTCCATTGCATTCCAATTGGGGCATGTTGAGTCTGTCATTAATTAAAAAAGAAAAGAAATTGAGTTCAGAGGTCACCTCAAAATTGTTTGTGCATGGGGTCTGAATTCAATACATGACTATGGAATAAATATGATAGATATCGACAAATAAGGTATACAAAGTTCGTTGACCTCTCCAAGGTATCAGATGTCAGATATGATGCCCTCACATCATGAAAAAAAGTGGCATTTACCCGAGATAATCTTATAAATATCTAAAGATAGGTCATGACCTCTCGAAAGGTAACCAGAGGTTCAATTTGAATTGTCTTACATGTATATATGAATATTTTCTTTTCATAGCATAAAATTTAGACTTAGATCGTGAAAAAGTTGGGGTTTAAATAGTAAACCTTACAAATGGCTATAAATAAGGTTTACGAAGGTTATTGGACTTTCAAAGGTCACTGAAGGTCAGACATGAGTTGTTCCCAAATCTGATCATTAATTGCATTGCATGAAGACCTATGACGTAGACTTGTGACATAGGAAAGTGAAGCTTTGAAGCATAATTGTTAAAGGTTATTGACTCTCAAAGGTCACCAGAAGTTAAATATGAAATGCCTCTTATATTTAAATTTTTTTATTCAAGGTATGAAAAACCAACATGCGTAGTTTAATTCATAGTTGTATCACAGATTGCACAATTCTTGGTATTATTGGGGCTATGCCGCTCCACTTCAAGTATTTGTGAATGATGTCTATAGTTAGCAATTAGTAAGTCCACTTCAGGTTGTTTGTATGCATGGGTTTCTTTTTGTTCGTAAGTGGCTCTCTGCATCAACTGCATCACATGCCCAGACAACCCTGGTCCTGTCGTGGCTAGGCTAGATATGAAAGCAGAGTCACAACTTTTGGTGACTCGACTCGACTCAAGTCCCTAGGGGTAAATGACTGGACTCGAGTCACGGCGAGCAAATGAATCGACTCGACTCGAGTCCTCACCAGAAGACTCGAATCGACTCAAGCGAAGAATAATTAGGCTCGGGTCTCAAAAATATAAGCAAAAGTTTGCGAAAAATAATTGCAATGACGTACAGTGCAACATTTATGTTCATGCCGCTTTGCGAATACAGTTACAGCGGCCGCTTGTAATGTCCACGTGTCACAGACTCCCATACCACATCATATCATCATTATGGAACGCACAAAATACTAGCCACCGAGGAGACGGATTTTAAACACATTTTCCAATTTGTTGTTTCATCATTGGCTTTGGGCGGTTTCTTATGAAGTTCTTGGATTCAAACGCCGGCTAAATTGATGCCCTCCTTTTAAAAATTAAACAGAAACATACCGACTTTTTAAATAATCAGAAACAGTTTTGTATATTGCAATTTGGTTTTGATGTCAGCGTATCAGCGAAATAAAATCAAGACCCGAAGCCAAACCAGATAGCCTTGATAAGATCGAAGTTTCACTTCTTGTTAACTGTTAGTGATACTAATGACTTTCCCTCTTGTCTTTGTTATGTGGTTTTCAAATATTCGTAACTCGAATTGACTCGAGGTAAATATTTGACTCAACCCGACTCGACTCAAATTTCTTAAACTAATGATTCGACTGGACTCAACTCACTTCTTTAAAATTACTCGACTCGACTCGAGTCACAAAAATTAGTGGCTCTTTACAACTCTGATTTACACCAATTTCAGTGCTATCAGGTGCCTGGGAAAAGCGGTTGAACACAGTGGTTTAGACCAAGTCTGCATGGGTTGCTTCTGATCTGTACAGTCAGGTTACAGTCAGTCCAATCATATCCAGCAGTCATTATTATCGTGCTGTTGATCATAATGAGGTAATAACACTCCAAGTATTGTTCCAAGTGGTTTGAAACATTCTTCCCAGAGAAACCTGCCTTCAATCAGGGTAACAATGTGTAGATTCCTTGGTATCAAATTTATGAGGTGTGCCACCACAATATCCAAGATGGCTGCCATCCATTGGGAGTACTCCCTCAATAATGATTTACTTGGGTTCCTAGGTATCACAAATATGACGTTTGCCACCAAAATGGACTTCGTACCACATTCAGGTGCAACGTTATTATTTGAATGAAACCCTAGATGGCGGCTATTTGGAAATATCCCAGATGCTGCCATCCATTGGGAGTACCCCGTCAACACTGATTTACTTGGGTTCCTTTGTATCAAAAACATGGGGTTTGCCACCAAAATGGACTTCATATGACAATCAGGTCTAAAGTTATGATACAAATTAGGTACTAAATGGCGGCCATTTTGAAATATCCAAGATGGCTGCCATCCATTTGGAGTATCCCATCAACAATGATTTATGTGGGTTCCTTGGTATTAAAAACATAGGGTTTGCCACCAAAATGGACTTCATATGACAATCAGGTCCGAAGTTATTATACAAATTAGGTACTAAATGGCGGCCATTTTGAAATATCCAAGATGGCTGCCATCCATTGGGAGTACCTCATCAACAATGATTTACTTGGGTTCCTTTGCATCAAAAACATGGGGTTTGCCACCAAAATGGACTTCATATGACAATTATGCAGGTCTGAAATTATGATACAAATTAGGTACGAAATGGCGGCCATTTTGAAATATCCAAGATGGCTGCCATCCATTTGGAGTATCCCATCAACAATGATTTATGTGGGTTCCTTGGCATTAAAAACATAGGGTTTGCCACCAAAATGGACTTCATATGACAATCAGGTCCGAAGTTATGATACACATTAGGTTCGAAATGGCGGCCATTTTGAAATCCAAGATGGCCGCCACATGGTAGATAGAAAAAAATGTTACCAATGGATTTCTGGCTTAGGAAGGTAAACTCTATCCAAATATGACAAAAATTCCCTCTTTAGCAAAAAAAATGCAAAAGTACATAACAGCCTATACTATTTGCAGACGAAAGATTAATCGTGTGATATTCGAGAACCAAAAAAAAAAAAAAATCAAAAGAAATCATAGCACTTCATTTTATTTACTGTGGTGAGCTGGGCTCTGCTTGCTGTAAACGAAGAAGCACCGATGACCGTTCTGGGTTTTTTTTTTCGCTAAACAAATTGGCTAAATTTTTGAATGAAAAGAGCATGGGGGTGAGCTGTGAAATAGCGCAACCCATAACCAATCTACACGAGTTTTGACGTCACGAAATATTCGCAGCGAAATTCTCAAACATCGGTCAGTGGCGGATCTGGAGGGGGGGGGGGGGGAGGGGGGGGGACTCCCTCCCCCTCTCGTTCAGCCCATTACTAATGTTTTCGTTATTATATACGTGTACTAGTAAATTGGGGCCAAAATAATAAATGGAATGCTATTCTCTAGATTTCTTCTCAAACTGCCTCAGAATACAGGAGAAAGCATCGTAGCTTCAAAATTGACCCTCATTTCCTGAAAACTAGTTCCGCCCCTGTATAGATATGTATTTAAAAGTAATTGGCTAATTTGCACGATAATTCTGTCAACTTTTTACCAGTGAGTAACGCAGCCTGTCCTGCACTCACGCCGAATTGTGTCTCCGTGTATTTGGCGCCAAACGTCGTCAGTCCACTGACGATTGCCAGCTCTGATGCCAAGCCAAGTGCCAGCGCCACCAGCGTCAGATTTCGGCCAAGTCGCAAGAGAGCCGATAGGAAATCTGAATGCACAAGAGGACAGAGCTTTGGTTGGCAATGAACGACGTAAAGTAAAGGAGATCCAGCTCGTGCACAGGAGTTTGAAAGGTGGATTTATTTGAGAGCAAACAATATAAAATAGCAACGACAATTTTATGCGATCCCGCGCGCAAGCCAATCGGAGTCGACCCAAGAAATTGTGACGTCATTTCGATCAGAAATGTGGACTGAGCTGTTAATTGGTCAATTTAGCTGATATGTTTTTGTAAAACAACAATGGGTTACCGAAGACCCGAAATAAGGCGCCCGCTAAATGGTCAGAATCTCGAGGTCAAGACGCAGTTTTGTTTTGCATAATAATCGCCGAATCTGCTCGCATTATCTATTCCTTAAACTATAGAAAGGGAGGGTCTGCGGCAAAATGAAGAGCAAGCAAAATCTAAAATAAAGGACAATCATCATACCTTTCACTTGGCCCATTAATGTCCTCGAGCTTTCCTTGGATTCAAATTTCTCCATCTTGTCCTGATCTCGGCTGATCTCTGTCTCAAACTTCTTGGTCTCCGATTTATGTTCGTCACCAAACCCCTCCTCCTTTTCCCTACGGTCGCTGGCTCCGCGGAGTTCCACCCCGTTGCATCTCAGCCCCGCAACATCCGAACTCTTCGTGGTCTCAGGCTCGTCAATAGGGGTCCCAAGCCTCCTTGGAAACAGGAACAGCGGCAGGGCGAGGAGGACCATGGCAGATCCGAGGACCAGGAGCCCCAGCCACCAGGCACCGATCCAGCGGGGATCGTTGCGGGGCACGGCCGGCCACTCGTCCCGGGGAATGGTGTCCAGGTCCACGTACAGTGACAGGGTCCAGCTGCTGACGAGGAAACCTACCATGGGTCCTACGGAGGTACCGATGTAGATGACGGCTGAGGAGTATCATGAGAGGGGAACCGAAAATGAAGTTTGGATTATTATCGGTCCTACTACAGCATCGGCTTGCATTCAAGAGATGAAGCCTTGCATTTGATGGGGAAACGGACCGTTGTGTAGGCCTAAAGTCAAATAGGCATATTGGTCATTATGTTTAACAAGCTGATTTACCCGATCATAGATCGGGTAGGGCGTAGTGTTGGGGATGAAAATGTGGGGAGTTAAATGTAAATGGGGGATATAGTTGGGGCATGGTTGGGGAGACATGCAGTTATCATGGTTATAGAAAAGAAATTTCTGTGGTGTGATCTGAGGCAATTTCTGACCACTAAAACCAATTTGAGCAAAAGATCATCTTTTAAAGTTTTGAGTTTGGGGCAGTCGCATTTGGAAAACGTAGAGAGGTTACTGTAGTACACAGGCGAAGGCTGATTGTACAGTTTTGACAATAAATCACAATGCAATAAAACGTGAAGGTGTCATTTGAAATGAAAATGTTGAGTGTTACCATAAAATTACAAACGGTCTGAATCATGGAGGAAGGGCATAATTAAGTTTCAGTATTGGACTCTTCAACAAACGTAAACTGGAACTCCTTACAATTTGCGAGAACCGTCTGCGAGGAAAAAGTCGATTCAACTTTTATTCAAGTCGATTCAACTTTTATTCAAGTTGGTTCAACCATCTATAGCAAGTTTTACTCGGCCTCCGAGAAATGTTTGCTCAGTCCTGAAAGGATCCGGTGAGACCGCGGTCTCCCACCGACGCCAAAATGGCTCCACGTCCGTGGAAAAATGTGGAAGGTGTCTTCCGCCGGGTCGGACACTTTTTCGTCGATGTTTTTGTGACTGCGATTAAGATCGCGATATTTGAAGCATGCCAAACAGGCCCCCGAAATTATAACCCGACACTGAATTATACGTGGCGGGCAGCGAACTCACAAAGCTCAGCCTTGGTGGAAGCATGGAGCTGTATGAACAAGTACACACGATGGAAGCGACAGAGCACTCTCGTCACATGCTTGTGCTTCAAATAGCGAGCACCGTAGACTCAACCTCGTTTCCAGGGTGTGGAGCAGGCTGCAGTACGCGTTGCCATCGACGGTTTTACGCATAGCCCGGAAATACTACGCTGTGTAGACTTTCGATTGGTCAGATCGCGCAAGGCATACTAATGTGTAGGTCAGACCGCGCAAGGCATACTAATGTGTAGTCATTCTGAGTATTCGTTGCACTCAGCGCAGGGGCGGCAAGCAAAGCATATGAAAGAATAGGGACACTTGGTGGCCACGCACCATGGACAAACAATATTTTGCCAAGGTCACCCCATACAACCGTTTGGTGAACGCTTTTGCAGAACAGCCGAGTACAACACGTAAACGGAACCCCTACGTTGACCTCGCTGACCTCGCACAGTCTAGACTCGCAGAAAAGCCAGCACAGGGGGCGGCCAGGCAGTCAACGTGAAAGCGCACACGACGGCAAATTCCTGCGCAAAACGCAGTCACGAAAAATCGACGAAACGGATCGCCGGTCCGTACGGGAAAATCAGGACGACCCGAAGCGTCCGACCCGGCGGAAGACACCCTCCGCATTTTTCCACAGACGTGGAGCGATTTTGGCGCCGCGGGAGCCCGCGGTCTCGGATCCTTTCATGAGCAAACATCGTCTCGGAGGCCGAGTTAAACTCTCTCTTATATATATAGATAGGCTAACTCTGGAAATTGTGAAAGGGCTTTGAAAATCTGAATTATTAAAGTGGTTCAGATGATTTTTATTTTTATTTGTCAGGATAAATCCCTACAAGGGATTAAACTTATCTGTGACCAAAAGACATGGGAAATAATGACGGCATGCTTTGTTTACACGTGCACTTTCTTGTGGGGGCCAGGTTGGGACGACAGATACCAAGTTCCCATAGAAAAGCGCACATGTAAACAAACCGTGACGTAATTTTGTGTCAGGTTTATTTGACTTTCATTACGTTGAGAAGGAAATCGCCAGAATTATAACAATATATAAGATTTAAATTGCGCAGGCGGCTTCTTACCAATGTATGCTGTTGTTTTGTGCTTCTCGACTGCATCATCCACGTATGTCATGGCCAGTGGAATGATGGGGGCGTTACCAACTCCCACCACAATCTGTCCAATGATGAAGAGATACAAACTGGTGTACCTGGACTTCTCCGGAGCATTGTTTCCGAAACTAGTTGTGTTCTCAGACTCCCCGCAAACCCGATGCTGAGAGGCGTTCGTGGTGAACGATCCCGTGGAGGAATCAGTGGTGAAGTGCGGCAGAGCGCATATGGCCGTGCCGACGCCGACGAGCAAGGCGCCCGTACCGACCACGCGCGGTCGGTGCGCCGAGTGACCGAAGTACGTGAAGATGCCCACCACCAGTAGACTGACCAAGTCGTTGATGATGGAGATGGCTCCAACCTCCGAGCTGGATAGCAGGAATTGCTTCTCTAAGGTGGAAGTGATGGCCCCGATGTAGCCGTTGATGGCAGCCAGCTCGACGATCAGAATGAGAGCCATGAGCACAGAGAAGACAGCCGGGCGAGCCAGGGGTGCGAGGCACCGGGGATGACACGGCCCGCATCCACACGCCTTGCGCTCGCCAACCACCACCGGTACATCTCCAGGATCATTTTCACCGACCTTGTACATTGTGCGTGTTCAATAAACTACTGTCCTGCCAAGATCAACCTGCAGAAAATTTAACAAATATAATTAATTCTCCTTGCAGGTATAGACCTAGCTACCTGCCCACACGAACTGAGACAAGCGTCTCAAAATGTTCTTACTCTTGTTGAATCGTTCTTGTTCCTATAAAGAGCAGTGCAGCCTTCTGGACCGGTAGTGCTTGCAAGTCGACAGTTCCCACGGATCTGCATGTCGCACATGCATAATCTAACATGTAGCCTACGTCTGACAAGCTCGTTGCACTGATTGATAAGTTAAATGGATGGTTTAATTTATTTCACGCGTTGACCTCAAACACATTTATAACCGTGCCTGGCACACGGTGAATCTCTGAAACAAAAAGGCGGTCCGGAATAGAACTCATGATGCTGTTTTCGTTCACTCCACTGGGATTCTCATTCTACATTTGCACATTTTCCTGTTTACCCAGAGGTGTGTAATGGCAATTTTGGCATGCGTTAACGGCTCGTTAAACATGGACTATGAACCAAACCTAGGGTGTTTTTTCCCAGCACGATATGAAAAGACGATCCCATAAAATTCTGAGTTCAACAAATAGCGCAACAATAGTGACACTGTGACAGAAGACTGGTGGGGTGATGGTGGAATACTTATCAATACTGCGCATTGCTTTCCGATCAGAGGGAATCAATATTATAGCGTGACCATGCATGGTAACGGTAACGGGTTATATTCTGAAACTTTAAGCGTGACACCCCCCCCCCCCCCAAATGCAAACGGATGGTCGTGTTTCGGTTGTTTCGGGGAGGCGTATCTCGTCGTGATTTCACCGCGTTTAACTTTACTCCATGATGACAATGTGTTTCCTCTACACTTTTACGATATAGGTCTATTTCGCTGGCTATGGGCTCCGTGCACAAGTACCCCCTCAACGACAAGGAAGAGAGAGTTTGGGGAGACCACTGGGAGAGACATTCAAAGTTATATTCCATTGATTCAGATAAGAAGGGTTATTCACTTGCGGTCTCTCCACGCATCTGGTGCACTCAATGCGCTGGTTGTATCGCATTAGTACGGGGTAATCATATACGATAGCACTGCCCGGCTATCTTCGCCATCAGCCAGCCAGCCAGCCCGGGAGCCAGTCAGTCAGTCAGTCGGGGGGGGGGGGGATCGGGGAGTCAGTCGGTCGGGGAATCAGTCAGTCAGGTACTGCTTGAGGAGTATAGGTTGGCCCCTAGCCGTGAACCAGCAAAAAAGAACACTTCACAGAGATATCTGCTAAATAGAGGGACCGTATAGCGCGCCGCTGTCGGATAGTGTAGTAGAGATCATGGATTCATACACAAAATTTTGCCAGTAGGCCTATAATGATCAAACTACGTGTGATAAAAAAAATTTGTCGCACTTCTCAACCCGGTTTATTTAAGGTCACGTTATGTTTTTTTGGCACAGTGTCGGGATCCAAACAACAAACAACAACGAAGGGTTCGTTACCCTTGGGCGTCCGGGGTCGGGCTGCCACTTTGATCAAGTGCATCATTTATCAACACGGTTCCCTATAAATGCCGTATTATGCGGGCTATTTTGGTCTTCCTTCACCACAATGGATAACTCATTTTTATTATACACGGTATAGGTTTTCCCGGCCAATTTCCTAAAATGTTCATTCACTTCTGAAATCGGTCAATCATTTTCGTCTGAATTTGAGAATCCCTCTGAATACGCGTTTCATTTTCGCTAACAGAGCATTCGATTCCATTTCAGTTCAATCAATTAAGTGATTGAGCAGCACCTTTCGTTTATGTCCATTCAGATTCGTTTACAATACTTCTTTTTCGCTTTTAGAGGGCGATTTCAAACATTCACCATTCTATTTCACTTTTAGTTTAATGCCATCGGCAGTGATTTCTTTTTCATTAACCGTCATTCAAATTAGCTGTACCTGAATTCAATTTAGAAAAGGTATATGCTTGCGTAAATGAATGCACAGGTAACGTATTTGGCCGTCTGTTTCTCAAAACCGAATGCACGGACAATAAAAACGATTGAACTTTCGTTGAATTGAAATGGGATTCAAGACGTGCATTCAATTTTACACGAAAACGAATGACCGATGTTCAGAAGTGAATGAACATTTCACGAAATTGGCCGGGAAAACCTATATTATTTTGTATATGGGGCTTATGGGCCCTACGTGTGACGAGAAATATTGAACAGAAATAAAGGGAAGTTATAATTTAAGAAGAAGCCCTATTAATAGCGGAATTTACATGCAGTTCTGTCTTGTGTATCTTATTAGCAACAGAACTATATTTATTTTTTTTAACCACTACCAATACCAATACCATTGTCATGCATCCCACAAAAAAAATATATACGGATGCATGAAATGGTATTATTTTGTGTGCTTGCCACGAAAGTGGCTCACCAAATCTCCGACTTCCCAAAATAGTTTACTCCGGCTGAACGGAACTGCCAACCAAGCACCATGGACGGGGACTTCGAGTTCATACGCAAATTTCTTGTGGTTTAATTAAATAACTTGTTGCGGTAGCACCATGTGACAAAATGTCTTTTGTGAGTATGTGTGGTTCTGAAAAGAACCGGAGGGTACTCAACGTTTCGGACGGTATACTTTGCCCGTCGTCAGGAGACTGAGGGTTTCCAACGGTGAAGTGGGTTTATAAATGGTGCCTGGAAGCAGTGAAGGATGAGAAGGATGCAAACCCAGGGTACTCCTGCAAGCCGTGGGATGCAAGCGAAGCGTTCTTGTGTTTATCAATTCTCCATCACAATACTGAAATGTTATAAATAGCAGGAGCACGTAACTTTTTTGCACTGGTCTGTGTACTATTTTTTGTTGGGGGGGGGGGGGACCTCTGATTAATGATACATGGGGCAGAGTTGAGAAAACATCGCATAAATCTTGATAAAGATTAATATATCCGCCCCCGGGTTCGAGGTTCAAAATACTCAAAGATAGACGAGCACAACCTGAGCGAAATACATGCGATGGATCAGTGCGGGAGGCGAGGGTCCCACCCGTGGTTTTGATCATTTTCCCCGATGTCGATTTGGGTCACGGGAGGGTGAGAAACTGGAAACCTCACGGTTGGAAAAGTACGGCCGGATTGGACATAACATCTCCGAGGGGGTAAACTCTGCAAAGTCAACCGGCTCTGAAATGTAGAGTCTTCATCTAAAACCCTTGATTTCTTACACTCAGAAAACACCCTTATAGTAGTCAAGTTTGACTAAAAAACAGTGCAACTTGCACCCAGCTAGCTAATCCTAGTATTTAGCTGGATGCAACTTTGACTATTTTCAAATGAAAACTGATTAGTGTTTTATAGCGTATAGGTTACATAACAAGGGCGTGGGGGGGGGGGGGGGGTAGCCCACACGTACACTGGTTGACTGGGGGGCATTGGATTGTGAGAAACTGCCGGTTGTAAGTATATTTTCTAACTTTTCAACAGCCTAAATGTATTAAAATAGCACCGAAAAACGAACAAACAGTACAAAAGTGTTAAATGCACCTTGTAATGTAAGTGCGCCAGTTCGCAAAAGATGTACATTTGTATCCTAATAGCCCCCCCCCCCCTAGTGTGCCCAGACGCGCCCCCCCCCCCCCCTTCGCTCGGTTCGAATTTCCACGACCGGGCAATTGTAGGATTTTGGCCATCCCCTCTCCCTCCCACCCCACCCCCACTCGCTGACACGGATCTTACGCCACTGCTTAACCATAGAGCCTGAAATTGTATCGTTCGGAACAAACCAATCCCTGGGGGTGGTTTTTGGTGCCCACAGGCGGTGTTTTTTTTTTTTACATGCGTTAGCAATGGAATCCAGTTTACGAAACCCCAAAAATATGCATGCCTGATGTTTTCTCTGTGTTTTTTTCTTCAATTTATGAAAGTTGCTAAACTGAGCTCAACTTTGACAGGTTTGCTAAGCATGCTAAGCACTCTTTAAGATTTCGAGCAAGCTAAAAAGACAAATGCACAAAAAGAAAATTATCCCGACGTACCTTTAATAATATTTTGGCGGGAACTGCTGAGCCGATGTGTGGTGCTCAGACGGAGCGAATTCATTGCGGTGCTGGCCACGAGTTAGCGAATCACTGAGTCAGATATCGTCAGTATTGCAAACTCTGGTCACTCTATCACGTGGTATAAAGATGGAGAAGCAAACGGCGATGCAGTAGCCGGCCGGCCAATCAGTCGGCTGGATTGGAGGTCACGTAATAAGATGGAACTTGATTGGTTGTAATAAGTCGTCACCGACACCAAGAAGTAACACTCTACGTGTTAAACAATTTTTTTTTTTCGATTTTCAGTTTTTTACATTTTTAAACATTATTCATCAAGGCCTACCATTGCACGAAGCTTCAAGAGCTTTACTTTAATAATTGCGCTAATTATCCATGGCAACTTTTGCGCAAAAGTGACAATTTTCGTTTTCACGAAGTAACACTCAAGTTCCATTTACAAAACGTTTTCACAAAGTAACACTCTCCGGATATGATTGCGCGCGCTGACCTGAAGTTGCACTTTCCTCGCAATGTATACATTGAAGAGTGTGAAAATGTACAGTTTCGCAGATTTTTCGGTTTCACGAACTAACACTCACCATTTTCCTCTTATTTCTTGTTGATTTAATACACAAACGGGTGAAAAACAGCAGATTTAATAAATTAAATTCATCAAGTGTCCACAACGAGAAACCCAACTGAAAATACTCTGCCGTTTTGACGCAAAGTGTTGTTTTAGAAGCGAAGGCGTTCAACTTCAGATGCCGTTTTCTCCGATTGCTTGTTTTTACTGGTATGTACATGAGTGTTACTTCGTGGTGTTGCTGACGAAGTATCCGTGTGATGTACAATTTTAACCTGGTGATTATATTAAGCAGAAAACTCGCCTTAGAATCGCTTTTACAAACTCCACGTTATTTACACTCTTAAAAGTCCACGGTAAGATTCGGACCAGAATCTGGGTCAATTTTGGTCAAAATGACACTAACGTGTAAAAATGACATTCTTAATTCTTGGTTAAAATTACAATTTTAAGTCAGAGAAATGTCATTTTGAGGCTGAAACGTGTCACATGTTAAATTTGACCCGTGGATCAAGTTAGGTCAAATCTTACCCGATGTCATGAAATTTCCTTTTACTTTTTATGAATTCTACCCCCACCCCACAAGCACGCGTGACCTGTCCGTTTATCAAACGTTCACAATATACCGGGAATATGGGTTAAGCATAATATTTAGGGTGGCCCATATGGGTTTTTTTTTTTCGAAGCAAAAGGTAGTACACGTATAATGCATGGCTGTGTGTACAATTAGCCTTTGGAGGGGATAATGTATATCATATTATTATGCGGGTATATTATTGATAAGGAGGTGAGAACTGATAAGATAAAGATTTTTCCGATGAGGTTGCTGTTGCGGCTGGAGGAGGGAGTTGTGAAACAAAAGGGTTCTCCGAAATGAGATTCCCTATTTTTTGTTGTCTGTGAGCACACTGGTTCAATAGTTATATACTGGCACCATGCTGGTATTGTTCGAAGTCAACATACAAGAGCGGAATAAAACACAAGGCGAACACGTCATAAGTAGGCCTACAAGTGAACAAACTCGATATCAATCATGTACACAATCATAAAAGGCCTTCATCATTATATTTTAATACAATATTTATTTTCATTAAGAGGGTCTACATAGACTTTCTTCACGAGTCGGCCGTATTAAATGGAAAGCGAAATAAACTCTTCATTTTTGATACTTGCGAGTAGAAACGAAAGCAATGTAATAAAAGTTCATTACAAAATGAATACCAGTCTGCTCTGATCAATAATTTAAAATTTGTGTTTTTAAACACAAAAGTGAGGCTTAGAACGCAGTCCCATCATAAAATAGTCTGGCACCATCCCATTAAACAGTTTACAACTTATAAATTAACCTAATATAAAGTCAGTATAAACGCTTGAGTGAGAGATTTGGTATTTAGCGCTGAACTGGTTCAAGACGTACCCTACAGACCGCTGACATTGGCAGATGCAATCATCGCCTTACTTCCAAGATCGTGGAGTACCACAGGGGTCGGTTGTTGGCCCTTTAGCCTATACTCTATATTCATCACCACTAGAAGATGTCTTCAATCACCATGGAATATCCAACATGATGTATGCTGACGACACCCAACTTTACATCATTCTCAAACAAGATGAAGGAACATCAGGGTTCAGCTTCAAGACGCTTGAAAGACATAAATATATGTGGTCAATACAAAACTGTCTGAAAATGAACGATCATAAAACTGAGATTATTTATGTTTCTAGTCGCCTTTATCTTGTAGTCCTATCACATGTATCACATTACATAATAATTCAATATGTCCAGTTTCAAGTGCTCGCACCTTGGAGTTGTATTTAATGCTCATCTTTCTGAATAATTATATCAGTAATGTGTGTCGTGCTGCTTCATTTGCCCTTCATAAAATTGGTACCATTAGACAATATTTGGATAAAAAAATCTACAGACAAATTATTCATTCTTTGGTTATGTGTCGTATAGATACACGTGGGCGTCGCCAGGATTTTTCTAGAGGGTGGCAAAGCACATTTTCCCCCGGAAATCCCTATACTTTTCCAGCATAGGCTAATCTCGATTTATCATTAAGGGAAGGGACATTCCCCCTCCCCCCCCCCAACCCATTAAATTAACAGCAATATGACTTCGCCTCTTTTTCTTTCTCCCCCCTTTTTGTGTGTTGTTGTTGTTTTTCCGGGGGGGGGGGAAGCGCCCCGCCCCCCCCCTCGCGACGGGAGAGGCGTTGGGGCGTGGGGGGGGGGGAGGGGAGCACGCCCCCCAAAAAGTTCGCCCCCCCCCCCCCGCATGCAGTCCCCCCCCCCCCCTCCCCCAAATTTGGCATCCGGAGAAAAACACAGTCGTATGAGTTACACGATTAGCTGGAAGAACATAAAATTCCTTTTCCGCGCTTTTGTGCCTATTTTCCATGGACCATGCGTCGGTGGAAAGGAAGTAGCGGTAGTTATTGTCTAAACATTAACCATGATATAAGTTTTGAATGGCGCCCCATGGGAGGATGGTCCCCCCCCCCCCCAAAAAAAAAACTATTTGATTTTACGGAGGTCGGGTGTCCAGTGAAAAAAAAAACCCACCTGTCTACCTTTCAGCACATTTTCGAGTTTACCACCGTAGGCTAAAACAGATTTTTTTTATATTCCTATCTTTCCATTGATGGTAATAAGTTACCATGATATCGAGGCACCACCCATCGAACGATAAAATCGGCCAGTACACCTGCAATCATCATGCGATCCGCGGATCCGCCAGGCCCACCTGGGCCTTTTAAATGACAGACTTTAGAGGGCGCTGCAAAGCGACTTTGGCTGACTGGTTCCTTGCTCGTTTTGCATGCATAGGATACTGATATATTGATAATGTGCAGGGGATCCGACTTTCGAACTTTGAAGCTTCGTTCATTCACTGATTCAGAACAGAAAGAAGATCGGAAAACGCCCACTTCCCGGCAAAGAAGCATTAAAAAAACCAAGATAGAAGCAATTGAAGTAAGTTACAGTAAGTTACGTTGTACTTGTAAGTTGTAGGGATGTGAAAGTCCTTCCTCAGCCATTTTGACTTCGGCCCATGGGCGCCCCCTGGCCTTGTTTTTGTTTTGTTTTTCGGGGGGGGGGGGGGGGCGGGAGTGGGTGGGTAATCCTTACTTTAAGGACCCCGTTGCTATATAGGAAGGGAAAGACTCACCAAAACAGTTGACTAAATGACACTCAAAATTGACATTCTGATATTTCTTGACACATCTGAACAATTGGCAGTAACACCTTCTTGATAATTATCAATATCAGACAGCAGGTTTAATTTTGCGCAGTGGCTATTGTTACGGCAGCCGTAACGCATTTCCCATTTTCTATCGTTACAGTAGACTGCAACTTTTCTAAAAACATGACAAGAAAATATAAAATTAGAAGGAAAAAAGTGAATTTGAACGTTATGAAATTCGGACTTTATTTCCCTTTTAAAAAAAATCCTCCAAAGCCTCAGGTTAGAAAAGGAAAAAAATTCGAGTGCAAAACTGAGATTCGAACCCGCAACCTCGCGGTGCAAAATCCTACCCTCTATCGCCTGAGCTGTCGCACTGCTCGCTAAAACGTGTGGAAACAAATAATTATATACCTGCGTGCATATCAAAAAGGTAGTGGATATTTTGCCGGAGGTAACGCCGGCAAACTAACGTTTTCTAAAGGTTTGCCGGCGGCAATCCATATCAACAGAGGGCGCTGTACTCTTTAAGATAGGGTTGAATTATAGCATGTATTAAATTCCCACTGAAGTTGTGTAGCACAGTCGGTGCTAGTCCGAAAATTTGGGACTCTCAATACTGTGTATGAGAGTCCCAAAACTTAAGGTATTGAAAACATGCAAAACAAGAAAATAGACTGGCACCTAAAACAACCAGTCCAACACAGCTTCAGTACTGCATCAATCAACAGTGCCAAAAGAATTTAAGAAACATGTGGCATGAAGTGGGAACTACTCTCAATTTGCTACACATTTTTGCATAGTCAAGCCACCAGACTATTGACACTGAATGAATAGGTCAGTCTTTTCAAATAGTTGGACCATGGCTGGACATGTACCAGTCTAGTATTTAGCCCCATTTTGAAATCACTTGACTTCCCTCTCATGTGCAAAATATTGAAGAAAAGTCTTCTTTAAAAATTGAATTAAGTCTGCAAACTTGGTTGGTGAAATACTGAAGACATTTTCTTTGCCCCAGTGGCATTTTTGGAGAAATTTGCTGGCTAAACTGTGAGTAAAGTGGGCCTGATTTAGTTTTGCACGTTTCAGAGCACTCAAGAGCCCTGTCTGAGTCGGTGCAGTGGTTAAGCAATGGCTCTAGTGAGTGGGATATCCCGAGTTCGAATCCTGATCCCCTCCACAATTTTAAGGTTTTTTTTTTCATCCCCAAATAAATAAGAATATTCTTCTTTTATTATTTTAATGTGTCTCAAACATTTTATTGCAGAGTATTACTTTGTCTTTTTCAGATTTGTGGCTCTGGAGGATTTTTTTTAAAGGGAAATAAAGTCCGAAATTATAAAATGGTCTGATTCCCATCTTGTAAATACAAAAATACAACGATAGTATTGGCATGGAACCAGACTGAAATTTGTCACCGGAAAATGTTTAAGTAAAAAAAAAACAGTAACTGCGCATGTTCAGTGCATATCCGGCAAACTAACGTTTACTGAAGGTTTGCCGTCTCCGGCAAAATATCCACTGCCTATCAAAAAGTATCGTAGAGGGCGCTAAACAACGACTGCCGTAACGATAGCCACTTCGTTAATTTTGTGGAAAGAGGGCAGGGCTTTAATTTATGAGGGAAGTTAAGGGGTAAAAGACATTGGTGACAACCAGAAAACAGACTCAAAAACCAAGATGGCAAACGTGAAAGCTCGATGCAATGAAAGCTCGATGTTGATTGGCTGATAAAAAATAAACATCTTATTTATTTTTTTTAGCAGCCAATCAGCATCGGGCTTTCATTATGTAGGGCTTTCACTCATGTTGTGAGAATTACATGCACGTCTGACTGCATAAAACAGTAGGAAAGTCACATTTTCTTTGAAAGTGCTTTCAAAATTACAACTAACAATGAGTTTATATGAAGAAAAAATACTGCTTTAGCTTGCAAAAGTCACTTTGGTACTGGACAGTCATCTGCAAAAGTCAGTTTTGAACAGAACTTGTCAAAAATACAGGTGTCCTAAAGATAAGGATTACCGGTGGGTGGGTGGGAGGTGTGTTGTGGTTGGACATGTGATTATTGTTTGAGGAAGGGATGGGGGAAAATTCCATACATTGACATCACTAACTTTTCCCTGCAGTGACCTAACGATCAGCCATCAGAAAGTGATAACATGCCCTAAAGTAAAAAGTCAAATTTAGCAGGGAAAAACATCGAAGCATTTAGGCCTATACTGAAAAAGAACACTTAAAATTTTCAGACCATTTTTGTGTGCAGGGTGTCCAGGAGGTAATGGAATTCTTTCCGTAGGGGGTATTGTAGTAGGGCCTTATTGTACCCATTTGCTTGACATGCATGGATCGATCGATACCAAATCTTATCTTTATCCTATGACATCATACATTTACAGCGAGTAACTCCGGCTAACATGCTCATCAGGAATTCACATGTCCTTATGAGCATGTTAGCTGGAGTTACTCAAGCTAATACATTCACACTTACAAAGGTAGTCTATTCACCACCCAGACCATTGTAGACTGGGAAAAGTTGCACAATAATCAACTAGGGTAAAATTAAAAGGTAGCTGGAGTATCCTTAGTCCCATAAATGTGACTGAAAATACTCGACTACCTTCGTATATAACATCACACGTGGATCTTCCCGTTGCTAGGGGAGCAGAAAATCAAATTAAGATCAAAATTATTTTTTTTCACTTGGAAACCACCCCAGCTATAGTATGACTGCTAAATAGGAAAAAAAATGTTGAATTCCATAACTTCAGAGGTCTAGTTATATCCAGTAATCATGGTAATTTGGGGCAGAATTCCGAAGGTTTGTAAAAAGCATATCCTCTCTGATATTTACTTGACTGTTTCCCGACCCCCCCCCCCCTAAAATAGTCACAAGGGCAATGGGGTCAGGCAGCCAGACTAGAGCTATAATCATCCACTGAGCGTGCATCAACGTTGGCAAAGCGCACCACGGCTGTTTCCTGTCATTCCAAAATCTTTGGCGCTCTGTAAAGTGCCCAGATGCATTACGCGGCTGCGGGTGAAGAGTGCACACAAGAGGGCGCGCCTCACATCAGAGAGCTCCAAAGATTACTGAATGACAGGCAACAGCCGCCGGCGCACTTTGCCAAAGCGGACGCACGCTTTCCATAACACCTGTCCATGGTGACAGCGATATGTGCAAGTATTCTGTTGATGTAATTAATTTCTTTATAATTATTTGGACAGAAGATGCCGATAACTCAGGAAGATTTTGGACACACCAAAGATGGCCGCCTGGTGGTCAGATACACACTCAGCAACAAGAATGGCATGGTAGTCAAGATCATTAATTTTGGCGCCGCCATCACGTCCATTGAGATGCCGGACAAAGCTGGCAACATTGCCGATGTGGTGTTGGGCCATGATAAACTGGAAGGTGAGCAACATTCCTTTCCCCCTTTTTTTTTTGGGGGGGGGGGGTTCCTATCCTTATCAGACATTAATAGGGCAAGTTCGCGCAAGAACTATTGTTGACAAATGGTTAACCATAGTTCGATTGAAGTAAGCCCGAGCTCTGTGTAGTTGACGATGGTTGACTGCTAGTTGACTATTTGGAACAAGCCTACCGCGGCTGGTCGCGCAACGAGTTATAGCTGGTTATATTTCCATAGCCAAGTGCAGAGGGGTCACACTTTCAACAAAAATGGCAGAAAACGAAACTGTGAACGCTAAATTTCATTTTCATTGCACAGTTTTTCCATGTTAGTTTATGATTATGTCACTTTTTTGTACAATGATGTTGCGATTATGTAAGATGTCCTAAACTATACACGATCACCTTTACTATTATTTGTGTAAATAAAGAGAAACAGCAAGTGTTGAATAATTATGCGACTGCCATTTTTTGACAGTCGTTGACATGACAATAGTTTGACTAGAGTGGTTTGCACTTCAATTTCAGTACGCATGCGCTAGGTTTCGTCATGAACCAACCACTAGTTAACCTCTGGTCCTTGCTTGAACTTGCTTGAACTTAAGGCTAGTTAACACTTGAAGCAAAAGCAAACATAAAGTAAAAGTAAAATGCCATATGTTGGGGATTTTTAAAAATAAAATCAGGCTACATGGACAAATAAAAACAGACTTCCCATTTATGTGCATTTTAATGTGTGACAAACAAGACTCGCAAAAGTTGCCGTTTACACTTTAAAGCTATAAAACCCATCAGACAACTTCTGGGATTTGAATTTTGGTGCTGTTTTTTTTTTACGGTTATCCGGGTACCCGTGTTTAACTTCAATAGGGTATCCGGTTCCCTTACTCCTCGTAAACGCACACCACTAGCACTTAGTCCATACATGTCTAAGATTGTAGCTCGTTCATATGATGGTGGCTTGCTTTGCTGTGTTTCCAAGATAGATTCTTTGTTAAAGGGAAGATACAACATTTGCAAACATCAAAAAATGAAATGATCAAATTATCACCAAATACCTTACTGGATTGTTTAGAATGGCAGTCTAAAGAATCCTGTAAAATCGTGGCTCCTGGTGTGTTGACATTTTCAAGAACAATTGTATTTTTCCAACGCTGGTCAGCCGACCAGCGTTGGAGAAGACTGGCTTTGTTCAAAATCTGCTTCTAATGTTTCCGTTAAATTGCTCCGTTTCATCTAAAGTGGGGTCAGGGAACCAGACTACAAGAACATGATTGGTTTTCTTGGTTTTTCCAGCATCTACAAGCCCAAAACGTGAAACAAGTCTGTTTAACAATATTTGCTATAACATACTTATCCTCCGAATCCTTTTATTTCTGAAAATTGCAGCAAAAGCAAATGTTGTATATTCCCTTTAAGTTTCAGACCTTTATTGCTCTCTCAAAACTGAAAGTAGTAATAATTCTGTAAACATTGTCTTTTTTTGTTTGATTAATGAATTTTTTTAGTATTTGTTGACTTTTTCATGCAAAGTTTGTTTGTCTTCACAGGTTATGAAAATGGTCGCTTCTATTTTGGGATAGTCGCGGGCCGCCATGCAAACCGAATTGCAAAAGGACGATTTGTGATCGACGGTAAAGAATACCAGTTGGAAACGAACAATGGACCAAATCATCTGCACGGTGGCTTCAAAGGATTCGGAGTGGTAAGTCTTGACCCAAACATCTGAAAGCGGAAGGAAAGATGTGTTATGGCGATGAGTGTAATTTAAAATCATGTACCTCAGAGGAAGACTCAAAATAATATATAAATAATGAATGTTTATGAGTGCAATGGTAAGAATAATTTCACAAGGTGACAGATGGAATGTTCCGTTCCACGAGGCAAAGCCAAGGGTTTCATCTGTCACTAAATGGGATGAATTTTTCCATTGCATGAATGTGAAACATTCAGTATTTGTTTTATACAACACCTGAATAAATCCTCGTCATCTGATTGGTCAGAGCCAACAATCGTGTTACCCTGCAGTGAAACTTCTACTTACTGTGGAATGGAACTTCTATTTTTGCAGTGTGGCCGGGCCATGGGTTAGAGCATTTTGTGGGCCATGTACTTGAGGGTTTGTAATGAAGAAAGATGGAAGCTGTGAAGAGGACAGCGAGCTCGTATTTCTGTGAAATTCAGATGTAATTGGGCCCCTAAAATTGCTCTATTTTGCAACGAAGTTGGGACATTTTTTCAAAATGGCAATGGCCTTCAGGACTACTTTTAGTGGTGATCATCTTTGATCATCTTCAAAAGTCACTGGTTAACGCCCAGAAAAATGAACAGAATATAAAAGATGATGAAGTAAGCTTTAATTTGATGTGTGTCTCAAACACTTTGAAGAGTTGTGAGTATTTTTGCCAAATTTTCAAAAGCGGGGGATTTACCAATGGGGCCCATGGTGGCTTGTTTACTGGTTTTGTTTACTTGTTTACAGGTCTGATAATGATTTTGACAGGGAGAGTTTGTCATCCAACAATCAATGGCTTAAGGAAGGGTCCATGTATATACCCCAAATTAGGACTGAAATGATCAGAAATACTTCATAAAGAGGCACAAAACAAAAACATCAAGTTGAAGTCATACTTGCTAATTGCCAAAGTCTTTGCCTTTTCACACTAAAGATGCTGTGGAATGCCTCAGTGGAGGGAACAACCCTCCAACTAACACACATTAGTCCGGATGGGGAGCAGAGCTACCCTGGCGAGCTGACCGCTGAGGTTACATACGAACTGACCGATGAGAACATTCTGAATGTCGTCTACTCGGCCGTTACTACCGCACCAACGCCTATTAATCTGACCAACCATTCCTACTTCAACCTAGCCGGCCATGTAAGTCCTTTCTTTCATTGTCTTGGCTCCCAGGTCGTGGCTGTGTTAAGGTCATATCAATCGTGAGGAAATCAGAGGTGCCAGACTATTTTCATTCATCCATCTTGGTATAGCTCCCCGATCTGCCAAACATCATGGTGTAAAGATCTCAAGCTAGTTGGCATTGATAGAGCTTCATTTGCAAGGTTTAATAAAGGTCAGGGAGAATTCGAAGACCAAAGTTCTACTAAGTTATTTTTGCAGAGCTTGCCTTTGCCATTAAATGCTAATTTTGTGGTCAACAGGGAGAACTTCAAGGTTTTGATGGCCAAACTTAATTTGAATTCTTCGCTAGTAATGCTGAAAGCTTTCAGTCATATTTCTGGTTAATTGTTTTCCTTTTTGTCATTACCAAGAAATCAGGCATGAGAATCTTCCTGTTCAAACAGGAATTCCTGGGGTAATTTTGGGTTTTTTTTGGCCCAAATTTCCACATTTTATTTGTTTTGAGCCAGTTTTGGTTTTTTTTGCCTGATTTCACATCTTTTTCCTGTTTTTGCACAAGTTTCCTGTTTTTTTTTTCATTGAAATTCATTCTCATGCCTGAGAAATTCATAAGCACTGATTTTGCTAATTAATTAGCGGTTGTAGTTTTTCACTGTCATCACAATCACTATCAGTGAAGAACACTTCACTAACTTGATGAATTCTGTATGTGCTTCCTTTTGTTTCCCTCCTGAAATTAGAATGGTGGCACAATAAATCAGCACAGAATCAGGATCGATGCCGACCGTTACATTCCAGTAAATGAGGAGCTCATTCCATCAGGTAACTTGCCGAAATCATTCAAGTTTTTTGTCGCAAATAATCTGGCATACTTTGGACCTTTAAGAACAAAGAACCTTCAAGTAAATTGGAAGGGAGGAAAAGGAATGAAATCTGTTTTGTATTTCTTAACCAGTTCGCGCCGGATTACGTTTTGCGGTATTTGGAACGAATGACGGATAAACACGCAGCGAGCGAGGCCTGAAATATCTGTCAGCGACCCACTCACATAATCAGAGTCCAACAGTTTGGGTGCTGAGTTACCATATGGTGTTGGATTTTGCAAGAGTAAGGAAGGATCCGAGTAAATCGGTCAAGGGGGCTAGGGTTAAAGAGGCCTGTCCTTCAACAAAGTACAAACCAAGAAATTATTTGCATGCAGCATTTAGTAGTCGCTGATAATTATCAGCGACCAGACCCTTTAAACCTCTCGTTTCTATAAACTGCTCCATCACACAATTGTTCCCTTCGTAAACACTTCTTGTTTGTCAGGTGAAATGGCTTCTGTCCAGGACACCGTCTTTGATCTGAGGGAGCAGGTGGAGCTGAATGATCGCATTAAGGATGCCCCTAAGGGTGGCATCGACCACAGCTTCTGTCTCAACTCTCCTGCCCTGGACAAGCCTTCAATCAAGTAGGTTACAGTGAAATCTCCTTAAGTCAAACTCTGATAACTCAAAACAACTGTTTAGTCAAACAAATAATCCATTGCCTTCAGTAGTATAATAATATAACCCTGCTTAACTCAAAACTCTGCTGAAGTCAAATTTTGAACCTGTTCCCTTGAGGTTTGACTTATGGAGATTTCACTGTACTTAAAAATTGTGTACTTGACAATTTGGAGTAAAAAATAGAAAAGTTTGAACTCCCATGCATCCACTTTATGAATGGAATACATTCCTGGACCCAATTGCTGCCATTTACGTTCAAGATAAAGGTCACAATCAAGTTTTTGTTGTTGTTAAAAATGGTGCCTTCAAAGTTGGTTGTTACAAAATAGTAAAAAATGATAACAACTTCCCAACCTTGTAAATGCCAGGCAACCGGCACTGTTACCAGAAATACCTGTAATCTTCTCCGATGGAATAGAAATTCAGTCAAGTGCTTTGCCTACCTATCCCAGCATGAATTTAGGGAATACATTTCTCAGAGGCCTCGCATCATTTCGAAAGGATGTCCTGAGGGGAAATATTTTTTGGCACCCTGTAGGATATTTAAGACATCCATTTTGTTACGCAACTTATCGTAAAATCATAAAACTGTTGCAGCATGAACCACCAGTTTTCAACGCTTGTTCAGGTTTTGACATCAATCGTTCAGGCTATGGTATCATCTTAAGCCTTAGATTCCCAGTAACATAACCATGTTCAAACCCAGTGAAAATGCGCCGACCATTTGCTTTGTGTGACAGGATTTGGTGTCTTAGTCACGAAAGTGGATTAATATTGTATTGGGGTAGTTACATTAGGGGCATAAAGTCTTGAAACTGAAGCCTGTAGTCAAAGTCAGAGATAAATCCGTGGTTTTGTAAATGCATCTGGACACTCTCACCATTAAGGCTAGTCTGATGAGTATCACCCGATGTCCATGGAGCCCAGTCTCCTGTCTAACGTCTGATATATCTAAGAATGCAGATTTATGCGATCTCGCGCCTCAGCTAATCGGAGTCGACTTTACTAAATCGTGACGTCATTTCATTCCCAAATCAGGACTAAATGTTTGATTGGTCAATTGGAATGCAGTGTTATGTAATACAACAACGGCCGGGCATAGATCTACAAAACCTAGACAAGCTTGGTGCATATCACATAACATAATACAGAGCGCATGACCACAGCCTTTTTTGCCTGTGTCTAGGTTTTTTTTAATCCATGTCTATGACACGACAACAGGTGAATGACTGAAGACTGAAGATATAGAAAGCGCACGGTGATTGGTCAAAATGTAGAGGTCATAATTAACCCCTTTCTTTACCATGGGCGACTTTTGTGACAAGAAGAACCCCCCTGCTGGTTCCCATGGGCGACTTTAGTCGACCAGGAAACCACAGAACACCCTCAACACAGATTATCTGAGATATATTCACTACTTTTCAGAAAGGCGGCATGTTGATGTGTTTGGCCGTCCATACAACAACCATATACCATCTGAAAGAGTGTTTTCGGATCGTTCTAATGGTGTAGTTTATTCATAGTGTTGCCATTACAAAAAAATGAGAAAAGTGCTTCAGAAGTATCCACGCACAAATTGAGGTATGGAGTGCCATTTGGTCATGTGGTGAAATGGCTTGCAGTTTGATAAATGGAACCAGATGAACAAACAGGCATAACTTTCTTATATTTACACATATGGACTTCATTTTTACATCACATACAAGAGTAAGGTTCAAGGAACAAACTTTACACACAACACCTATGATTTAAATCACTCCTTGGCAGTGAAAATCTGGGTTGAAAAAGCGAGTTTTGGACTCAGGCTTGCGGTCATTTTGTTCACGCTCTAGTGATTTCCGCATGACTGAGAAAACAATTTGGTCCTGGGGAGAGCCAGGTCAATAAACAATGTGGTAATGAAAGGGTTAATCAGCGATTCTACTCACATATCATTATTACATAGACTACATTAAGGCCGCATTCAAGTTACTTGGTGCGGCTAGAAATAACACACATGTCTATGGGAAGTGGCTGCAGCGGCTTCCATAGGCGCGTGTGTAATTTGTAGCCGTAGCCAAGTAATTGGGACACGGCTAAGCCACAATGTTCCTGACCTTTGACCCCTGAGCTAAGTGAATAGCCCCATCTGATTGCAGGCTCGTAGATCCAGCCAGTGGCCGCTCCTTGGATGTCTCCACCACTCAGCCGGGAGTGCACTTCTACACCGGTAACTTCCTGGATGGTTCCACTGCTGGCAAGGAGGGAGTCTGCTACCCGAGAAATGGCGGCTTGTGCCTGGAGACGGGCAACTTTCCGGATGCTATCAATCATGTAAGTAGAAGTCTGACCCTCCCCCCTTCAAACCTCTCTCCATTTCAGACAGGCGTTTTGGAGTTGCCACAATCCAAAATGTATTTAGTGCGACTCAAATTCAACCTACATAGAATTTCCTTGTAATTGACAAACTATATGTCATGCTTGTTGGCTTGACGGGACTCTGGAATCATTTCAAACAAGCGCAAAAATTGATCTTTCGCGTGTAGTCTCTCCGGGCCCGTCGCCAAGGGGGGGGGGGGGCGCCTGGTGGGGCCGGGCCCCCCTTGGCGAGCCATTGCCTCCCCCCCCCCCCCCAACAGCAAAAGCCATACTTTTGTATTTTTTATGATAGTGGGTCCCCCTAGTTGATACTATGGGCCCTCCTGATGCTCGGGGCTGGCGACAGCACTGAGTCTCTCCCTTCCGTTTCTAACGTCTAAGTTAATTCAGATCTGCAGAAAATAAAAGGATCAATTCTTTTGGGTCAAATAAAATATACAAATTGAATAATCGTTAGGAGGAATTAAAATTGAATATGCGGAAGAACATGGGTAGAACTGCTTCAATTAGTTATGAAGTTGTACATTGAGCAGCCTAAACAATAAAGCTATATTGCCATCTTATATCAATGGCAACAGTTATATTTTTACTTCTTAAAGGGCTCATGACATGAATCTTACTTGGAAACATACTTTGTATAACTTTCTAATCCTCTTAAAAGTATGAAAACTATAATGCACATGCCTTTTTTGTTAATTTGATTGAAAAGTGCACTTTTTTTAAACATTAAATTATTTGTATCGTTTCGGTTTGCGGTAACACCATGTGGTAATAACTACTGCTGCGAAGATATTTAGTTCTGAAAAGAACTTGTCCTGCTTATTCTCCGTCAGTCTCCTGACGATGACTAGAGCAGGCTAGTTGAAACGTTGAGACCAAAGACAACTTCTTTTAGAACTTAAAGCAGGACTGTTCTGATCAGAACAAAAACTACTTAGCGAAAGTTGATAATAAGCAGGACAAGTTCTTTTCAGAACTAAATATCTTCTAAGCAGTAGTTATTACCACATGGTGTTACCGCAAACCGAAACAATACCGATACTCCACCATGCAAAGCCTAAAATCTTATATTAAATTATTTTCCATGCTTTCCCAGACAAGTTAGGGCACTGTTGCTGTGATGTCATTTCAGGTAGACACTGTTCACTTTGGGGTTTCCTGTTCAAATGGTGACCCAAAATTTGCTCATTGGCTGACTGTCACGTACTGAAACAATAACAAATCACCAAAGAAAAGAACATTTATGATAGCAAAATATCCCAAATTCTGGCAAATTTTAGTGCTGCAACATTGAGGTTGCTGCCTGAAATGACATCACACTTTTGCTCATGAATATGGTAATTTACATAAAAACATAAAAGGCACCAAGATGCCCTAAAAAATGGCAAAATGAAAATTGAAAGTAAAGTTAAATGGGACACGACGGTGCATTGTCAAGGATTGCATTAAAACATTTTTTTTACATGGCTCTTTAAAGGGAATGTACAACATTTGCAAACATCGAAAAATAAAACTACCAAGTTTTTACGAAATACCTTACTAGGATGTTGGTAAATGACAGTCTAAAGCATCCTGTAAAATTATGGCACCTGGTGTCAAGTCATTTTCAAGAAAATGGTATTTTTGTATACATTTCCAACGGTGGTCGGGGGACCACCATTGGAAAAACCTAACTAATTTTCAACTACTGCGCCAAATTTACAATTTTTTTTTTCAGTCCAAATTTTGTTTGCTATTGGTTACATGTTCATGAACGGGTGCAGTCCAGCTAGACTGGTTCCCTTACCTTACAATTTTCCAATATCTATGAATTGATCCATTTTATCTTTAGTGGAGTCAGGGAACCAGACTACTTAAACATTTTTGTTTTCTTGGTTTTTCAAGCATTTTCGAACACAAAACTTCAAACATGTCAGATAAACAATATTTGATCTATTTTTATACTGACCCCTCAAATAGTTCATTTCTGAAAATTACAGCAAAAGCCAATGATGTACATTCCCTTTAAATTGTGTTTCCCACTATAACTTAAAATGAGGGCACGTTATGGTGCTGTTCAAAAAGACTTATTGTGAATCATTGTGAATTTAAGAATACTTTTGATTTCTGGGAAAAAACTTTTTTTTCAGTTATGGAATAATATTATTATGGAATGCATGAATGCATTATATCTTTGGTTGTTTGTTTGAATTCTTAACACTGCAGGATAACTTCCCAAAAGCTATTTTGAGGCCCGGGGAGAAGTACCTACAAGCAACAGCTTTCAAGTTCAGCTGGTAGATAAGGTGCAGTCATCCAATCAGTGAAGAGCAAGATGACGATGGGTCCAAGCATCGGCTTCTTAAACATGTCTTAAAAACATGAGATGTTTTTTTTCTGAAGATACTTAAAAACGCATTCCCCGTGCTATTTTCGAGTTTCACATCAAAAATTAGATTTGTTTTTGTTTTTTTCAATTGCTATGTTCCAAGCATTAAATAGTTATTCATTCTTGAATAAGTGAATGACTTTTGTATTGCTAGAAAAATAGCAATTTAGAAAAGAAATCTATTTCCCAGGATGAAACATGAAAATAGCCTGAGGAATGCAGTTTTATGTGATGTACTTTAAAATCCATTGAATAGTGTTATTTAGTCAGAAGTTATGGGTTCTATGCACAAGTGCCCCCTCGACAGTTCAGGAAGGGAGAGTTGGCAGAGACCACTTGGAGTAACATTTGAACGCCGGACGGTGCTTGACGCTCATGCGAAGACTCTATGGCTTCGTGCACATTCAGAATAAAATAAGCCATGCGTACTTTGCGCCATACGTGTGCGAACCAGTACGCCCACGCGGTGTGTCCAGTCCAAGGGGCAAGCGCCCTCTCTCGTTGGCGCACGGAGCCCATAAGGCAATTTTTTTTAGAATAAGGGATCGCATGATTGCATAGAATATCCAGTTTATTCAAGGCTTAGTTGACTTTCCCTCGCTACCTGGCAAATTCAACAAGGCCAGCCCAGCAGTCAAAATCAATCAAGTGACTGTTGTTAACAGTTAAGAGCTCCCAGCCGATTCACTGGCTGTGACTGTTTATGTAACTTGGTACAGCTGTGCTTTGACTGTACATGTTGGTGATTGATAAGCCAGCTGTGCCTACCGCTTGTCCGCTTTTGTCTCTTGACTGAATTTGACTAGTCATCTAGTTTGAAATGTCATCTGACTGTTTGTGACTAGCCCGTGTTTTAAGGCATGGCAGGGGCGGAGGATCAATTTTTGACCGTCTGTGACTGTTAAGACAGGAGGGTTTTAATAAGGGAATAAATGTGTGCTCCGGAGGTTTTTATCACTCGTTTAATACCGCTTAGAGTCTGGGTGCTGATAATTACCCGAGCCGTAATTTTATTATTCATAAATACCTCAGACAGTTTAGCTATTCCTATTGGTCGAGAGCCCGTCACGTGGCCGGTCTTAAACGGATGATAAAGACATGGCTAGCTGGTCTTAAACACTTTTCCAGTGTCACAATAAAATGTGGACTCCTAAAAATCCAGTGCCTCTTACCGTTTCATTGGTTGAACGTTCACAATCCTCACGTAGGCATGCGCAACACTACCAGCGAGTCATTATTTTATAGTTCAAAATTCCAAACACAACACCCCAGGTGCGTTCTGCGCGACATCGCGCAGAACATGCCACGCGCGCGTCAATCGCCATAAAAGGGTTGTTTACATCTTACTCGCCAGCTGAACACTCCATTATTTTGCCAGAGGGATGCTTCAAAAAGCATGAAGTGAGCTTGTTGAACAAAATCGGGATTTTTTGAACGAATTATATGATATTTTTTAACCGAAAAGGTATTTATGAATGGGAATAAATATGTGCTCGGTCGGTATTAATCACTCCGTTTAAGACCGCTCAGAGTCTGGGTGCTGATAATTACCCTCGCCTCCAGCTCGGGTAATTATCAGCAACCAGACTCTAAGCGGTCTTAAACGGAGTGATAAAAACCTCTCGAGCACACATTTATTCCCTTATTAAGGTCTCAAATGAACTAGGTAATAATTTTTCGAGAAATGAAATTTCTGTTTACCTTGGGGTATTTCTAAACATTGAAACTTTGGTGCTGATACCAAACAACCTGAAATACTACTTCTGTGCCTATAAAGTAGAGGGCTAGATGGCTAGACGACAGTTACATTAAAGAAAAACCACAATGTAGAATACATCATGTCTTCTATTTTCTAGTCCGTAAAATCATGTCTTGTTTACTACTGCCTCCTTAGAATAGGTTTTTATCATACATTTTGATCTAAAAGATTCAAGCAATTGGTTTAATACCCATAAAAAAGATAAATGAGATAAAAAAAAACTTCTAAAGTTGTTTAAATTTGCTATTTTTATAAGATTGAGAATTTTATGAATGCTGGTATTAAAATGCCACATGACAATATTTGATAAAATCTTCAACATTCTTGTGTCAGATATTAAGAGTTTATGAGATATCAAATACTGTGCTTTCATGTATACAGTACTGACTCAATTACATAATGTACAATTGTTTTTGTACATGTGTAATTTGTTTTATTCAGTTGCCAATATGGCCACTTCGTTTATTTTAATTACAATTAAAATGAGCTGAGCTCAGGATAGGCATATAGAAGTCCAACTTTTAATTTGTTTTACAGTACATGTATTTTCTTTTTGTTAACAATTGTGAAAATGGGAAATATTCACTCTTTTAAAAGACCCAATTTGTTGTAACTAATTTCTTTTTTCTGGTTGATTTCTTATTTTGGGGGGATATTTGTAGCTGGAACTTTGTCATTTACAAATACTATTACTTGAAATTAAAACAGAGAACAACATTCACCGGTTCATCATCGTGTTGTATTTTTGTTCGTTTTGGCTAAAATTTATTAAGACTAAAAACAGAGGACTAGAAAAATAACTCATCAATGACAAGTACATGTAAATAGAACAATACAACCAACTTTAAGTTTAAATATAAACAAAATGTTAATAAAAACCTTCCATCCCATGTTCTGCCCAGATTACGGACACACACATGTAACGTTCACTTGGCACTCACTTTAAGACTTTCGATTTCAAAAATCTTCCAAAGTAACTGGAAAAAAACTGTTTTTAAGGTAAATGCCGAGTGTTTACAAATTAAGGGCACCTGGAAGAGGACATTTGCAAAACTGGGCAATTCCACAATTAAAAAAAAGCAATGCGCGTCAAGTGATGTTATTAAAACACATAAATAAAACTGATACATTTAATCTATTCAATAAGATAAATTCAAATACATTCCCTGAATAAGATTCTTTTACATTATTTCAACTCACTCTTTTTTCTCAAAGCGCGTACAAAACGATATATAAAAAAATTCCATTTTAAATGGTAAAAATAGCAGCAACACCAATTCGGTTAGTACTAAAGTGCTTAAAAAAATATTTGCATTTGACTGTCGAACTAGAACGGCGAAGCCGCAGTGGCTCGCTGTCAAAGGCGGGAAGGGAGGCTGAAGGTAGGTTGGGGATGGGCATGATTGAAGAGGATCAGGATTCAGGATCGTGTGCCAAGGTGTAGGTGTCAGTTTTATTAAATGCCAACATGTCAACAAATGTCCTTACACGTGTGTACGTGTTCTACATAACCCGCGAGGACCGACACACAAAGGGACAACAACAAATCCGTTTAGTCCTAGGGAGTTGGGTCTAAATTTGTTGGAAATAGTCCTCTGCCGGCAGTAAGTTTGTTTGCTTAGTCTATGAGAGAGTGTTATATTACAGGGACAAAAGGAAACACAAAGCATTGTCCTCGAGAGAAAAACAAGAGTGTGTGTACATGTTCATGTATCCCATCACCACACTTCTCCCCCACCACCCCCCAAAAAATTTCTTTCTTTGGTCTTGATATAGGTGCACTTTCGTCGTCAATGTTGAGGAATACTCGATCAACTTCGTCATGTGTTTCATGATCTCAACGACAGTGTCATCGTCCACGCTTGTGAGATAGCTCCGAAAACTAAGCCAAACAGGTACACGAGCGTTTCAATATCTCGAATGCAAAATCCACCGTGATTTTCTACCGTGCAGTTCATGTCTTGCGGACCATCTTTTCCTTGGCAATGAGTTCACGGAGAAAAGCTATGCAGCCAAGCTTGCCTTGCTGTGAAGGGAACAAATGGGAAAAAACACGAAAATGAAAACTTCTGAGCCAAAAAAAAACAACAGTGCGTCATAACCAGTGGCATTGCCAGCTGGGGGGGGGGGGGGAAACTTCCCCCGGCAATATTTTGCTGAATTAAATTAAATTTATTTATCTATATATTTGGGGGGGGGGGGGGGGGGTTTGTAAAGGAAATGAAATCTCCAGCACCTCAAAAACTGACAGTAGAAGTAATACCTTCTTTTCTAACCAATTAACGGGGGGAAAAATGGAGCCACCTTTTCTGGAAAAAAAAATCCCATTTTGCACCCCACCCAAAATCTGATAAGCTAAGTTAGGTTCTGTATGGCACGATACCATTATAACGACCGCACCAACACATTAAACGATCCGATAGAATGACAGTAATTGATGTACTTTCAGTGCCCTCCGTACATCGTCTTAGTAAGGAAAAGGATACTTCTGGCTTTTGTGCGTGAATCGTACTCGAATGTGAATAACTTTTGTAAGAAGACAGTGGTTAAATCAGAAGGTCGAAAGAATCAGCTTGACTCCACCAGTCAATTGACATCCAGAAATGATTCAACACAAATGAAAAAGTGTTTTTCCCCCATTAATTAACTGACAAAATAAACACAATTCTTTTCTAAGGCATCTCGAAAAAAAAAGTTCATAAATTTACCTGAACCATATACGTTTGGTCTTTTTCCTCCATCTTGAAGTCCAGAGTATCCAGGTAACCGGTATTAATGCCGATCGTACGATGCACATCTGAGCCCTATACAGCCAAAAAAGGTCGTACAGCTTTAGATGACTAGCTTATTGTCAAAGACACAGGTAATTTGTACCTTTTTTCAAGGAGGGAAATACCAAAATGACACAAAAAAGGGAATTTGAGTTTGGTGTTCATAGTTTAATTTCGGTTGAGTTTAATTTCGGTTTTAAAAGATTTCCAATTGTAGATCGAATTCCGTGTATAGAGAAGCGTTTACCTGTACGAAGATTCTCTTCATATTGAGCAGCAAGCTGTCCATAATGATACCGAAGTAGCTCCGTAGATCTGTTATTTCCTGCCGGCTGTAGCCACGGAAATCTTCCATCATCTCCAAGCCCTGACTATCGGCGAAGGCCATCAGTTCCCGGAAGTTTATCTTCGAAAAAAAAAAACAACCAAAAATAAGTTCATCGGTTGATTTTATTTAAAAACTGATGCAATTACAATTTTCTGAAATAGTTTCCTCAGAAAGCGGGTTTTATTTTTGACGGCGTAATCAATGAAATTTGAAAAGGGTTCATATTCGTACTTCGCCATTGCCGTTGGTGTCCAGCCGTTTGAACAGTGCCTTGGCGTCACTGAAGTCATCTCCAAATAGCTGCTTCTTGTCTTCGGTTGTAAACTCCGAGTTTGGCTGTGAAAGAAGAGAATTATTTTTAAAAAATGGAAAAAAACCTTCTCGTTTAGAACCTTTCATAGAAATCAATGTTCGACTAATCGCCCGGCATGCCATTAAAACCATTCTGAGCGAGGCTGTTTCTTGGGTCAATATTGGTCAAGTGACCCATTGGGGTTTTTTTTTTTTTTTTTTTTTTTTTTTTTTTTTTTAAAGTAAACCAGGGGAAGTGAAAGGAAATTTTGACCATTTGTGACCTTTTAAACAGCAGGAGGGTTTAATAAATAAATTCGGTTTAGGGGTTGTGGGAGTGGGGGAAGACCTTGTACACAAATCTCCAAATGCAACTGCCGTGAGTTTTCTTTCTTTCCTTGCATCTTTCTTTATTACATTTCTTTACCCAGGGTATGCCCACACAGTTAAAAACTAGTTTGGGCCCTTGACGATCATGTTTAAGTTTGCTTTTCGGGGTCATTTGGAGAACACGCCCTTCGACGGTGAACTCTACATGAACCTCACTATGAAGATACATTTTGTGCCCATACTTTATAGCAGCACTAGTTTCCCGTTAATCGTCAACATCCGCGCAATAAAAGTATTAAATTACATCCACAGAAAAGCTATCTGATTGATTTACACGATCGACTTTTTCTACACTTTTGTTTTATATGTCCCCTCTTGGTTCATGTAAAGTGAAACCAAACCATAACTTGTGATAATAAATCTGTCTAAGGTTTTATGGGGTGAATGTCACATAATATTTCTTTGGTTGATGGAGGTGTGTCTATATGGGACCACTAACATCGTCTAGCTTTTATGCACAACAAACAGAAGATCGACCAAGATTTGACCTTTTTCAACTGGTTCTCAGTATTTCATATCTGCGACGTGCACGCGTGATCGCTGAAGTTCGAACTGCCTAAAGTAAGTCATAATTGAAACGGATTTTACAGTCATTCAATATCGAAAATAATGAAGGTAGAACAAAGTAAATCATCTTGGGAGTTGTCTGTGCCTTGAAAATAGTATGCCGCTTAAAAGGCCCTTATGCGACAAAATTCATGAAATTACAAGTTCATATTTAGTGGCTTTTCAAATCTAATAGATGAAGTGTCAAGGTGGATGAAGTCACACAAAATGGACAAAGGGGAAGGGGTGTGGTCTAACGAACAACAAAAATATTAATAATATAATGCGTATTTATAAAAGCGCACGTATCCACCAGTATTGGTGCTCAAGGTGCTACATCATTATTACTCTGCCCATTGGGTCAATGAAACATTCCAAATACAATCTCAGCTTCCTGGGGAGTATACAGCTCAATATGCTGCCCCTTCGGCGCCGACTACAGCTCATCAACCATAATAACCATTCACAAGATGGAGTCCGTACAGTGTTTATACGTCGGTGAAGGGCAAATAAGCCTAATGCTAAATTAACAACCATTTCTGCCCTCACAACTACCCATTTACTCTTGGTTTGAGAGATTTCAGCAATGACACATTAATATGTTCCTTGCTTAAGGCCAAGGGCACACGCACCGTATAACCCCAGGCTGGGCTTGAAACCACAACCGACAGAATTACCCACAGACCACGAATTCAATGCTCCTGATACCACGAGGCCACGGCACTCCACGGGACATTATCCACCCGGATTAGAGCAACAATAGCGAATCAGTTATACCCTTTTATAATGTATGGATAACATGAGAATACTAAAACGTTTCCCAGTATTCTACTCCAGCTAACAATACCCACCCGGATCCGGTAAAGGTCGCTCCAAGCGATTTACACAACAATAAAATTGTATGGTCGACTTGAATTCGAGTTTTGTGTGTTGAGGCCATACCTTGTTCACAGCCTTCTCGAATTCCTGCACACTGATAGTCCCGCTCTGGTCGATGTCGCTTTCTTGAAGTACCTTGAGAAACTTGGAAAACGACGTCATCAGCTTTTTATGCTTGACCCTCTTGTCCTCGAGTTTCTGCATGGCATCTCTCCGCTTTCTGTATACCATATTGATTTTGTTACTTTGTAATTTTATTAAACTTTAATAAACGACTTTTGTTGACTGGTTTGATGTAGGATATGGCCTTTTTAACATCCGAGGGGCGCATGATATGCGCCCATCTACATTTCTTGAGAATCTATCTGCCAAGTTTTGTGCTTTGGACCAGTCGGTCACAATCTCGCCCAAACTTGGATCTAGGAAACCTGACTACAAATGAAAAGGGACTATTACTTTGCCAGTTTGGTGGGTGGGAGGTCCTGCGTTTCAGACTTGTCGATATACTTCTCAAAACGTTGCACCAGTTCCTCCTTCATAACCTCCCTCTCATCACCAGCATACTGAATGAGATCAAACAAACATGGAAGTAATGATTGGTCATACAACGGGACCCAATACTTTTAAAGAAGGTACATGCATATGTATACTTCAAAGCTTCCTGTACAGGGTGAGTATAAAAAAACCCGAAACCCAAATGGCAGGACCAATTTTTGAATGAAAATATGCCTGTAGCACTTTCAAAATCTAGGATATGCAAGCCCAAACAAGGAGTTTTCTTTTAGCACAAGAATCATTCAAATCACTCATGTACTTTTGAAGTTACGGAATTTTTAACACAAACACCGTTTTAAACTTCTGTCCAGATCACAAAAAAAGGTCAGTGTTCTTTCAGCAAAACGAAAACAATTTACATGCATCCCTATGAGAATTGTTTTCGTTTTGCTGAAACAACACTTACTTTTCTGTGATCCGTGGACAGAACTTTGAAACGGTGTTTGTGTTCAAAATTCCGTAACTTGAGAAGTACATGAGTGATTTGAATGATTCTTGTACTAAGTGCTACAGGCATAACTCATTCAAAAATTGGTCATGCAATTTGGGTATCCTTTTTTTGACTCGCCCTGTACACTCAATGCACATTGGAGATCGAAGTAGGTCCAACAAAAAGAAGGCTTGTTGGAGATATGAACATTACGTAAAACGTATAGAGCACCAGTAAGACATATGAACTAGGATTTGAAAAGGCAAAAATGTAAAAACCAATTAAGGCGGTGGATTACTTAATGACACAAATATTTACTCTCAACATGTCGGCATGGTCAGTTACTCACAAGTAAAATCCCTATCGTTTTCTCGTTCTTTGGAGAGAAGCGTTCCTTGGGGTCCCAGAGTTTAGAAAGTTGCTCGAATGGCTGTAGGCGTTGTAGAAGGGAATCGTCTGGTTTCATAGACAAATACCAGCCTGAAACCAAAAAACACAAGTTACACTTGAAAATTGTACAAAAGATGTTATTTTTTTAAACAAGTATTTTGCCAGTCGTGGCCGAAACAAGTAATCGACGTTCATGCCGAGGTCTCACTTTTCTGACTATAGTGCAGCAGTCAGGCTCATTCATGAATTATTTTCCCCAACCCTGGCGAAAACACAAAATGTTTCGTGCAAACTGTTTACTTTACTACCAGTCGTCTTATCCCACCACTGATAATGAAATTCTTATACAATGTATAACCTTTCCGACAATAATACAAGCCAACTTATTAGTGTAACATGCCTTGGGCCAAACTCAGGCTAATTCGGTATTAAAAGAAAATAAACCCTGGCATTTATTGCACCGGTGAATGTCGGGACCATTTTAATCAATGACTTCAATAAATATACGACTATACAGTCAATGCGATAATATAAATTATGGGCAAGAATGGCACGTTGGGTTTGAGCGTCTTGTTAACGTTTAAGGTACGGACGACTCGCTACAAATTCAGGAAGCGAGCAATACCGTCGTAGCAATGTATTGGATAGTTGCAGAGTGGTCCTCCATCTACGTAGTAGTCCTTTGTCTTCCCATTTTTTACCTCCACTGGGCAAAATACACCTGTAAAGAGAAAAAGGTAAAACTGTCATTTTGAACATTCCAATCGTTTTCTTTAGATCGATGCCCCAATGTCACGATTAATGAAAATCGGACATAAAAAATAGTTCTCGAGAAATAAAAAAAAAAAAATAAAGAAATTCTTTCTTAGCCTTCTTGCGTTCAAAACACAGAAGGTCCACAAGAATTAAAAAACGGCTTCTCGCCGAGGCCGGCTATAGTTGCTCTCGAACCACGACGAACCTGCAACTCGTCGTGGTCAGACAAGGAGTCGCCGTGGCGAGATTCCACGGACCAATTTAGAACATATTTATTGCTTGTATACTCTATATGCTTCCGTAAAAATCAATCCACAATGATGATTTATTCTTTGTTGAAGGAATCGGGTCAAAACAACTTTAAAGTTGGTGCATGCGTGTTTTGGGGGTGTGGCACCTTGAAAATAGTTTTTCAAATTGAATTGATAATTTTCTAGCATTATATTAGTTATGAACTATCCAATGAGGCATTGCACGAAAAAAACCCGCCCACGACAAGTAATCAATTAATTAATTTCAACTTTCGAATACGCTCCTAATTCGTTTTGAATAGTGTGCGCAATTTATGAACTGAAGCGCCACTTTTTTAAACTGTATAGGTTAAAGGCCTGAAAAGTTAAACCGGCAAATTTATTGTTGCAGGACATTATATTCCTCTAAGTTTGGTTCGAAAAGAAAAATCGAACTTTTTAATAAAAAACACGTAGACCTATACTAGATACCAACTATAAGGGTGTTGACATTGAAGAAGAAAAGTGGGCAGATTAAGTAAAGACAACAAAGGCCTGCTTTGTCTATACCTGGAATACAGCCGGACATTCGAACTGCTTGTCTGATGGGCATATTGGGAGTGGTTTTGACATGGCAATACATGCAGTCCATGGTGTTCATGTTGGTCACGGTAATGCAAAGCTCCCTCTTTTTTTCCTGGTACAGCTGGTAAGGTAAAACAAAAGAGTTATGTTACCTCAAAGTCCGTTCACAACTCATCGTGGTACACTTTTATTATTCACATTGTACACACAACAAAATGTACTCACTAAGTCTCCTTTTTTAAACCTCTACATCATCATTCTTTGAATGGGCAGAATTCATCAATCTAAATATTCTCTGTCCTCCTAATTAAGAGCATTTGCAAGGGAGCATACCGGTAGTGTTTTCCGTATTGAAGAGGCAAATATAAATGACAATTCGGAAGACGTTGGGAAAAAAAAGAGATCTTCATATCTATAAAACAAAGTTCAGATTATTCGATCCACAGATTTGGATCATTGCAATTTATCGACTGAGGCGCCCTCGTAGTGACCATAACTGTTCAAACCTTTGTCAACCAGTGGTGTCATTATGAAATTTCGGGTAAACGGTCCCATTTGCAAGTGTCCCTGCGCTCGAGACCTGTTCCATCAGAAGATGGAACAGGTCTCGAGTGCAGAAGAATAAAAGGAGACTAGTAATATGGTATTATTCTTTAATATATGACCAAAAGCCCAGTGTGAGACCCCACCAGAAAACGAAAGGGTCCCATCCTGCCAACCAATGTAAATATATTTATATTTTCCCCTGTGATGCACTGTTGCACTCACCTGCTCAAATGTGAGGTCCGCATTGCCCGTCTTCTCTTTGACTCGCTCACCGAACCAGTGGAAGATCTTCTTGCCCGGATGCCAACCGTACCTCCTCAGCATGTTAGGTAGGAGGCTGAGTTTGCCAAATCTGGCATCTGGAATCAAACCACAAACCATCGTTATTACCAGTACCATTTGGTCGTACCCACCGTGCCACCATTATCAAAAGACGTCGGGGACCATGCACATATCTGTTTTAAAAGGTCCTGTGAAGACAGGTGTCGCAAAGCATTGCTGGTACGTCACTTGTCATAAATACAGTTCAGGCCTGGTCACATGGTACAAGGGCAAGGGACAAGCGAATTCATTAATTTAAGAAAGAAACGCACGCATATTGTTTAATTTTTCCTTATTCGAATGCTGATTCTGCACAGGATTGTCTCACGTACACCTGCACGAAAATATTGCACCCGTTTTTGATTGGTTCCTGAGTTAAGCACACGGCCATCTCCATCCCCCTCCTCCTCGCCCCCCCCGGCGCCCCCACTCCGGTCCCCTCCCCATCCCGCTCTTCCCACGATAATGTAATAATACGGTTTGGCCTACTCACCAAGGAAGACTTTCGTGATATCACCTCTCAGGAATGTCTCGATATCATACGAGTTATATCCAACAGCCACCAGTGCAGCAACCATTGAACCGGCACTGGCCCCAGCAAAACGTTTGATGTTTCCCCAGTAGCCAAGTTCCTCAAGGACCTGTGATTTACAAGATGAGATAACAATTATTTATAAATACACAAGACAATACCCATGTTCTTATTGGTCAAGAGCCCGTCACGTGGCCTGTTTTAAAGGGATGATAAAGACCGGCCGGCTGGTTTTTAAATACTTTTCCAGTGTCACATGAAATCTGGACTCCTATATGAAATCCCGTGCCTTTCATCGCTTTATTGGTTGAACGTGCACAATCATCACGTGGGCATGCGCAATACTACCAGTGCTTCAGTATTTCATCGTCCTAAATTCACATTACACATGCACAGCTGCATTCTGCGCCACTCGCGCGCTAATCAGGAGTTATTTACCACTATTTGCGACAGGGAAATTCAATAATATAACTAGAGGGGGTGTTTCGAAACACATAAAGTACAAGTGTTGAACAAAATCGTTGGAAATTTATAATTTTTGACTTGTGTTGACTTTTGGACCGAACCTTTTTTGATTTTTTGACCGAAAAGGTATTGACCTGGAATAAAAATGTGCTTGGCCGGTATTAAACACTATTCAAGACCAGTTGGAGTATGGATGCTGATAATTGCCCTCGCCTTTGGTTCGGGTAATTATCATCACCCATCCAGACTAAGCACACATTTATTCGCTTATAGCTATCCCTAACAGTCCTGAATCCTCCAACTTTTGCACATCTCCTTAGGGTGTTCAACCTATTTTCATAACGAAAACCAATAATCTAATGATCACTGCATACATTCACGAATGCCCCTTTCAATGAACAATGTGCCATGCAGCTATTGTTCAAAACAGCGGTCAATCCGTCTAGAGTAGGCTAAAAGTTTTCCATTGCATGCATTAACTTTATTTGCAACTAATTAAACTGTCACAGGGGATGAATCATTTGCCTAATTCTCACATAACCGAGCACAAACTGTGATTTAAGCGGCCTTTGAAATTTAGAGAGCTTGCACAGAACGCCCTCATTGCGGACAGATTTTTTGTATGACGATACAGATCGTCTAATCTTGCGAATCACAGAGGAACAATGACATATACACGACAGTGAGAACGTTCTGTGAAATCTCGCTATAGAATGCATGCTGCCACCATTTTAGTCATGTTCCCTGCATCCAATAACAGTACTGAATGATAATAATTTTGTGCAAAAACTTGGAACCAGACTATTCTTGCCTCCAGCCTCGCTTTGGTTACATTGATTTGAATGGGAACAATATCAAATGGCTGCAACATAATATTGGTCTATTAATGACAAAAGAACAGTGGCGTAAATCTGTGTCGAAGACTTGGGGTGTTGAAACGTGGAAAATTATTAAATTTCAACGGATACTGAAAAATAATTCCATTTTCAATACAATGTATCGACGTCACTTGGTCGGACCGTTAGCCCCACAAATTGTATCAGTTCGTACCGACCTTATCCCGAGAAAAAGTCCAGAGTTCCTAAGAAGCTCAACCCCCCCCCCCCCCCCCCCCCCCATAGCACGTGTGCCAGTATAGCTTGTATGCAGTGTGGCAGACACAATAGGGATTGCTATAGACTAGGCAAACTGGTTTTGTGTTAGCACAAATTTAACCACTTCAAATAGCGGCCTTCTATTGTGTCCGACATACTTAACCCAACAAAAGGCCAATGGAGTTTCTGGGAACTGGATTTCTATGCACTGCTTTTCCCGAAGTTTACAAAAATAACTAATTTTATTGGTGTTCCACGATGTTTTAATTGATCTTTTCTGTGAACAATCGATTTTCGAGATGAACTTATAACTTTGCGCTGTTTCATTAAACGCGTAAAAAAAAAGAGCATTCCGAAAAGTATCGACTTCAGATTTATACACGTTCGTATTTTGTCGTATTTTAACAAAGGTGTATTGAGGATCCGACTTGAGAGAAATATTTGAGTTTAGGATTTTTTCAGTCTCAACTCCATAAGTACCCGGTCAGTATATAACGTTGAGAAGGGAAATCCCGGCACGATAACGATATCCTTGTCGCTATTATCTAATCTCGGTACATGGAAAGCCGGAAAAGACCACGCAACTGCGGGAATTTCCGGTACACACAATTATTGTCTGGGTAAAGGCCAAGTCAATATTGATGAAGTTCGACATTCAACATTGTGACAGAACTTGACTACGACAGTGCAGCGCGACCGTGTTTAATTCCATGACACACACACATACATACCACTCCACGCTAGCACATTCCATTGTTATCTGATTCAACTTGAACCTTGTTGCATTTTTGTAATCGCTGTTAGCCAGTTGCCTTCATGTTTTCTTTGGGGTTACATTGAATGTTGCATTCCCCGTGCTATTTTCGAGTCGGGTTCCCATCCGATTTGCTGTATTTTTTTTATTATAGCAACACAATAATTATCGGCCCAAGTTTACAGTTATTGAATTATTAATTTACACACAAAATTTCGAAATGCTTGCGGGCCGGACTAAATTCATTCCGTTCTCGCGGGGTACGTAGGCTGGTTCCCGCCCAACAATCAGCACGGGTAGTGTGCGGGGAGCTAGTCTGCTCACATGTCATGCCCATGAAAGCCTTTGTGTGTGGTGTTTTTTTTTAAATGGTTACAGGCGTCCAAAAAAGGGGACTTTTTTTGGGGGGGGGGGGTATAAACTACAAGGAAAAAGAATCGAATTTGTCGAATTAAAGATCACTTTAAGTAGTTAATTTCAGTGGATATGTATAAAAACCCGGTAAAAATAGTGTCGGATCAAAGATTTTTTAAAGGGGGTGGTCGACTTGTTAGCCTGATAGCTCCATGGTTGAACTGAGCCCGGAATCGGGGGGGGGGGGGAGCACTCTCGGCAGAGGCAATGAACGAGATTTATAATATGATTGTACGAAGTTATTTCAGGAAATGTAGTCAGGATTTTTGAATAATTATGTACATTCTCAACATTGGGATGGTATCCCAACCCGAGAAACTCCTACATCAGCCCTTGATCGCATACTCTCCCGCAGTAAACTCATATTCCGTCTGCAAAATTACGAAAGAGAATCGAGAACATAACTATGCAAGTGCTCTCACAACCGATCAAATTCGGTCTTCTAATTTAGTGAGCCATAAATGTGTGCATAAATTGTCTCAGGTTAAATGAAGTACTTTGTCATCCATGACCAGATTGCAATGCGAATGTCTTAAAGATTTGCAGAATATCGGAGGAAGATATCAACGTAGAGACTCGCGATTGATGGTGTGGAGGTGGAAGTTCGGCTAGGGTTCACGGCTGGTGTAAACGATTCGGTGCCCTCTGACCTTGAGAAACGTAACGACTTTATTGACGCTGACTGTGCCGGTGCCAATCGACTAGTACATGTAGTGCACATATCAGACTGAAGTCGATGAGCCGTTGATTATGACCATAGAGCTCAGCATAATGGGTGTGTGTTTAAAGGGAAAATACAACATTTGCAAACATCAAAAAATAAAACTACCAAATCATTTTGAAATACCTTGCTGGACTGTTAGTGAATGACAGTGTAAAGCATCCTGTAAAATCATGGCACCTGGTATACTGTCATTTTCAAGAAAAGTGTTTTTTTGTATCAATTTCCAACGCTGGTCGGCCGACCAGCGTTGGAAAACACTGGCTTTTTTTCAAATACTGGCCCCAATTGACCATTGCACTTGTTTGCAATCGATTACACACCTATGAACGGGTACAAGCCAGCTAGACTAGTTCCCTGACCTTATAATTCCATTGTATGTAAACTGCTCTGTTTCTTCTTATATGGAGTCAGGGAACCAGACTACAGGAAAATGATTGTTTTTCTTGGTTTTTATAGCATTTTCGAACCCAAAACCTTAAAAAAGTCAGTGTAACTATATTTGCTATATATTTCCAACCCCCAATTCCATCCATTTCTGAAAATTACAGCAAAAGCAAATGATGTATATTTCCTTTAAAGGTACAGCGTACTTCATATTTCTTGTAATTTTAAGAGAAAACAAATCCCATCCTTTCTTCAAATTGACACTATATAATAATGATAATAATGGAGTCTTATATAGCGCAATATTATTATATTATGAAAGAAATATTAAAGACATATTATTAAAGAAAGGTAAATAAAGTTTATGAGAAACTATATATACAAGCTGTTTCACCAGATGCTTGATGATACGTTTACTTTACTTTCAGCAAGTTAAAAAAAATATTTGCTTGGGCATTTTGGAAAATGTAGAGGGGCTTTCACATTGAACTTGAGCTCGTGTTTTTATCGGCTCCTAATTGCTAGCTGGTAAAAACATTATTCTTTTGGAATTAAATTTACAAACATCCCGAGATCGTTATAAACGGAAAATTCAAACGTAGAGATCTTTAATGTCTGTAATTGTGAAATGCCTGACATCGACACTGACATAGCGGAAAGCATGTTGCAACCTGACGCCACTTTTTTCTTCATGTATCATCTCAATGAAGGTCATGCAGTCATTGCAACAATGACGATATGACATGAATCTGGGACTGAGAGACATTTTCAATTTTGTTAGGAAATACTTATACAAAAATGCCTGACTCTTCATAGACTTTGTACACAACCGCTGAAGTGACGTCAGGTTGCAACATTCTGTCCGAAAGGGCTTGATTCTTGACAAGACTCCGACCCACTGGAACATTGCCAAAAAAGAAACCAATAAAACACACGTAGAAAATGTACTAACTGGAAAAGACAAAGAAAAAGAATCTCATGCATGGGAGAAATTCCAGTTGAGAATATGTCTCAAGCTGAGTATGACGCAACCTCTAAAAAAAAAAAGGTTAGCAGACAAACCGAAAGAAACTAATCCGTGTACGACTGCCACAGCGGAATCGACACACAAACGAAATATCCGGAATTACGCGGAAGCGAAACAGGATGTTCAATAACCTGCGAAGCAATCCCTAAGAGCTCGAGGCAAGGCAAGCTAATATTGTTTCGCCTCCAATTATTCCTACCTTAATTTAAGAGAAGATAAGTTTCATTGCAAATAAACGGACACAAAAAAAGCCTTTCAAATGTCTGCGCAGTGTGCATAAGCTTAGGAAAAAAATGTTTCAACCTGACACCACTTCTGCGATTGGGTACAATATTACAAAGTCTATGGAGAGTCAAGAACATTTTCCAAGTATTTCCAAACAAAAATGGAAACATTTGTCAGTCCCAGATTCATGCCTTATTATCATTTTTGCAACGAATAACCTTCATGGAGATGATATATGAAGCAAAAATGGGGCGTCGGGTTGCAACATTTTTTCCATTATTAACGACAATTTAAGATATCGCCATAAAGTAGTTGCTCCGCACAAGTTATTGCCATGTATAAAAGTCGGGAAAATGTTTCATTACAGAAGGCCTATTCAAAATCATTGTTAACCCAATTTGAAATTGGGTGGGGTGAGAGATGGCCTAGCGGGTAAGAACACCGGACTCATTCTCTGGTGTTTCAGAGGCAACAGTCGGGCCTGGGTTCGAGCCCGGACAGTCTTGTGCCCTTGAGCAAGGGCATTATTGCTTCGTCCTTCGGATGGGACGTAAAGCTGTAGGTCCCGTGTGTTGTATAAATGCACGTAAAAGAACCCAGCAAACAGAGTTACTAAGAGAAGGGGTTCGCCCGGGTGTTTCTGGCAGTTATCCTCATACATACATGTACACCATGCGGCCACATACGCGATAGCCACAGGCGTTTGTTGTACAGAAGCTAACAGATACAGAAATGTTCCTCAGTCTCAAAATTCATTCCCCCCCCCCCAAAAAAAATAATAAATTGCAAAGACTTACCATTAATGAGGTTACATTTGGTGACAAAATAGTGAAGTTCTAACCGCGCTTAGTGTATTCATGGAGAAATAAAACATGTATTGTACAAAAATATATATACCACCTATAGCCCCATAATATGGCCAAATAGACATCTGAAAAAGGCAGCACTTTCTGATTGGCCTATAAAGAGGGTGAGAATGCTTCTTAAGCAAAAAACCCTACAAATTAAGCCTAAATGTGAAAATCAAAATTTGACAAAGTTCGACATGTTTTTGTACATGGTGGATGTGTGGCCTATGTTTACGGAGGTAGTCCAGTAAATTTGCCACATTTATGGGGCTAGGATCGAGGCAGTCCAGTAAATTGGCCACGTTTATGGGGCTATTATACCACCTAGCACACTATATAATAAGCCTATACTGACCCGAATGGCCCCCGTTGCCGCCAATCCCTTGTTGCCTCCGCCCTCGAACACGATGTTGTCGAAGCGGAGGTCATACCCGGCAAATTCCTCTTTCTGCCCCGCCGTGAGAATCCCCGACGGTGGTGCAACAACAGCGTACTTCTTTGCTCCGTAGCTGAACATGATTGTGTAGTTTATGTGTGTGAACCTTGACTTACAAGTGTTGGCCGCACACGTACACGAAATAGCACTGACAAACGAAAATTCTGGAGTTGTCCAACCACAATTGCGGACGATCAATCCGGGTTGAACCAGTTACATGTACATGTACATGTATGTTGACCCGCCAAGCCGCTGAATATCCTGGCTGCTGTCGCGATGTCTTTCATATGAAATCCTGCACCTTGAGTAACATTCCAGAAATCATTGGAAGAGCTTCAATGATCGGAACAGCTGCGAACGGTGGCCTGAGTCCGATTCATTCATTCGGGGTTTTTTTACGAAGAGAGTGATGTAAACCATGTATGTATTTACTGTGTATTGTCCCGAGAGTTGAGCAACAAAAATCACGTGTAGCTGGGAATTTCCCTCACTTTGCCTCTTTCTGCTAAATGAAAGTATACACGCGTATTAAGCACCTTTCCGGAAAGCGTACGATAAGTGGTGGTGACTCAGATTTGTTGAGCTGAAAAGTCATTTACTTTTCGCCATACCCAAAAACTCCATACAAGAGATGGTCATAACTTTTCTCAACTGATTCACTTATAAATGTATATTAATTTTATTTAAGTCACATAGGTTTTTCCTGTTACCGTATTAACACTTCGAGCTTACAAATTCCCTGGAATGGGCAAGTTGTTATTGAAAATGGGCCAAAGTGACCTCGAAAAAGGTCAGTTGGGAATTTCCTTTTTTTAATTTCCCATCTTTCTGCCAAATAGAAAGTACGTTTCTGTGAAGCGAAAGAATATAGAAAAAAACACATGTTTCCGGTATATTTCAACATGACTTGGTTGCAGGGGCGTAAATCCGGGGGGGGGGGGGGGGGGGGTGGATTGGGGTTATATACCTCCCCACACTTTTTGAGGGGAGGGATAGTGTATTGTATCACCCCCCCCCCCCACCTTTCCGTGGTGAGAAACAATAAAATGCGGATATTATGGTATTTTTGCGAACTTTTCAACAACCAAAATGTATTCCATAATACTGAAAAGGGATATAAAGTACATTATCAGGTGAAGGGGCGTAATTATGTATAAGATGTACATCTGTGCCATGAACAGCGCCCTCTAGTGTCAAGTGGTGTCTAGCATATTTCTACTCCCCCTGAATGGGATGCCAGTCCATCGCAGGATTACTCACCAGCTAATGCCGGTATCCATTTATACTCCTGGGTGGAGAGGGGCAAGTGGGGGTGAAGTGCCTTGCCCAAGGACACAATATATGGCCAGCGGCTGGATTCGAACCCCGGACCCTCTGATCATGAGTCACGAATTGTAACCACTAGGCCACACACTCCCCCTTCAATTTCACATTTGCACCAGTATATTAGATTCCATTTTTGGTGCGTAACGGTGAGGCGTAGGTACCGAGATAATCGTTACTGAACGAAATAGTTCCATGCTCTCAACTGCTAGCAAGACTAGTTCCCACGCAATCTTGGAAGAAAGTGACATTAAAAATATTCACCAAAAATTTACGATTTTGAAGTTTCCGTCGTAACCAGATATTATTTTTTAAACTCACATAACGGTTAATAGTGATGAAATCTTTTCAAAAATGGTATAGTGTAAGACATTGCCCATCATTCAATTTTAAATGATCATTTACAAAAAAGTAAACCGCTGCATTATTTCTTATATAATTTCATCGACATCACCGTGGGCGTTGTCTGCTACAGAAAAAGGCTCCATCGTCTACAGGAAACAATTTCCTAACCATCGCGAGGAAATGATGGCAATTCCTCTTTTCTCGAAAGTGACAGCATACTAGTGACTTCACAATCAAGTACTTTACAATATTTTACGATTTGTTTCACAGTTTCATTTGTGAATATTTGCAAATGGTGTCTATTACCTTGAAGATTTCATTTTACTTTATCATGTTTGGTTTGATTTGACCATGGTTTGACGAGGTTTGTTTTGTGTGGGTTTGGTCGGGTGGGTTGGGTTGGGTTTGGTTTGGTTGTGAGAGGTGGGGTGTGGTGGGATGGGAAGGGGTGGGCTTTCGGCTCCAATCGCTTTGGCTTGGATTCCTTTGGTTTAATCAAAATGTCTGAATTTGGCATTTGATTTTGGACATGCATGTACCTGATTCAGACCCCCACCCCTAGTGGCTGCGCGCACCCAAGGGGGGGGGCCCTCGGGGGGCTTGAGCCCCCCCCCCTCCCCCAGATGTTGTCATTTTTTTTCTTTTTTGGTATATTTGTTTAGTCCCACGATTTGGCCTTGGTGATACGAATGTGGCCTGTTTCCGAGTAGTATAATAGGGGTGTAAGTGGCGCCACCAACGTCAAAATAGGCCGCCCCTAAAAAAAAACCCCCAATTTGTTTTGAAAAAATTCAACTTTTAACAAATCCTTGGTGCGCCACTGCTACCCCCACAGTATTGAGTCCTATTGTTTGTTGTTTTGGGTCACTACCTGTTCGACAAATAACCGGCGAATGAACTTCTTTGCGGAACAAACAGCCTTTTGGGGGCTACGGCGACAAAAAAACCCGATCACCTCTTTACCGAATAGAGATATGCCCTTGGGCATCTATATTGCCTTGCAACTGTCCAAGAAGGGCGTGACGGGGATCACAAAGGGAGTAGTATTCCAGAAATCCTTGACACAAGTGACGTAGGGGCTCTATTATGTGCCACAAATCTGACTGACCAGCCATAATAAAGACTTTCAAGTAGTTTTTTTTTCTCGTGCGATCCTTTCGGTTCACTGAGTTTGTACCATCATCTGTGACGATTGTTGAGGGCGGAAATTTCCTCTTCTTTGACTAAATTCTGCAGTCCTTTGAGTTGTATAATGAGGAAAACAAAAGGGGGTAGAACAAGAAAAACCTTGAAATGGATAAAAACTTTTGTAAACAAATAAAGGTGACACTAGACCCTGTGGGAGAACAGCAAGCTGTCGATCCGATAATATTCACATACGTGACCGCAATACCAAGTAATGTGTTCGCATCTTATATCAGTCTTGTAAATTGACATGTTTAGTGTTTTTGACGTTGATGTACGACACCATGCTTGAATACAAGAGCCTGAAGTTAAAAAGTCACGCGGCGGCCCTCCTTTACGGGTTGCCCTTTCACCTTCTGCGAATCGGTGGAATAGTTTCTAAGCAAATTTAAACCATTCCGAGAAAGCACTTATGTTGGAATTTTATCCTGGTTTTCTTCAAGTAGAATCGAGAAAAAAATGAAGTGGTGAAGGGTAAAAACGACTTTCATTTACGACCCTTCAAATCCGGCACCGTCGTTTTTAGGCCTCCTTACGCTAGATGTGCATGTTTGTTTTCATTTCGTCTAATCTTGGCGAGACGAATGGCAAGAGCATGACCCGCGATATATTGAGTATACTGTAGCTCAGAGGCCGTACTCTAGCTTGCACTCGGTGAAATCACATGATTTCAAGATGGAGAAAGGGTTAACACTCAGCCAACGTTTTCCAAACTTAAACGCCTTTTTTTCGTAAATTCTGTTGTTTTTTTAATAGGATGAATGGAGGAAACTATGATCTGTAACTTATTTACGTATTTCCAGATCATCTGTCTTTTGAGAATGGCCATATCTCGGCAGCCATAATTATTGTGCATGTGTTGCAGAGCCAGGTTTCAGTTGTAAATTGTCATGTATTAGATTCCCCTTAACAACTCCAGTTTTAGTTTAGATTGTCCCCTTCTCTCTTGTTAGTGTGTGTCCCTGTTTGTTTATTCGTAGAGCAAGCCCACGGTCAAGCCACATTCAGTGCAGCCGACCAGCAGTGAAGTGTGCACATGTGCATGTATGTTCCGTTTTCATCCTCTTAACTAGAGTGGTGTATTTCTTGTTTTGTCTGCTATGAGTCAATGCTTTCGGTTAAAGTGTACTGTAAAGTTGATGTATGTACTATTTTTTTTTTAAATTATCGATGTATTTTTCACAAGGAGTATGGAATACTCCTTGTCTTCTTTTTGAATTGAAATGAATTGTATCGAATTGAAATGGAAAGCCCTGAGATGATTTTCCTTGTTGAACCAAAATTGCGTTTCCAAAACATCGCTCGGTCAACACGCAATTTTGTCAGTCACATTGCAACCTCGCTATAGCAGCGACCGATCAGTGATGTAACATGACTACAGTAATGTTACACAAAACAAGACTGACTTTCCGTCCGGGCTAGCCAAAGCTTGCTATTTCAGATTGTTAACTTAGGTAACTGAAAACTGGGTCTTCGTCACAGGAAACAACTAGACTTACAGATAAAAAGTATTAAAAACTAGAGAGTGGGTTCGTGTACGAACACTGAAGCATGCTTCGTGTGTTTGTGGAGAGGAAATGTTGTCCGATTGGGTGAACTGATATGTGTATATAGTACCTAATAGTAGAACACGTGTAAATACATACAAGTTATTAATGGAAGCGACTACCGCAAATGTGGCCACACACATTAACTAAAACTCACAGGCTAGAAGATTTATACCGAAACAAAAAAAATTATTAAAAACAGAATCAACATTTCACAAACAAGTCAAACATTTAAACCTGAACTGAAAATGTATGGATTTTAATGTAAGTTTAGATTAATAAGGCCAAGAAGAAAATAACTTCTGCCTCCGATTACGCCTACAAATGCCTTTCACAAATGGGTCGGTACTCGATCGGTAGTTCGGAAAAGATTTTTTTTATTTCACTAATTTTTGTTTGTGCTGATTGAATGGAGCATAGAGAAAGGAATCATGCGTATTATTGTGCCTGAATTATTTTCATTCGCGCCACGTAACGACACTGTGTTTCTCCAAATAGCACTAGTATGCAAACCAAGCTCTACACAAACATCCCATATCTATGTTTCTCCCAATTCACTACTGTATGCAAACCATGAAGCCGGCGCACAAAACATCCTGTATCCCCATGTGTTACCTAATAGCACTAGTGTAGGCCTACGCGAATCCAGCGCAGCGTGGATTTCTCGCAATACGTAGTGAATAAAGCCCTCGAACTACAGCTAAAGCTATCAACATCAGATGGCGCCGCAAGACATTGTACCAAAGAATTCGCTCTTTCCACACTTCCGCCATGGGCATGCACAGCCTCGATCTGGCAACTTTACACAATAAAAATAGCTGGCTCAGTGATTCCCGTGTCGGGGTTCAGATCACTGAACCGGCTATTTTTATTGTGTAAATTTGCCAGATCGAGGCTGTGCATGCCCAATAGCGGATTGTGAAAAGAGGGAATAGAGGATTCAAGGCAAACAAGTCTCATATTTGTTAAAGTTTTCTTAGGCTTTCAATTATAACGCCAACCTCCACATGTGCAAGCGCTTTCAAT